CCTAATTATATGACCAAGCCCGGCCGGGGTGCGGGCGGGCCGTCGGGCTACCCGGCCCATGAACAGGTCTAGGGACGAGTTGACTGGGACGAGCTGGGCTAGTTAGGTGTCGAACTGACTGGGCCGAGCTGGGCAGGTTAGGTGCCGAACTGACTGGGCCGAGCTGGGCATGTTAGGTGCCGAATTGACTGGGTCGAGCTGCATATTAGGTGACGAGCTGACCAGAGGGCCGAGCTGCATATTAGGTGACGAGCTGGGCAGGTTAGGTGCCGAACTGACTGGGCTGAGCTGGATTGATTGTTGTGCTTCGTAGTTCTTTAGAGACCTGCAAGGAATCAATGTCAGAGGACTCGGGGTGGCTAACCCGGCGATGTCGCTCCGATGCTTAAGTCAGTACTCTCATGGTAGACTGCGAGCTAAAAATCATAGAGTATGAGAGMTAGAATATGCTTACTTGCCCCCCCATGCGATTGGGGTTGGTGCCTTTATATAGGCATTGTTTGGCGTGGGCTTCACGCACCATATCCGAGATTTCCGAGATGTCACCTAAGTGGTCCGAGATTCCCGAAGGCAACCACCATGCACGTTGACCACCCTCCAGATCGTTCGGTACGTGGGCCAACTTCCAAGGATCATGGGAGTGTTGGGATATGCATGCTGAATTCGTCGGCGAGCACGTCTCGCAAGTCTCCAGGTCGGCGCCTGTGCCAAATCGACAGCTGAGACACCATCATCTTGGCTAAAGCAAGTTGTTGCCTAAATGGTTTTGGATGTCACTTACTTATTCCGATATACCATGTGTCACAATCTCATTGGAGAGCCAAATCCGCCTTTATTAGTGTTCAAATCCATTGAAAATTTATCCAACTCCCAACTCAACTCTACCCAAATTGCACTCTATTGGGTTGGCAAATTAGGGTTTTATTTTTTGACATCACTCACGGTCCTTGCTAAGGTCCATTTCAGAGTTGGTCTTAGTTTGGCCCCTAACCTATTTAAGAGAAAAGTAGGGATCCAGTAGGGGACATAAGATGTTAAAAACACCGAGTATTGAAAGAGGACCTTTAATAATTTAATTTTAAAAATAATTAACCATATATGTAAAAAATGAGAGTGATCCGTATGAAATCTGTGGTGAGAGGACCTTTGAACTCCCCCACTTTCCTCTTTCTAATATATATAATTTTAAATTCGAAGGATAATATGTTTTAGTGCACGCATGTGCATCGGTCCCTACTATTATAATGTTGATACTTTGCGCGGAAGGTTAGAAGACAATTAAAATTTAAAAACTTACATCCATTTCAATACGTGAAGAGACCACATCACGCTACTTACTGTTGCATCCGGGCAACTTAATTATCAAATCAAGTGAATGGATGATGCCAAGTGCCAACTACCCGGGGGCGCCCACAACGTCTCACAGCGCATCTCGCTGTATATTGGGAATATTTCTCGATAATAACATCTTCATTTTTTATATTATGATAAGAGATGTTTTCCAATACATCATAGGGATGTACTATAGGCCCCATAGAAAACGAGCAAGTTTTGTTGTTTGGTGAAAATTTTGGAAACCGAAATCAAACTTTTGGAATACCATTTATAACATAAAGCTCAACTTGAGAGATTTCTGTGTCCTTTAAAACGCAAAGCCCTCCCAAACGGAGCCTTAAAACTCAGGTTATTGTCAGTTCTTTAATAGCATATTAAACACTAACTTAGACCTTCTATTTGATTGATGTATCATGGCGTGGCATTTTTCTGATCCTAATAAAGAGTCTAACTACGTGTATTTCCAAGTTTTAATGGCACAATACATGAAAGCTTCAAACTATCACATTAAAAATGTAACATAATTTATTTAATTTTTATTTGTACAAGTATAACAGAGTGCGTTTCACTATGATGTTATTATTTTATCATTGGTTCATTTATGTTTGAATTATATATGTTATAAATCCACATCAAAATATAAATAGCTCATGATAGTTCACAAGGTCTGTGTAAGAGGGGATCGGATCTTCAGACTGTATGGTTGGACAGAATTAGAATCTCATTCACATTTCTGTTGCAATGAAATCTCATTTCAATTCTCATCTGAATCAAACAAACTATGGGAATAGATCATTAATTTCAATTCCAACTATGAATCAAATAGACCCTAAAATCTTAATTAGAGCCGATGGAGCAACGGTTATTGTTTTGGACTCTGTTAAAAGTTAACTTGAATGGGTGGGCAGGTTTGTGGTGCATGTGCCGGAAAAGCTTCCAATGGATGGTGCAGCGCCTCTACTGTGTGCGGGGATAACGGTGTTCTGCCCTATGAAAGACAATAAAATGCTGGAATCACCTGGGAAAAAACTCGGGGTGGTAGGGCTAGGGGGTCTTGGACACGTGGCTATCAAGTTTGCTAAGGCATTTGGGCTCCACGTCACCGTCATCAGCACCTCTCCCTCCAAAGAGAAGGAAGCTAAAGACCGCCTCGGTGTAGATGACTTTCTTCTCAGTACCAATTCTGAACATATGCAGGTATGTATGGACCTTTTGGTATATATGATCCATTGATCAATACTTGCAGCTGCTAGCTTTCTTTACATCAATGGTTTATCAAATAATAATCTTGAAGTCTTGTTGTACATAAATATATGCATTTACACTTTAGAATTACAGGCAGCGAGGAGGAGTCTTGATTTCATAATAGACACAGTATCAGCCAAGCATTCTTTAGGACCCATCCTAGAACTGCTTAAAGTGAACGGAACTCTAGTGATGGTTGGTGCACCAGATAAGCCCGTGGAGCTGCCTTCTTTCCCTCTCATATTCGGTAAGGATCCTGAGGTCGGCAGCTATTGAATAGTGTGTGAATACTACTGATTTAATTAATTTTGTTTGGGTTTCGTTGGTTGGTTAAGTTTGTAGGTTTAATTTGGTTGATTAGAATGACTCATGACTGCAGGCAAGAGAGTGGTGAAGGGTAGCATGATTGGTGGAATGAAAGAGACACAAGAAATGTTGGAGCTCTGTGCCAAGCACAACATCACCTGCGACGTGGAGATCGTCACTCCAGATAAGATCAACGAGGCCATGGACCGGCTTGCTCGGAATGATGTTAGATATCGATTTGTGATTGACGTTGCCGGTCGGACACCTGAAAGTCGTTGAGCACATCCAACCGGGGGCTGGATGGTGTGTGACTTTGATTGATGTTTCACATGTTTATTGCACACTACACAACACCGACCTGTGTGAGAAGAAACCAAGAAAAATAAATTAAACCCATTTATATATGTTGTTAGGAGAAACAAAGTAAAAATTGACTAAATAAGTGTGTAGTTGCACTAGAACTTTCAGTTGATGGATTGTCCTCTTTTCATGTATTAGTTTGCCGCAATGCGGGGTAAAAAGAAAAAAGAAAAACCCTTTTATAACCAATATTTTATGTCACCAGGCCAGAGCTGACTCAATTATATTTTTTAAACATTTTAAGTGGTATTACAATTATATTTTATATTAAAAATATATTAATCTTGTAGGCCTGAAACCCTGGCCAGGCCCATGATCACCTTACTGGGCTGCGTTTGTGGTCAGTATGATATAGAAGGCAGACTGAGGTTGAGTCAACGTTGTGCACCAGTCTGGGCCTGAAGTGTTGGGCCCAGTTGCAAGTCCAGAAACTTGCGGGCCAAGCTTGTCTGGACGTACGGGCCAGGATAGAAATGATCACCCCATAGCCCCTGGGGTTCAATGCAATCCTAATAATTAGCATGAGGTGACCCTAGGTCAAAACCCAGGTCTGCGATCAGCCTAGACATTGAAAATCGAAGAAGCCCAAGTTAACAAGAACCATATGCACCTCGGCACCTCCCTTCACAAGTTGGGTTTAGTGAGGTCAGTCTTGGATTGAGACAGCCCAAGTTCCTGAAATGAATGAATTTTACATATCTTAAGGTTTCATCATCACTATTTTTTGACCAAACACCCCCCTAAACCAACAAAAAAAGAAGATCCGGAATTAACAAAATATTAATTAATGCCTTGGATCTGTCACAAATCTTGTGATTAATTGTTATTCAATTAAAGGTCCATGAAGTGAAACATATGCAGACTTGCATTGTCATGCAACTTATAAATTACATTGAAGACTTGAAATTTAATGGAGTATTTGATAACTAAATAGGGTAGGCTGCGTAAATATTTTGCCATTCTGTTCTATTAAACTATGAATGCTTAAATTTTTTTTTACTCTAACCCAAATCCTTTTCACTCTGCCCCCTAATGGTGTAAATTAATATGGTTTTTTTTTTTATCGATTCCCCAACCTCATAAATTTCTATTTGATTTATATAATTGAAAAATGATATAAATTTCATCAAAAGGCAATTAATACTCAAATATATACTATTTTAAAATGGATATTTTCCTTGCTTTTGATGTATATCACAAAAGTTAATTAATTTTAATTATATAATATTAACTTTAGATTATATTTTTACCCTTTATTTACACAAAATTGGCGTGACTCTTGTGTTGCTGCTGGGTTTGGGCCTATATCTTTATTCTTGGCAATTCAAGCTGAAGCATTAATAGCTATCAGGCAAGGTATTTTGTTAGCCAAGTGCTGTAGCTTTCACTAAGGTGGTCCTTGAGTCCGACTGCCAGAATACAATCAAGAGCATGAATCAGAAGATCTAGGAGTTTGGTCCCAGAGTCTTTTTTTTTTTTTTATTATTTGAATGATATTTTTGATGTAGCCTCTGATTTGAATCTCTCTTTTTTTATATGTTAGTAGAAAAAATAACACTACGGATCATGTTATAGCCAGGAGAGGCTTGATTGTGCTGATTGGTTAATTTCTTTGACACTTGGCTAACAAAATACCTTGAATCCTGATAGATAAATAGATAGATAACAGATCCTGTCAGCCTCTCCAGAATCCTGATTTGGCCATGTATGTTGTTTCCGCGTTTTGTTTTAATGGAAAAGTCCTGCCTCTTTGATTTAAAAAATAAATAAATCCAATCCGGACAGATCTTTCCATGCATGCATGGGTATCATCATGTCTGTAGCGTGTGGACCCAAGGGTTGTATGGACATATATATCAAAGCAAGGGGCGACTCTGGATCTCCGATCCATCAGATTCTGCCCATGTTAACCCAAAGCACATTATCTTTGTATAATATTATATAGGAGGATGAGATATTCTTCATGTGTGGTACAGAAAAGATCTGGATTCGAATTTTGTAATCAGCAAATCTGGACTCGTCCAACGCACACCGCACCAGGTCCGACGCATTCATTCTCGCAAAGTCACAACTCACAAGCGAAACAGTAGCAAGTAGTAACCAAGAACCAGAAGAAGAAAAGTACGCAATCCGCAATGCATTTTGTGACTCCATTAATTATTTCATTCCAAATCCATGATGATCCATGCATCCGCGCGTGCACGCATCCTCCCCCTCCCGTCGCCTGGTTTTCGTAAATAATGCCCGGCGATTTGATGAATTTGACCCTTAGAAAACATATATTACATTTTCTCATTCGAAATTGTTTAAAATTCTTCACTATTTTTGGCTCAGTTTGGAAGGAGTACATGTATTTTGCAAATATATATAATACAAGATTTTATACTCCTTTCAAATTCTCAATTTTTCAAAATATCCAGGAAAACCATATTAATGGCTTTTTGTTTTCCAAAACAGTTTCATATAAATTCGTCACATCAACCTTATTAAAACATATTTTTATGATCAAATACTGAATGGCATATCAATCTTATTAGAAATATTTTTATGTCAGCCTAATTTTTTTATTTAATACACCTTTGTTCTAACTGACATTTTTTTAAAGTGGACGTTGGGTCCTACAGTGCCATGTGTCATCTTCTTGACCATAAATCTTTTATTGATCTTGGTTCTTGTTGCATTTAAAATTAAAAGGGATCGATAAAGTGACAGGGCGCTAGATGAGTTTGATTTGATCAGAAGTATTTTTTTTTTTTTATTTAAAGCTCTTTTTACTTAAATATGTAAAATGGGCAGATTTTTTTTAGACTGAAATATTTGAGATATGTTTTTATTGTTTTTTATCAAAGTTTTGCTTTATTTTAACAAAACAAAGGTAAATAGTAATTTAACAACATCCCGTCAGTTTATTTAATGTCAACTTACTGATATGGGGTTTCATGAACATTTTGAAAAATTATGATAAATTTAGAAGAAACGCTAAAAAGTTATAATGGGTTTTATACAATTTTTCTTTCGACTCAGTTTGGAAGGAGTACAAATGCAAATATAAAAGAAAAAAACCTTATATTTTTGTATATATTTACATTATATATATATATATNTATATATATATATATATATATATATATATATATATATATATATATATATTTCTCCAAAACTGAGTTTGTATATATATTTTTACCCAGCGCCCAGGTGGGTGATATCATACAGTGTGGTCTCTGGTGGTATATTTATCATCTTATTATTTATGGAAGCTGAGATGATGGCAGACTATTCTCTTTTGTCATTCATTATAAAGGGATGGAGACAGATTGTAGTGGAGTGAGAGTCCGGACTTCTCTGTTTTTCCAACCATATTAGATATTAGAAGTTGTATTGCTGGTGTTTCATTTATTTCTTTTCAATATGCATGTTTCCAGATGAAGGGAAAAGGAAATGGTAGTACTGCTAGCATTCAACTCTTGGGTTGGGTTGGGTGGATGTTCCACCTCCAATCCCATCCATGGTTATCTAAAAATCTAGAAACCCTTCAATCCTTGCTACTCTACAAGGGGAAGGGGAAATCAATTAATATCCCAAAGCTTATTCCCATCCAACGGCTAAAACTCATTCATGCGTTGGCTGGCACGATCAATTATAGTTGATCATCATCTTTGGCAAGCAAAAATAGAAAGACAAAATTTATGGCACAGACACAGTTAATGATAAAGAGCCACCTGGATGGATAAAATATCTCCACGTGGGACCCCAAAACAAAATATCTGCCAAATGTGTGATTAATTGCGTCAATAACGTAAACAAGTTATGGGCCTTCATGGGAGAGGGAGATTAAGATAGATGGATATTGAGTGGAAGTCAGGATCACTTAAGCAATAAAGCGACCATCTTTGGACCTTAACATTTCATAAATGATTTTATTGAATAATGAATATATACACAATACACATTCTCCGTTCTGCACAAAAAGGATGTCTAATTAAGGAAGGCATTACGCCGCGGTTCGGTCCCACAAATACAATAAGCCGACGGACGATGTATATATAATAAACATTTAGAGTTCCATGTGGCAAACGAACAGGCTTATTCTCTTCAACCCAAATTATAACTCTTACTTGATTAGAGACACAAACACAAACATGCTTGCATGAACAGATGGTCCTGTTTTGATTAATTTGCAATATGTCTCAGGTCATCAGAAAGATTATGTGGCCCAAGTTGAGATCATCTCTTACGAAGACAGGTACGTGAGTCTGATCATTGATTATTCAGGGGGATCAGTTTAATTTGGACATGGTTAATTGAAGGTTTTACGTTTCTTCTTTAATTTGTCGTTATTTCAATCGATCGAATTGCTGTAAAGGGTTCTTTCGGTCTTAAGAAGATCTTCATGGGCTCAAATGTTCAATTCATTTCTTTACAGACAGATTTTACTAGTTTTTAGAGAAGAATTTAGGGACTTGAAAATTATTTGTTCATGGGTTTGTAATTAATCCAATAAAGAAAGAATGAAAGAAAGAAAGAAAGAAAGAAAACTGCAGCTTAATTAGGTTATTTGATTGAAATGTTATACGGGATCTTGGATGAGGATGATAGAAATGAAGTTCAAGAGATTGAAGCTATAAGGTTTGTCTGTCTGTCTGTTCACTGTTCTATATTGAGTCCAGCTGAATTGGTTTAATTTTCTCTTTTCTTTCAGGCAGTGGGGCTCCAATAATGCAACACGTCATGAGCAGCGTGCGAGGCAAGTTAAATGTAAACGAGGAATACATGAAAGCCTTTAGAACACAGTCTTACATGGAAATATGGAGCAAAGCCCAAGTCCAGCTGAGAAAAAAGGACGATGAAGAGAGAGTCTCTTCTTTGTCTCCTGTACCTTCCACCCCACATCTCTCTGATTTCTTGCTCGAACCCCAGCAAGATATCCTAACCGACATGATCAAAAACTCCAACCTACACCACCTTCTCATCGACTACTTCCAAGGCAGCATAGAAGCAAGCAAAATATGCGAGTTCCTCCTGAAAAGCATCGATCAAACAAGAGTCAACTATTGCATAATTCGAAGGATCCTCAACGAAACCAAAAGGCTACCTGCTGGCTCTTGTGATTACAGCGAAGATGAGTGCAAAACTATATTCCGTGATCTTGATTCATTTGCCAAGCTCAATAACCCTCTCTCCGGCTTTACTTCGATGCAATTCCGTCTAATTCATGACAGATACGGGTTGATGCTCAAACAATTGAGAACAGCACGTAAAAGGGTAACCAGGAGAAAGAAACTGATTGGTGTAAGCAAGAAGGCTGTTGGATTAAGCCTGGTGATCGGGTGCAGTGCACTTTCAGTAGTCACGCTAGCTCTTGCGGTGCATGCATTGGTGGGTCTTATAGCCGCACCGGGGTTAATCAGTTTCTCTCTGGGTGTCATGAAGAAGCAGATTAGGTCTGCCCGAGTTGGGCTGAAGACCAACATGCTCGCGAGGCTCAGCGCACAGCTTGATGCAGCAGCGAAAGGAGTGTACATTCTGGACAGGGATTTTGATACGATAAGTCGGCTTGTGGAGAGGTTGCAAGATGAGATAGAGCATGGTAGGGTGATAGCTAGGATGGGGGTGAGGAATCGGAAGATATTGAAGGAGGTGGTGAGGGAATTCCAAACCCATGAGTCTTGCTTCCTGGATCAGCTGGGGGAGCTTGAGGACCATGTTTACTTGTGCTTTCTCACCATTAACGCAGCTAGAAGGCTTGTCGTACACGAAATAATGGTGCAGCCCCAACAAAACACTTGAAGATATATAGATTCAATTAACTGCATGGAATTAGCAATCAAACACTGACGGTACGTTCTGATGCATGTATTGCTGATAGCAATCAAGATTCAAGATCACTCACAACTACAATCAGTGACTAGTGAAGCTTCTATTTTAGTTGTAGTCCGCAGGCCAGAAGCTCTGCAGAATTAGCTTTCCTCTGAATTAGTATACCAAAACCCAAAAGATGATGATGCAAAATACATGTAATACAATAATAGTTTTATTGTTGTTTCATTGCAATTCCTTGATTTATTATTTTATCCCCCCTCCCCCAGTTTGGACTCTCTTAATTAATTAGGTGATCTCTTTTTTCTTGAATGTAATTGATTTTTGAACAAATTGATCGAATATATGGAATACGCATAAAACAAATATGAGTTTTCCAAATTCTAATGCTCACTGAAAGAGCCAAATAATGACTAGAAAATAGAAACTACTGAGCAAGTGATCTCTATGAAGGGATTACAGCTGGAATAATGAGCAAGTATAAAAAACAACACTGGCCATGTTCATGCATGATGCAAGCACTAATTACTCATACAAGACAACTCAGTTATTAATGCATTTCCAACATTATAGATCCCTAAAACAATTTGATATTGAGATTGAACAAGGATAGGTGGAAATTGATTCTTGCTTGCCTCCCAAGCAAGAAAGAGAGAAACTTTGACATTAAATGAACACATGCATTCGGTTACGGGGCCCCTTTACCCCAAATTTTGTTAGATGGAGCCACTGAGGTGTTAGTTATAGGGCAAATCTCTTAAACTATCTCTAATTCTAGGAAATTGACTTACTAATCGTTAAATAGAAAGATGAAAAAGATTATTTTATCCTTAATTTTTTTTTTAATTTTCAAAATAAAAATATTTTATATATCTCTATTTCTACCTTTTTCAAAATGGAAGGGATAGCTACGAAACTCTTAACACATAAATAACATAAGTCTGTAAGCTATGGACGAGTGAGGAATCACCTATTGCAATCAATACATGAATTTGATTGCCATAGAGATCCATTTGTAAGCTTTGCTGGAGAGCTGAGATTGATGAAGAATTCCAAATGATGGAGATTTCGACCACAAAAGGGTAATATTGGGTTTAAAAAAAAATTATATATGGCTCGGCATCACATGTGAATTGATTGTGATGGAACATTAATGGACACAACGGGCAGAAGAAGATTTAGGGGTATTTTAAGAGATTTGCCCTTAACTTAATTTAGGAGAATAAGTCAATTTTCTAAAACTTAGAGGTGTTTTAAGAGATTTTCCCTTAATTATATTGATCAGGTATTATCAAACTTGTATTTAGCTCTCTTTTATTATTAATTAAGCCAAGATTTCCATGCAACCTTGTCTTTATATGGCTTCATATATACACACCGGGTACCGCAGTGCGTAAACTTCTCACCAGAATGATGAGTCTTCATTAGCATTTTATAAAAACGTGCAATTTCATAAAACTTAGGGGTGCATTAAGAGATTTGCCCTTAATTATGTTGATCAGGTAGTATCAAACTTGTATTTCGCTCTATTTTCTTGTTAATTAGGCCAAGATTCCCATGCAACCTTGTATTTATATGGTTTCATATATACATACCGGACACCGCAATGCGTAAAGTTCTCACCAGAATGAGTCCTCACTAGCATTTTCCTGGAACGTGCCTAGCTCCTTGTTGGCGAGGTTCGTTCAGATGCAATTACAATGTGACCAATCTAAACTTTATTAACATCCAATAGAGAATCCACGTTTAAATTTTAACCGTTCATGTCAATCCTCTAGACCATATTGATGGCATTTGCCTGATTTGGGGAAGTCGCGGAATCATCGAAAGATCCGTATGTCTTGATTCTTATCCACCACCCGATTATAATCCGCCAGGTACTTTGAAAGCTTGTTTAACTGATTTGAGCGCAAAGCAAGTCCATATGAATCTCAATTGGACTGGATTTGGTCCAATCCGGTCCAGTCTAATGTGAATCCATTACAAATAGACCAGGTCCAATCCAATCAAACAAATATTCTGGACCATTTTAGACCAGTCCAATTCAATGTCTGGACCGTTCAATCTGTTCAAATTCGTTTTAATTTAGATAGGTTTCAATCCAAATCCAGTTCAATGGACCAGATGTAAATTTATTACAGATAAACCAGGTCCAATCCAAACTAATAAATAATTTGGACTGAATTGGTCTAATCCAATATATCTTATTGGTCCATCCAATCTATCCAAATTAGTTTTGGACTGAATAAGGTCCAGACCAAAACCGATCCATTGACACTCTTCTAGGTTCCATTACCATATTAGGGAAAAAACTAAAAGCACCAAAATTCAATACCCATCATTGCACGCATGTACACCCAAAAAGAAAAGGCATAGCAGCTTAAAAATGGAAAGCCATAAGAAAACTGAAAACCTCCTACGCTAGTCCAAAGACTCCAAACCACTTGATCTCTGCAAAGTGCAAACATACCCGAGTTTATTTGTTCACCTGCCCTTTAGAGAAGGGCCCTAAACAACCTTGGAAATGGCAACATTCTTTTTTTTTTTTTTTTTCCTATCCCCAAAACCCATAATCCCCTACCCCCCAATGGTGCAGGCAGGATTCTGGTTTTCATACTCTCGAAAGGCTTATAACTTAAGCAACGTACAAATAGGGATATGACATGGGCTGATGCTGGGCATGTGTACATGTGAACAGTCAAATCGGAGAGATGGACAAGACGCTGTGTTTGGTTGCAATGCAAATAAATTTGCACTGATGCAAAATTATAGCAGTGTTTGGTTGCAATGCAAAATTATAGCAGTGCAAATGATTTTGATATAAATTTTGATCTATTTTTGTATCAAATTTAAATTTATTTTATTTGATTGCAGTACAAATGAAATAAATTAAGACATATAAAAGTAGAATAAAATTAAATGAAAATTTACATTTTTTTCATTTACACTCTCATGCATTTGCACTAGCACAAATAACATAGCACTGCAACCAATAAGAAAATAATTCTCTTATTGGTGGAAAACCCTTATTGGTGGAAAACTGTTGGGTCTACATATGATTTGGGCTCCATTTATGAAGCTTCTTTTAAAAGCAACATTTTCTGCATCACCAGCGACATATACATGATACATGTGTAAAGCACATAGACCACTTAACTATTGGATTTTAATCTCATAAGAGATTAAATCCAATGAGTTTGATTGGTCAATTATATGAGAAATTGCACCTACACATTTGATTGGAAAATTAGTTTCTCTTACAAAACCTAGTTTTGAACTTGTCCCACATTGGAAAATTATAAGCTTTGTTTTTAGTATTTTAATAGGAGTTGATTTGCACTTCTTAAAAATAGTAGAAAAGAGTATGGGGGTTTGATACCTCGCAACGCACGCACGCGTGTGGGCAGCGCAATGAGGCGCTTTAGAGGTGCACTTTGTTGATCGTTGATCACCGTTGATGAGATCAACGGTGGCGATTCGATTGGGTGTGATCAAGAGGCACAATTCAAAGTTAACAATCATTAACTATTAACTAATTGTGACTATTCGAGATGCCTTCTCTGAACTAATACCACTTTTTCTTCATACCTCTTCATAAACTATTTAAGGAGCATGAATCAGACTTCGAAAACACACTTTCGGAATCCTCTCTCTCTCTCTCTCTCTCTCTCCGGTCTACTACAGTCTCATAGAAGGTTTCTTCGAAGATTCTTCAACTTTGTTGGTTGCAGATTCTCGCCCAAGGCTCTGTTATATCCTAGGAACAGATTTACCTATAACCCAACAGCAAACTCAGTAAAACTAAGTGGAGGCAAATAACGTTCTAAAGACAATATCTTCAGACACGCCTCAGAGCTTCTCCTCCAAAGTTACAATGACCCCATTTCCCAACATTAACCACACAATTAAACATTTAAACATAAAACACAAAATGTTGCGGCTATTAGGAAACGCCCCTAAAAAAAGTCAAAAGCAATTAGACCACTTGGTATGAACCAAAGAAACAAGGCACCAAATATTTAGGTTGCAATTTCCCACTAATCTCAAATAGTACACAGAAAACTTTGCTTGCCCCGGTAATGTACCCTACCCTGTTTTGATGGAACCGAAACCTCTAATTGTCAATTCATAGCCAACCTTAAGGCTGTGTTTGGTTGAAAGAAAATAAGAAAGTTCTTAGGGAATTTTACAAATTTTATTAAGAACTTTCCTTCAACTTTCTATTTCTCTTATTTTCTGTCAAACCAAACATAGCCTGATAGGACACTACTGTTATGATATACTTGGTCCAACCTATCTCAAACTTTGGAAAATCAAGCCCAAGCCCCAAGATTGATACACACACAAAGAAAAAAATCTAGGGGGCTAAGATAACTTTCATTGCTTCGTAAGAAAAGTAATGCCCCCTACCTCATTACAGTTCTGTAATACAGTTACGGATCTAGAACAACCAGCAAAACTGTAGTCCAATGAGATATATTTAAGCCCCATTTGGTTTGCTGGAATAGGGGTCTGGAATCAGAATCGGAATAGGCTATTCCGATTCTAACTGTTTGGTTGGACTGAATCGGAATCACATTCCCATTCCTGCTGAAATGGCATTCCCCCATTTGAGGGAATGGTCATTCCCTACCCCTCCCTTAGGAATGAAATGTCATTCTTGCTAATTCCAATTCTCATTCCCATTCCTGTCTGAACCAAACAGACTATGGGAATGAACCATTCCGATTTCGATTCCAACTGTAAACCAAACAGACACTCAGAGAAAACAATGAAGCAAAGAACCACAAAGATGGAGAACAGACAGACGAACAAAAAGAAAGGAAACCTGTGGGGAACATAAAGCATGCGATAGTATCATGTATCCTATAGATTTATAGATTCACAAAATGAGACTAGTAACTTTTTACATGGAAGTAAGTAGTAGAGGTGAGTTCTCTCGAAAAAAAAAAAGTAAAGGTGAGTAGAGTAGCCACACTTAGAGTGGCAAAAGAAGCACAGGACATGGGATGAACTCAGCCAAGAGATTTGCATCAATGTGTTTCGAGTGGATGGATTCCATGCTTATCACTACCAAATCCAAATTCAAGTCATCAGCAACTTCACCTATGATGGCAGTTGGTTTGTTCCCCTCCCCTAGTCGCTCTATCAACTGGTATTCCTGGAATCCACCTAGTTAAAAGAGACCAGTTTGGTGTACAATAAGTTACTAAGAATTTGATAATTATATCCAAGTATAGAATCTAAAGAGGATGGTATGCATTTTTTTTTATGAATGATGTTATACCGTATGCATATAACTCTTAAACAGCCACCGGTGAACAGAGCTAACCGATTTAAGGTAAATCAAAATCAAATGGCTCTTGATTCCTAATGACTAGACTGGGTCAAAGTTGCTTAGGTGAGAAAAGCCACAGCTTCACTAGAGATTGTGCCAAAGCAATTGGTATCCGATACTAAGTTGTTTGTTCAAGCACGATAAAAATAAGAGGTAAGATCAACATCAAAAGGAAGTAAGGAACCAACCTTGAGAGAGATGCCACCTGATGCTAGATAGTTGGGTGTCATGCTCTGGAAACAATTCTTTTGGCTTTTCATCAATAACTGCAATAAACACCAAGTTTCCATATCTACTGAAATCCTGCACTCAAAAGGTCTAGTAACCAAAACAAGAAGTACTTCTACAGTTTATGTTTCATGTTTTCCATAACATGAAAGAGAAAAAAGTGCAGAATGAAGTTGCAAGTATACCAACTACTGTTATGTCTGCCCCATATTTCTTTGCCAAAGCAGCAGTAGTTGCCGTAGCCTGGCAACAGAAGATTGAAAATTATGGTAAGAAAGCAGTAAGAGTTATATGTCTAAAGGATACAGATCGTGTGGATACAAGTATAACCAACTCTAAACTCTTACACAGATAGTATATGTAAATCATAGACCTATTGTGTACACACTTTCCCTATGTAAATCATAGACCTATTGTGTACACGCTTTCCCCCAAATAGCAAACTCACTTGTTTTGAAAGTTGTCAGCACCAAACATGTCAACATATATTAAGACTATCTTCTAATAGGATTGCAAGTGTGCAACTTGGGTGGGCTTTGGTTGAGCTGAGTATTTGTTAAATTTGATATCATCCCCTCGTCTATACCAGAGAACTGTCAAAAGAAGACCTAAAAGATTTTTCGTTCTTTTTTTTTTTTGGAAGAAGAAGAAGAACTAAAAGATTGCTTTTGAAGAAAAAAAAGACCTAAAAGAATCACTCTGCTATTTCTTTTTTATTTTAGGCATTTTTTTATAAATATTTATTTTAGGCATTCTTATTCCATGCACCATTACCTAACCACATATGATCAGATATGACAAAGCAACTGTTGTTCATAACAATAGGTATGCCCACAACCGACTTATGGGTATTGATCAACTAGTTACTTGTGCAGTAGGTGTGCCCCTCAACTGACCAGTCAATTGACTAACCACCTTCTTTCCCGATGGTAGAATGAAGCTCTAAAAAGCATGGTTTAAAATGTCCATAAATTTCCTAATATTTCCACAATATATTTCCATTTCTGTGGATAGGTGACATGAAATTTTATTTGAATTGACATATTCCCCAATGAACACTACCAACACTATTTTCGAGCACAAGAGACAGTATTGTAACATAATTTGGTGACAATATTGTAGATATGTAGCGTAGCAATGTTATTACCTGCATAATGTACATAAGTACCACTTTGATCCAGCTCAATATTCATTTCAAACATGTTAAATATTAGTTTTTGTTTGTGTAATAGATTATTTGGTTGATCTATAAGAATCATTTGCTTTTCTATGAGCTTAAACTTTGCTTCAACTTATCTTAAGGTTTACAGGGCAACTTCGCAATGTATTATTTTGTTTATAACCCTATTTTTTAGCTTTGTTTAATGATTTGGAACAAGATAATAATTTAAAAGTGTGTCTATGCTTCCTTTACCATTTCATAAAATATCATCTATATTTTTGCATATTACCACCATGTCTATAATTTTTACAATATTTCTATCGATATTTCCAACATGTTTCCTATATTTGGATGACCGACATTACCACCAATACTGACATTTTAAACCTTGCTAAAAAGTAAAGGGTGAATGAAAATAAAATCATTTCATTCCAGGTGGCATGCAAACAGACTCTAAGTAATTCAGTTAATCATCTTCTTTAACAAGAACTTTAGGGAGATCCAAAATGTAAATTGGGAAGGAAAGTGCTAAAAAGATATATAAACTCAAATTTCATGGATAATGACAAACATCCTTCTAACAGGATCCATTTTTATACCAAAAAAAAATTAATTTTTTGATTGAACAATAGCAATTTACCAAGTAAAAATAAATATGACAGAAGCTGTGTTGATAAAGAAAGAAGCACCTGTCTTGTCCCATCAGAAAGATATGGATTCCGGTCAGTGATTGGAAGGAGCAGATGCTTGAAATTAGTAAAAGCATCTGCAGCTAAGCTTGTTTCAGATTCTTGCTCCTTTGCCCTTGCTGGAAACAATTGAAGCAGAGGGTGTTAGAAACAAGTCATTATTCAAGACAGAGAGTGCAATCACCAATTATTTATTTATTTATTTATTTGAGAAAGGGTAAAGTAACTTTATTAGAAAATGATCAAGAGATTACAACAGAAGTCCCAAAAGAGGAGCCAAATATACAAGATCAAAGCTCTAAATCACATTACAATTCTAGCAGATTTCTGGTCCTCAGCTGAGCCCCAAGAACTGAGGTTTGGAGAACTTTTGCAACCGCAATCCAAGAGACCAGCTTGCCAAAAGTATAAGAAATTAGACAGTCTGAATCTTTAATACTATTCTGGAAAATCCTTCTATTCCTTTCTGTCCAGATACTACTAATCACTGGTGCAGGAATAGCCAACCACACTTTTTGCCAGCTTAAACCTTGGAGCTCCCAACACCATAACAGGTCCAACACAGAATTCAGCATGACCCAAGATAAGCCCAAGGAAGATAAAAAAATGCCCCCAAATAGGAGAGGAGACAGTGCAATGGATGAACAGGTTATTGCAAATAAAAAACAAGGAAAAAGAACAACAAAGTTCAACCTGATAGGAGGCTGAGCATTGTAAACTACAGGTGGAAAATTATCTTTGCTATAATCTGTTTCATTCACTGCTTTTGACTCCATAAGTGAGATCAGAAGTTCTAATTGTCAACCATTCTCAAAATTAGCTGACCAAAGTCAAAATGAAATTTCAAGTAATGGTTGTATGCTAACCTTACTAGATGCTTAGAGCTTAAAGATAAGTTCTTTCAACATGTCGTTTTGCAAGCATTAACTCTGACTAGGAAATTTTGAATCATTTAGTTATTGTTACCTTGAATAAGAGCAATGCCGGCAATGTACCAAGTTCTGTCACACTCTCTTACCCCCATTACAAGTAGCCACAAAAACCATTATACCAGTTTGTTAGCAGCAGGGAAGTAGCATCAGTCAACCAGTATTGTAAGATTCAGACCGGACATAAAACCAGAATGCTCACTGGGTCACGGTTTTAACAGTTAACCAGATGGTTATCATGAAAATCATCATTTAACCAGGACCCAGAAAGGTCACTGGCTCACCAGGTTACAATTCAACTGTCCAATATGGTCTGAGTCTTACAACATTGCTAAAAACAGCTTTACTAGAGATGCAATCTCGTTTTTTGGAAAAAAGGTAATGTAATTTATTCAACACAAAAAAAGAGAATTAATACAGCAAAACCCAGACCACTAAGACTGTCTGGGTACAAATCAAATTACAAACTCATCCAGGACTGAGAACTAAACAAAAGAGCCAAATTCTGATGTTTGAACTCCTCAGTAACCGACACCCAAGAGATTAACTTGCCCACAGCTCTCTGCACTACTTCATCCGGACTTTTAAATTTACTACAGAAGATTCTGTTGTTTCTCTCAGCCCAAATGGACCACAACACAGCTGCAGGAATGGTACTCCATACAAGCTTTCCTTTCTTTCTGAGGCCCTCAGTTCTCCAACAGCCCAACACTCCTTCACCGATCTTGGCATAACCCAACTAATATCCAAAGCCTTTAGGAAGTGCCCCCAAACCATGAAGGAAATTGGGCAGTGAATACACAAATGCTCTGTAGTTTCTGCAAGAGATCCACACAAACCACAAGAAGGATCCAGAATCTGAATGCTACCCCTCCCCAGATTAGCTTTAGTCAGACATTTATCAAGAGCCATTGTCCAAACCAGAAAATTAACCTTGGAGGGACTAATTGGGTTCCAAATCTGGTTGGCAGGGAAATCCAATTGACCTGAACTGTTCAGCTTAAGGACCAGGGACTTTATAGAGAAGCAGCCGTCTGAATTCCATTTCCAGCTCCATTCATCCTCCAGACTCATATCTACTTCTGATTTTGAAGTTGCCCCAACAGCTCCACATACTCATCCAACTCCCAGTCAAACAAACTTCTCCTACAAAGAGGGGTCCAAACAATGGAACCACCAGAAGAATTAAAATTCTCAGCTACTGAAGATTCTTGATTCACAGAAATTTGGAAAAGGAGAGGGAAAGCATCTGCCAAGGAGCCCTCCAAAGAGATCTGCCCCAGCTTGGATGAAGTTCCCTAGATCTCCAATCACCCCACTCCACCGTATACTTCGCAGCAACAAGGTTTCTCCACCAAGCATTCCTTTCAGTAGCAAATCTCCATAACCATTTACTGAGAAGGACTGAGTTAAATTTCTTCAGATTTCTTATTTCCAGCCCACCAACTTCCTTAGGGAGACACACTTACTCCCACTTTACAAGGTGAATCTTCTTTTCATCTTCCCATCCCCTCCATAAAAAGTTCCTCTGAATTTGCTCGAGCCTATTTGCTATTTTGTTTGGGATGGAGAAAAAAGATAGAGAAAATAAGTGGGGAGGTTAGAAAGGGTACTCTTAATCAACGTCACTCTACCCCCAAATGACAAATATTTTGCCTTCCAAGAAGCCAATTTTTTTTTCTCCATTCTCTCAATAATTGAAACCCAAGTCAAGGAGGAAGAGCATTTTGCCCCGAAAGGCAGCCCCAAATACTTTACCGGGAGGAATTCGATTTAACAAGCTATCACTTCTGCACATTCTTCTAAATTTGAAACTTGGCCCACTAGGATAATCTGACTTTTACTTGGATTGACTTTGAGACCAGACACCACTTCAAACCAGCTCAGAATTCCAAGCACTGTTTCCAACTGAACCGGAGATGCATCAACAAAACATAGGGCATCATCTGCAAATTGGAGGATATTGACCTTTTCCTTATCAGGGGAGATTGCAAATCCTTCCCAATAACCAGAATCTGTTGCCTTCTTGCTAAAAAGAGTGAGGATTTCCAATAACACAGATGAACAACAAAGGAGAGAGGGGATCACCCTGTCTCAAGCCTCTGGAACTACCAAAAACCCTGTATTGCCCATTAATTAGGATTGAAAATTTAGGGGACTTAATACAAACTCTGATCCAGTTTCTCCATTGCTGCCCAAAATTCATTTTTAACAACACAAGATCCAGGCAATTCCAATTGACATGGTCATAGGCTTTCTCAACATCAAGTTTACAAATCACACCCGGAGTTCCCTCACTTCTTCTGGAATCTATCAGTTCATTAGCAATGAGAATTAAATCTACCATCTACCTCCCCGGAACAAATGCACTTTGGTTATTAGAAATTATACTGCCTAACACCCCTTTCATTCTTTCTGCCAAAACTTTAGCCAGGATCTTATAAAAACTGTGCAAGAGGCTAATAGGTCCAAAATCCTTGATATTCACAACCCCTTCAATCTTTGGAATAAGAGTAATAAATGTGGCATTCAAACTTCTTTGTAGAGAGGCATTTGAATGAAAAGCCTGAAACACATTCATCAAGTCTTTTTTCACAAAATCCCAGCATTTTAAGTAGAAAAGGTTTGTAAGACCATTCGGCCCTAGTGATTTATCACCTTCTAACTTCTTAATTGTTGTCCTAACTTCCTCCTCTGTGAAGGGTCTCTCAAGCCAAAGTTTTTGATCTTCACTCAGCTGCTTGAAAGGAAGGTCTATAGGAAAGGGTCTGTGGGTCCAATTTTCCTTATAGAGATTTTTTATAAAAGGATGTTGCCACTGACTTAATCTCTGCGATTGATTCCCCACTACTACCTTCCCACACCAGCTTGTTGACTGAGGAAGCTCTAAACACTGAGATGGATTCAATATTCCTCTTAATATTGATATCATCTTACTGAAAGTCCTAATTATGAATAATCTTGGATTAGGTTAGAAGAAGGCATGATAATCAAGACCCAATAATCACTACTGCAAGGGCCATTACCCTATATATATATATATATATATATATATATATATATATATAAAGAGAGAGAGAGAGAGAGAGAGGGAAGTGATTTTACCCTATTTTTAATCTATATCTACCATATATGTACCTAAAAAAAATAGACCTTACCACTTGCCCACTAGAAAGCCTAAGACGATATGATCAGGTTTGACAGTCAAATAATCCACATGCAAGGGCTCTTTAACCTACATATGATGGAAGGCAAACTTAATATAGTTTCTAAAAGGCCTTAAATAATCTAAATAAATCATTTTGTAGTAAGGGGTTAAAAACAAGTGTCCCTTGGCAAAACTTAAAAGAAACATAGAAATGAGCCAGCATTTCCTTTTTTTCGCTTCATGGGGCTATGGGTACCCCATCCTCCATACCCAAACCTCCCAACCTGTGGTGGCAATGGGATCCGCTACACCAAGCCAGAGACCCTATCAACTGAACCACCGTCAGTTAGTAAAGAAATGGCCTAGTAGGGAATTAATTCTTACTTGAATCATATAAATTGTAAGCTCCATGAATCAAATGGCAGGATTCAAATAAAAACCCTTTGCATTCATGATGCAAATCATAAAATCATAAAATCATAAGATTTTAAGTAGGTTGGAAGAAAGATATGCGCATATTTTTAAGCTCTTCTCTCAACTCAAGGAGATGGTTCTAGGGAAACAGCAATCATGCACTCTTTGGCTGTCTGTCCACAAAAATTTTAGGAATATTGAGAATCACACTTTTCCTCTTTTTTTTCATGACACTTTTTTCAGCACAGAAGATAAAATTTGTTTTGAAATACCACAGTACATAGATTATCACCATACATGAGCTATACTTGCTCTTTGATATATTTCAATAAAGGGATGTCCTAAAAAAAACAACAACAAAAGAAAAGAAGAAAAAGGAAACATGAACTGTGAGTTTCTAGTCATAGATCAGGGCATGAAAATCAATTAGCAGACTTATAAACCCCAAAATTTTTCACTGTTTGCAGTAGATAATCCAAACGCCACAGTTTTTAAGTTTACTGGAGTAACTTTAAACTTAGAATATTCGACATCCCAAATGCACCACGGTTTTCACTTTTCTGTAGTATCTTAGTAGTTTGGATCAGCATCCGCTTGGTTTTACTAGTTTGAATCAACATTCGCCATTTTCAATTTATCTAAACAGTTCTGTCAACAAAAAGCAAGTGAAAAGTAGAAGCAGAAAGCCCTTAACTTTGGGACAATATGGCATTAAAGAGAACGGAATGGCGAAACAGGATTCATGTAGCCGACCCCATATAGTTGGGATAAGGTTTGGATGATGATGACCTAAAAACCATTTCAAAGTATGATCAGAGGCCTGCCTAGTGCCAACCATTTCAACTTAAACCCACACTAATGACATAATACAGACAAAATCATGAAATCAAATCTCTAACTTTAAAGAACAAAAGAAACTAGCCTTAACTACCTCCATACATTGAAGATGAAACAGAAGATGGACAGTCCTCAGTTAAGAAAAAGACGAAGGAAGAAACGTGGTTACTGAAAGAGAAGAAGAGTACCTGCTGTAAGTGCGATTTTACTGAACCTAGAAAAGAGTGATAACTTGCGTTCTTTGGTCTTTGTCCGAAGAGAAGAAGAGAAATTATTCGAGAAGAGAGAAGCAGTATTGGCAGTGGAAGAAGCTGAATAACAAGAAGATGACATGAAAATCGATACTTTCGGAGGGTTTGAACCGTCCACGGACATGGCGAGTGAATGATGAGCAAATGCCATGGCAGAACCGGAATGGAATCTTCAAATGCTATTACTCACTAGTCACTACCACGAGAGAGAGAGATTCTCTGGTATTTTTATTGTTTTAATAACAGAGGAAGAGTGAAGACATTTCGAGAAGTGGGTGAAAAGAATTATTGTTTAAAGGCCCAGGGGTGCGTACATGCTCAAATGAGGATGTCGCATCTCGCAACTGGCATTGTCGCTGCTTTACAGTTTAGATACACGATTCCGGGCTTGGGCTTTAGGTTTCGTGGCTAGGCCCAGACCGTGCCAGGCCATAAATATATTATATATTGATTTATTTTTTTAATTTAGGAAGAATGATGGTTCAACCGAGGGTCAAAATTTGTAGGTTCAAAGTATATTTGGGGTAGGTGTCAGTTCGAAATTGATGTCAATTTACGGGAGGGTATGAATGCATAGAGTGTGGGTTTTAGATATTTTTATTGTTTATAATTCTGCAGTAGAAATCAGAAATCTGTATTGAATCTGTTCGCACGTTTAATTTAACTAGTAAATTATTTAGAATAAATTACAAAAAACCCCGCATACTTTATCATTATTGTTGGCACACAACAATAATTGAAAAAATATCTAATTTTCTAGACATATTTTTATGCTTCAAAGTAAAAATTAAGACCCTCAAACTCTGGAATGATGATAGAAGGACTTATTTATTCATACATACATATATATATATATATATATATATATATATAAAAGTAACTTTTCTTTATGATAATTTTCAGCCATTTTATAGGATAAAATATATTTTTTCTTTGGCCTTTTGAATTTATGCTTCTCCGGATTTGCAATAATAAAATGGGGACCATATTTTGAAAATTCCCTTTTAAATACCATTAATACCCACAAACTTATATTTTAAATGACTATTAATCCCTTACAAATTTTTAAAATCTGAATTAACCCTCCAATCATTTGTTAGTACTTTAAAATGACTAAAATGTCCTGAGTACTTCCTAAACCCAAATTTGTCCACTTGTTCCCATTGTGCTTGTCCATTTACAATAAAAATTATCCACAAACAAAAGCATTACCCATGGATAACTTTTAAACTATCAGATTAAACACTCTCAAACACTACCCAAGTGACACATCCCTTAATTACCCAAACAATATATTATATCTAATAAAAATTACGAATGGAACAAAGAAAAAAACTGGAAGCTCTTCTTTCCACAAATACATCACCCGATATTGGTCTCTTCTTCATCAAAGGTCATCCTCTTCAAACTTGAAATGGGGTTGACATGAAAAGAAAGTCAAAAGAGGCACCAACATCATGCACTGCCTTTGAAGCTCTTCTCCAATGTGAATTTTTTTCCCTTTTCGCAAAGTTCTAAAAACAAAGCAGAAACAACTGGATTGGATGCACATTGATTTTCAAAACAAAATTACAAAAAACATGTTATTGGTTTGTTTGTGTTTTTTGCTTCCATAAAATCATATTTCTATACTACTACAAATTTGTTTTTGTTTTAAAAACCATTATCTTCATAGTTTCAAAAACATGTTTTGTTTAGGCTTTGTGCTTTAGGGCTTCAAAATGCTTTGGCTTCAGATTATGATCGTTTTATTTTACATAAAACAATTCTGACAAATGAATGTGGTCTACAATGTGATTTTTTTTTTTTTTTTTTTGTTATTGTTGGTTTAAAAAAAATCAAAACCATCTTGCTTTAAAACAAATTGTTCTTTTTGTTTTCAAAACTAAAACCAAAAACATGTTCTTAATCTGGTTTCCAAAACATGTTTTCATTCATTATTCAACATCATGTTCCATAAATCATATAATCTATACTAAAAAAGTTGTATAGTCGTCTAGATATCATTTTCATTTTCTGTTCTCTTCTTTTTAATGCAGCTCCATTTGGTTTGCACCTAAGGCTGTGTTTGGTTGCAATGCAAAATTATGGCAGTGCAAATGATATGGATGCAATTTCTGATTTATTTTTATTTCAAAGCTTACCTTCTTTTATTTGATTGTAGTACAAATAAAGTAAAATAAGATCTGAAGCAGAATAAAGTAAAACCAAAACAAAATTAAACCAGAAATTGCATTCTTTTCATTTGCACTTCTTTGCAGTTGTGCCAGTGCAAATAAAATTGCACTGCAACCAAACACAGCCTAATGGGAAATAAAAATGAAAGATTTGTATAGTGCTTTCTTTTCTGTAATTATTAATTAAAGACTTCAGTGTCGGGTTTAATATAAAATGGCATTCGAGGGGTTTAATATAAAATGGCATTCGAAAGTTAATGCTTTTTAAGAAAATGAGTAGCGCCAGCGGTTGTAAGAAAATGATATTTCTTATAATTTTCCATAAAGTAAATTTTCAAATATAATGTTGGTCCTATACTTTTAAACCAAACAAGCAGAAAAACTAGGAAAATGGTTGTTTTCCTTCATTTCACATTTCACATGCAATTAAACACTGCCTGCGGTTGCCCACTTCATGCCACGTCTATGGAAAGTAAGGAACTCATAGAATACAACTTCCAAAGCATCTAAATAGAAAACAACGCAAGCAACATCAAATAAAATACAAACTATGAAAAGACTCCTAAATGACAATTCAAAATGGATAGGGGAAAGGTGAGTGAGACAGCATGAGAATTCCTGTAAATTTTGAGTTTTAAGATGAAACAGATTGTTGGAAACCAGGGATCAGAAATCAATTTTAAAAAATGGTTTATCCAGATCATTTAGCAACTTCAGTCAGATCCTTTATTGTACTCAACTCAGGATACTTTTACCCGAGCATTCCAACCCACAGATAGGTGAACCATTTATGTAGTGGTAGAGAAAATAACATCATCCGATTAATCAGGAAAGATCTTTCAACTTCTCGTAGTCTTCGAAGCTCAATAAAGAAGACTTGATTTTTGGCCAATCTGTTGGCTTCGGCATGATAATTGCAATGTATCCTTCTCTGGATGCCTGTGATGCAAATATAAAAATGCAGGAGAAAGTGAAACAAATGATTACCACTAAAACGTGAAATGATTATCATTCTAAATGGCTAAATTATTGTAATGCCATTCACTAGCTGGAAGGAAAGACAAAAGCCAACCCCTTGGTAGTGTCAAAGCAAGGTATACATGCAATGGGATCAGGATTTGGACATCAGAGAATTCTCCACTCATAATGTAGCAAGGATCCTGTAGATATACAAGGGGAAATAGATTCCATGCAGCCACTTCCAACACCTATTCTTAAAGTCAGTTAAGATTTGAGCCAGAAAAGTACAATGCACCCACTGCAGAATTCTGAATTCCACTGCAGACTTACAACAATTCAAAATGTCAAACCCCCCAGCCTAAACACCAATACCCACCCGTGTATTGGCATCAATTCCGAGCTGGCACCTACCCCAACTGTACAGTGGGGCTAAGAATTCTGATGGTGGGCTGAACAGTCATTCTCCCTAATTTCTTTTCACCACCTTTCTTTGGTGCATTCACCATATATTCTGAATCCTCAAAAGCACAAGCCAAATATTACTAGCAGTCTGACCTTTTTGGGTATATCTCGATAGATATGTGAGCGTGTGAAGAAACTATATTTATGGATAAAAAATATTACAATTGTTTTGGTCCTTTTTACTCTACAATAGTGATATATGACATGATGAGCAAAGTTCAAAATTTCGATACAATACGCCCCGTATTGGGCGTATCGTATCATATCGGTAGCTGTCCAAAACCCCAAATAAGGGGTGTTTTGGACTTTGACTATTTTCAGGGGGTAGGCATGCTTAAAACCGACCCCCTGATGCAATTTTGAAAAAAAAAAAAAACTTAAAATAACAAACTTATAAAGTAACGAAACACCTGATACACCTGTTCGTGCGTATCGGGTGTAACAATACTTTAAACCATGTTGATGAGTACTGTTCTGAGATAATGGTGTTATGTGAAGACCTTAATATCTATCAGCTGATAACTTCTTCTGTGTGTGTGTGTGTTTTCTTTCTTTCTTTCTTTCTTTCTTTTTTATTTTTTGATTAGTAATCAATCAATAACTTCTGATATCACAGTTATGCAATAACAGAGAAATGATCTCCATATGGCAAAGTTTGTATCTAGTATTAAGTCTGAGTATTTGAAGGTGGGCCTTTGCGCAACAGTTGGGTCGCTCCATTGCAACCTGGGTGACCAGGGTCCAAATCTTGGAAAAAAAAAAAAAGCCTCTCTGTATGCACAGGGGTAAGGCTGTGTACATCTGTCCCTCCCCAGACCCCACATTGGTGGGAGCCTCATGCACTGGGCTGTCCTTTTATTATGTCTGAGTACTTCTAGGTAGACCTGAACAGCCATCTACGGATGATGTTTTCTTGCAAATGTTAAAGAAAAATCAACTCTTCAAAGGAAAACCGTCCAAATTTGTTTCCAAAAAACAAACCATAGGAAACTGTGAGTATCTTCCAGCATTCCCAACACTTCTAAATGGATAATCCAAATCACATGGTCCCCCCCAAATGAACAGCTGAAGAGGCAATTCAAACAAATATAAGATGGGGGTCATATGGAGTTAATTAGGTTGCAATGCAATATTAAAAAGTTCTCTCTGAGTGAAAAGCCACCTAATCAATGTTGGAAGATTTGGACCATTTACCAAATGAGAAAGGCCATCAGGTCACAGGTCAAGTGGTCCGAACACTAGGTTGACGTAGTGACCCATGATGTCATATATATAAATATATAATATATTATATAACTTAACATGTATATTGGTTGTGGTTTAATGGTTATTTTTCTGATTTCCATAGATATAGATATTCTTTTATTGGTAACTTGTCAGCATTTTATTGATGTGAGAGAAATAATAAATTTACAATACAAAGATACAAGCAGGACCCAGCCGTTCACTACTACAAACAGCTTCCCCTTACCCAACCCTTCAGAATAAAAACAAATGGTGTTATAGCTTAATGGTAATATACAATCTTTTGTAAATAAGAGGTTATGAGTTCAACTCTTCTCATTGTCATTTTATAACATATGATGAAGCAGTGATCCGGAAGGGTTGTTAAGAACTGGCTAGGTTACTAAATAAAGGTGGTTTGCAAGGGTTTCCCCAAGTTAATAGCAGGTCAAACGGGTTTTGAAAAAATAAAAAAAAAAGTAAAAAGCAGAGCATTAAAAACTAAATTGCCCACCAGTTCTTGAGTCTGATGGTCCAACCATCTGTCAGTCTGATTGTTACAACACTGCTCCTGATTGAATTAAATCCATACTTTTTTGGTAACAAATTGAATTAAACCCATATGTTTATATGCATATATTGACTAATTCTTACCGATGAGTTAAGCAATCCAGGTTGCTTAATTAGCCTTTCATTCACTTCCAGTAAAGAGCCTTTTACACAACATCTGAAAAAAGCCACCAAAATTATTCAACATTAAAAACAACTTTCTGTCCCACTTTGTTTTTCTTTTTATATTTTATAGGTAAAATGAAAAGGAAAGAAAAAAGTATCTAACCTCACAATATAGAAATTATCGTTAGTACACACTTTACACAAAGCTGAGTTGGGTTCAAAGTGTTGTGCATTCTGCATAAGAACGTATCTATATATTAAGACCTCGTGGATGTTGAAATAAGGTTTCAGATCATCCATATGCATATAATATCACCAAAAAGTTGAAAAGAAAGGCTGTTAAATGATATCATGTCAAATATGAAATATTATTCTTTAAAACATGTCAAGCTTTCTGAATGCAAACTACTTCCATGCTTAACTCTACCATGTGCATTCATGTGCAATGTAGGTGTAAAAGTAATTAGTAGATGATATAGATCTGGCACAAAAATTTTGTGAAGACAAACAAGAACCAGCATCAAAAGAGACATGGAATTATTACAAAATGATCCAACATTAGTTATTAAATAATACATTATGAAAAAAGTGGCTCTCTAGATCACATGATAATCTGCAAAAGAGATTCTGGTTAATGGGATGGTTATAATATTAAAGTACATTCATCAAGGTCACAGCCTGTATCTCACTAGAAGGATACAATAGATGGAATTAACAATTAATCTACATCATTTTTTTGATAACAATGTTTCTTCCAAAGTAATGCTTATGCATAACAACTTTCCATCCTTGTTGCTCCAGTAAGGCCATGAAGAAAGATTTACTCATGGGTAGGCAGACTCATGCATGCTTTCTAAGTGATAATGGTCCTCTAGGAGACAGATTTTCCTTCAAGAAATAGTAAATGATATATACCCATACAGCATGATCGCTGTATTTCACTCAAAGTAAACGAAACTACCAGATTCTGGTTTCTTATCAGTCAAGTATTTCACTTTTGCTTTTGCTGTTAGGAAAAGTTAACACACTATGCCCATACAGCATAGTCGCTCCTATTCAACTTAATTGGAGTTATTTGAATAGGAATAAAATCAGAGATCAACAAAATTGTAAACTTCATTTCATCATGTATACTCAAAAAATAACAATTAACAAACACCAGAATCTGGTATTCTATCCTCACAACCATCAAATAATCACAAAGAACAAAAACAAAACTGTTTCAGCATGTAAATATCAGTCACTAACCTGTCCAAATGAAGGAGCAACATTCCTTTCCAATTGTAGATAAAAAATTTTAGCAGAAAAACTGAGTAATCACCATTCTCACACGTCATAATCTGCATAATCATTGTCTTTCTTGACTCATAACTAGCACATCAGACCAAATACCTCAATCCCTCTTTGTATTAGAACAAGGAAGAACAATCAGTTCACTATCACCTCACTTTGAGAGAAGAAAAACATCAAGAAAAATAGTGAGAAAACACTCACCATCACCATCATCCAAGCCTTGTCCCAACTATATGGGGTCAGCTACATGAATCTTGTTTTGCCAGTCCATTATGTTTAATGACATATTCATTGTTAATTATGAGTGCTTAAATCATTTCTTAATGCTTTAACCAATGTCCTTTTTGGTTTGCCCCTAACCCTGGGTGACCAAGGTTCAAATCTTGAAAACAGCCTCTCTGTATATCTGCCGGGGTAAGGCTACGTACATCTGTTCCTCCCCAGACCTGGCATTGGCAGGAGCCTAACACACTGGGCTGCACCCTTTCCTACTGTATCAGAGATCTCTAATGGCCTACTCCTTTTGTATTTTCTCACACCTGATAGACTGTCTTCTCTCAATAAAATCAGTGCATTTTAGCCCCCAAAAGAATTGTCAAATTTTAAACTTTAAAATAATAGAGGGCTCCTGACAAGCATTTCTCTTAACCCTTTTGGCCAAAAAAATTGGTCAACCGCTTGGGTTACAATTACAAAATGTCGAGTTGAAACTCATCAAGGCCATAAGGAGGGTGTCCTTCAATTAACTAAAAAAGAAAATGAAAATATGAAGGTAATAGGCATGGCAGTTATGTGCAGTGTAAAGCACCCTTCTTCAGTTACTATCACTAACTATGGCAGGTTGTCATAACCAGCCATTTCTGACCGCGAAGCACCCTAGTGTAGTTCTCTGATCAAAAATTGGAGTTCTGAAACTCACAAGGAAACTTAGTTCGAACACAAGCACACTGTCTCAGAATTCCATATATCGACTGTTTGAGAGGTTGTCTACAAAATTAATGTATGAGGCAAAACTCACCTAATATGGAACTAATGGAGTCATTGAAATAGAAATATGCACAGATCGATTCATTCAGACAATCCAGAAGATTAAACCCTAAACCCTACACCTGTAAACTAACTTAAGAAGTTCATCAAGTTATATTTGCCACCACGAGAATCAGAAAAATAAGGAAACAAAAACAAGATTATGCCATGAAATTAGTATTTCAATATTTCCGTTTTGTTGTCTACTGCAAAATCGTCAAACATTCAGAGGACAATCAAAAGAAGAAGAAAAGAGGGTACCTTTTTACGCTTCCCGGTAACCTTGATCGCGCTTCGGTCTGACTTCCCAACATTGAAATCGATAGCCGTAACTCCGCCTTCCTCCTTCAAGGCCACATGCGTCGGAGCCAAACCAATCACGCATAGCCTTTAGATCAAAACGAAAGCCCAAAAAAGAGAATTTAGAAAGAAAAGGGCTACATCAAAGACGGACAACCAGGAAAGATCAAAACTTTACCCGTTAGCGTGGCGATATACGTACTGGTCGTGTCCTGGCTTGATAAAATCTGCAAGTACAAGACAATGAGAAAAAAAAAAAAAAAATCTATAGGAGAGAGAGAGAGAGAGGTGAAGTTTGTCCATAATAGGTCCTATATAGTTGTTTATGGAGAAACCTGGAGCAAAGAAGCTAACGTAGTTGGAATCGACCACAGAGGGAGGAGTCAGAGGGAGGTCTCGAATATCCGGGACCAGAAGCTTATGCAGTTCTTCTTCTTCTTCTTTCACCACCTCTTGTTCTTCTTTTACCTTCTCTTGCTGGTCGGAATAAGGGGGTGAAGATGAATTTCCAGTGTTTATTTCTTCTTCCATCACGGCCAACTTAACAAGCAGCAGAGAGAGCGGTCGTACGCCAAATAGTATTCCCCGGAGTGTAGTATTCCATCTCGGCAAAATCTCGGGACTGGGGAGCACATACACGGCAGCTAACAGCCTGACGCCGTGACGCAGATGGACCCAATTGCCAGTTATCAGTCAAATTTTACAATCACTCGAAAATCAGGGCCCTTTGTTGTGAGATCACATGTTATTGGAAACATCTTCCGATGATGAGATGTGCAGTGGGGCGTCGTGGGGCGGAGATGTAAACTCCTTCATTGTAGGGGTGAGAAAAAAATCGAAAAATCAAACTAATCGAAAAAACCGATCCAAATCAAATCAAAAAACGATTAATTGAATCAGTCGATTTGATTTCGGTTTGATATTATTAAAAAATCATTAATTCTGGTTTGATTTCGGTTAATCTATTAAAAACCGACGGTTAATTGAATGACCGATATATATTAATAATATATATATTTGATAAAAAGCCATTATCTAATGTTGACTTATGAGGGTGTCTAATCACCTTGATGGGTGTAGGGGTGAGCACAATTTGGTTAAAATCGAAAAACTGAACCAAAATTTTGGTTTCGGTTAATTGATTTTTTATTCACTTTCAGTTTCTAAAATCAGTTTTTCCATATTTCGGTTTTTTGTTTTGGTTGTCATGGTTCACAAACCGGTTAACCGGAAAAAAAAAACGATTTATTTTTAAAGTTATATAATTTTTTAATATTATTGATATTTTCTATAATTTGATACGTCAATCAATGCATGGGGTTAATAGAAACTAGAAACTTTCCGATCCAATACAAGAAAACTTAAATGTCTACACCATATAAAGTCTAACTAAAAAGGAAAAACTAAAAAGAGTAAGTTTCAAGTTTCCTTTTCCTTCTCGAACACTTCAGTGAACCCTCTTGCTTCTTCTTTTCTTCTCTGTTTTGGATTTCTATTTTGGTTTTTAACCAAAATAACCGAATAAAATTTTGGTTCGATTTGATCAGTTCCAACCAATTTTGGTTTTGGTTCGGTTTTAGCCTACAATAGATCGGTTATAAAAAAATCGGTTTTTCAGTTTGATTTTGAACCAAACAAACCAAATGCTCATCCCTAGATGGGAATGTTGTTGCTTTAAGTGAAGGCCCCTAAAACCTATACATAGTACAGAAATTTAAGGACTTAAACATGCTTGTAAATATGAACTTACATCCAAGATTTTACCAAAAGCATAATGCCCAAGATTTACTAAACATGATTGCATAATTTATGAAAGATCTTAAAAGGACAAAAAGAGTGATTTGAAATGAAGAAACATATTAAACACAAAACATAGGGGTGTTCTACAACATACATAAATGTTTTTGTTTTCATTTGCTTTTGGAATTGCCACATCAGCTAAAAAACAAAAACATGTTCTTAAACTTTGTTTTTATTTTCAAAGGGAAAAATAAGATGGTTTTGTTTCAAAAAACATACATGTTGAAAGGGAAAAATAAGATGGTTTTGGAACCGACAAAATATTGGTTTTTAAAACAAAAACAAAATTTTTAGTATTATATGATTTATGGAATATGATGTTGAATAATCAGATGAAAACATGTTTTTGAAACCAGATTCAAGAACATGTTTTTTGTGTTTTTTGTTTTAAGAAACACTGTTTTCAAACAAGATGATTTCATTTTTTTTTTTTTTTTTGAACTGGCAACAATAAAAACAATTCACATTATAGTGTTTACCAAAACACTTGCACCAATAATTTAATGGCCCAAAGGATCTTTAGCAGTATCAAAACGTTTAAAACTAAAATTAAGCATCGTTCCCACATGCTTTCATGCTGATAGAATTGCTATCTTCATGCCTTAAGTTGATAACGTATCTACCACATCCAATTCAGTTGTATCCACAGCCATAACCACAAGGCAATGTTCCACTGCATTCTCATTAGTAGATTCTGGATCATAAGTTCATAACCATCAACTATACCAGACCCAGCCAGAGATACAGAGATACAGAATCACAATTAGTTGATCTTCTGTAAGAATTATCTATTTTCCTCTCTGATTCAAGTTCACTTTCACCTCCACAATCTGGATGCTAAGGATACATTTGTTTCCTTGCATGCGAAAACAATTCAGTGGCCAATCTTGTAACGAATCCAAGGGTAGCTAGGGAAATGGAAACTGGTGCACCTTGTCCAGAATTACTCTCTTATGAATGAATATTTGTGTTGTATTCTCCTTTCCGGATTGTTATCTGTCTCTTTCTGTTGTGCAATTTCATGAACATCATTGATTCATAATTCGATCATTCATAGAAATGGAAAAACAAAAAGACAAGGGGATTAATTAGAGTCCAGGAGCACAACTGGTAAACTGAAAGATACAACTAGTCAACACTACTGACAGTCTGTGGCATGGCAACACATATGGAATGCACAGAAGCGTGGAAGGAACCATCTAATGAATTCCACACATGAGATATCCTATGACAAGGAAGGTTATTCAGGTTTTCAGTGAATAAATGTTTTTGGTGCATGAGGTATCCTACATGGCATCCATTGTAAGTCTCCCACCCCACAGGTATTAAATTCATTGATGTCCAATACACCATCCTCTCCAGGAGGAATTCTAGACTTTCTCATAATGTGTCAAAAGTAACACTCTTAAAATGTACCCACCTCTTTAACATTCTCTAGGGCATCCTTTCATTTTCATCAACCGTTTCCTAACCATCAACCATCATCATCATCTCAATCAACCAAATCTGTTATTGGAAAAATGTAGTAACTCCCCTAGAAGAATGAACTGTCATTTTATGCTCATGATTATGAATATTAAAATAGAATTTGTCATCAAGTTCTCCCCTTTCTTCTTTCTTCTTTTTTAGTTTTTTGTTAGAGGGATCATTAAGTTGTATGAGAGATGAGTGAACAATTTTTTATTGTTAAAACTTGAATTAAGCAATGAAAATTTTCAAGCAAATGGGCAATGCATACACCATTGGAAATTTGGAACCTTCCCATCAGTCCATGTGATTTCAATATTACCATCTTTAGGACCTATAATATTACCAACCCAAGAAAGGTCTAAGAAGTGTATAGGTTTCACCATTGGAGACATTGTCTTCTTTCAGACCTGCAAATGCTTTTCTAAATCACTTTTAGCTTCTTTTGAAGCAACCTGCTGCTTTGCCTCCTCAATAGGATTCCTAGAATCAGATGACTGAAGGAGAAACAAGGGAAAGCCAAACTACCACATCCCCATAACAATAGTCATAATCTGGATACCCCTCCAATTCATAAACACTTAATACTTCCTCCTTACCAAACTCTCAGGGGTCTTCTGGCATGGAAACAGGCTTTAACCACCTCACAATGGCCATCCGCTCCTTTGCATTCTCCCTTCACAACCCCAGCACACTTCAGTACTTCACATCACAAGCACCATCATTATCATCAGATGCCTTCTCCATCATATATTGTTCAGCAACAAATTCATGACCACTAGGAGTATCAATTGGAATTGAAGTGGCTGAATCTAGTCCAAATTCCTTACTTCCGTCCTGCCAAGACACATCAACTATTGTCTTGATCTATTTAATCAGAAGAGCTTGTTCAAAATTTTCCTCTTCTCTCTGAACATTATTGTCTTTCCTAACCTCGACTCTATGGATCCTTTTCCAATGAATAGGCTAACTTTCATGCACAAGTTCCATTGAAACTGGCATGGAACTAGTACAAGAACAGCATTCTAGTGAAACATTGTTTTCCACATTTCCATTATTTTCATCTAAATTAGGAACTCTGTCAAGGCCCATTGCTTCAATGTTGTCGACTGAAATGAAATTGTAACTTAATTTCTCCTTATCAACCGGCCACTTCCAAATGAGAAGAAACTATTGTGGCCTCAACAAGATCATCGGATTTTTCTTTTCCTAAATCTTTGTTCATTGGAACAGAAGATGATAGAGAAGGCACTGGAAAAAAACACTAGTCACCCAACTGCCAATTTGTATGTGAACAACAAGATAATAGTTTTAGACTCTTCGGACTTTGCTCTTCAGCTAGGGTAGTTGCAGATTCAGAACCGTATAGAGAGGCAGTAGAGGCAATCCAATAGATAAAAACTGATTCAACAATAACTTTTGTAACAGTACCCTCTAACAGGCTGGCTTGGGTATGGGAAACACCCATCTTCAAAAATGTTCTTGGAAACTGGCTTTAGCAGCAATGAATCAGCCTTCATGACTTTACACATCAACCCATCATCAAATGAAAGTACAAAACCATAACATTGTCAAGATATCATCAATTCTTCCTAGCCAAGATCCAAGTACTACATAATTGCTAATACAGAAACCTCACATTGTCTCAAATCCCTGGAGGATGCATCTTTTATAGGGGACCCATCGGCTGCTAATAGATCAACAAATATTTTGACATCCACCACCACACCCACTTATCCTGTTGGATCCAAAGCAGATACAACAACATCCCCATGCAAGAGTCCTCTATCTACAACTCTTACAGCAGTAAGATTGTGTGTTGTCTCATTGTTATATTACTCTAATTTGGTCAACTGGAAGAGGAGCACTCTTGTAACCATTGGCATTCCCACTGGTGTTAGGATTGAGATCATTATCACCACTAGAATCATTGTTATCTCCATCATCATCAGTAATGCAGCTGCCTAAATCCAAGTAGCCGGCAGATTCTGTCGCAACCCCACTCCGACTTGCATCTTTGATGCAACTCATAACATCCTGTCTTTAAATATATGGCACACTATGCAGGTTTGCCTCAACATCTGGTGGTTTGATTGCTCCCCCATTGTCAGAACCTTCAATTGACCCAGAAATAAGCCCATTCATTGCGCAATTCATTACATTCATTGTTCTATTATCATGTAGGATTGAGTGGCGTCAGAAATGTTGATATTGTCATTTTGGCACTCATTTGCATTATTGAAAATTCAAAAGAACAATCCTGAGAGAAAATGAGGCACAACCGCACAAATGAATATGTTAAATCCCATAGTTGGGATAGAAAGCAGATTAACAGGACACATCACTTCTGAATTAGAACTAGCATAGAATGTGTACCAGCAAGACGCGGGATGAGTTGGTTGATATCTACTTTATCAATTTCACAAAAGAAAGAAAATAAAAAGAGTCAATTTGAATTTTTCCCTCGGATAGTTCTCTGATTATTTTGAAATTGAATAAGAAACCTCCAACACTCCGTTCAAGAAAATGCAAGACTAGTAAAATCAAGATAAAATCCAATTGGGATCAAGAAAGGAAAAAATGAAATCACATAACATAAATCTATAAACAACTACATTGTTTCTTAGTTCACATTAGATTAAGATTTCCCCTCTTTGGATCATATAGTCGGCAATCTGTCCAAACAAACAGTAGGCATTCCAATAAAGTTCGTGAGGGTAGATATCGAATATTCTATAAAAGAACTCCTTCATCTCCAGGGCACACATACATTCAACATTCAAGTAGCTATACCAATTGAAAAGCTTTGAGCATTAAAATAAATATTAATTCGCTAATACAAGAAAATGGTTATCACTATCTTTCTTTTTTCTTCCTTTTGAGAAGTGAATAAACGATTGTAAGACTACAAAGGTTGCAATGGTTAGATTGAAGACCGATAATCCATATATCAAAACAAGCATAAAATCTTTCACCAAGTGGCTCCATCCATCGAAAGATTTTGATAGCAGATAAAAATCACGAGGTTAACTTCTAAGAGCAACACTTTCATTGCAGGCATAAAATCTTAAGATAGCACCTTATTACCCTCATGAGGAGAAAGAGGGGTCTCTTCGAACAAACGGCTCTGATGACCCCGTTTGGCATTTCTTTTCACGCGGGCTGTGGCTTTTTAGAAGCAGGCGGTTTGCATTTTCATCTTTTCTCGTTTGGTTGGAAAAAGATCTAACCGTCGAAAGTCATAACTCTAAAAATTCATTTGAGCTATTTTTAATAAGTTTCAAATGGAGTTTTTCGCATTTTTTTTTCAACTCATTTTCGCATGGAAAGACACGTCTTAATCAAATTACATCGTCTTTTGACCAAATTTCAAAGTATCTACACATGCCGGTGGGCATATTACCTTGTATCGGTACTTTTTTTAGCTTTTATTTTTTTTTTTGAAATCGGTTCAAAGGGGTCAATTTAAGGCCTGACCACCCTCTGAACCAGTGTTGACCCAATACAACCCCTGGAGGGGCGTATTGGGAAGCTATCAGCACGATACATGTTGACCGATACGGGTCGATACATATCAATACTTTGAACCTTACTTTTGACTATCAAAGCTTCCAGAAAATCTTTCAAAAAAGACTTGCCAAACGCCCTGACTCATCACTTATCACTTAAATAAATGAGTTTTTTATTGGCGCCCTATAAATATCTATGGTATTTGTCATGGGGAGATGTTCCCAGTACATGATCGAGATATAATGTGGGGGTGCCATGCGAATTTCATTCCAAACAAAGGAGGGAACCGGAATAAGGAAGAAGTTTGTAATTACAGTTAGTAACTTTATTATTTATGAATTTAATAATCCCCACATTGATAGCATAGGCCAACCCAACAGACCAAACGGCGTACCGCATAAAGACAGGAAACTTAATATAAAGCTTTTTTATCTTCGGTTGCTTTGGACTTTTGTGAACTTTTTGAGGTGTTGCCAAAGTAAGGGGACAAGAGGTGGCTCAATTGGTATATTGGTTGATTTGTTCTGATATTTGGGGAGGGGTTATTAGTGGTGCAAACACACTTTTGGAGGTGTTGGTCTTTCTATCTTCCCGTTTTTTTCATTGTGTAGCCGAAATTTCGATCATTTTAAAAAACCTAAAAATAAAACACCGCATATAAATACTTTTCAAATCTCAAACGCACCCTTGGTTAATTTACAATTGGATCTATGAAATCACCCCAGGTTATTATGTATCAACCCCGGAGGGCCTGCACTCCGAACTCCAAAATCCAAATGCGAGTAGATTCGAATTTGGACCGGGTCAGGTTATACCCACCTTTTTTATTCTTGATCTAATTAGAAAGACTCAAAGTGAGACCATTTCTCCCTTACAGCCCATGCTTCCCAACGTTATTAGATCTAATCTGCATAGACAGAGTGGCACCCAAATTACTTACATGACATTTTATTGTTAGCGCTGACTGCTGAGACCCATCATGGAATGGGTCAGTGTTTACACCTATGGGCTATGGCCTATGGGAGGCGTTTCTGGGCTGCTTAAGCTTTATGATTTCTCACGTCCAAGGGTGGGCTCGGCCTATTTTGGCCCCAGCCCATTTTCACTACCAAGTCCCAAGTCCCAACATGAATTGATGTAATTTTGCAAATTAACAGATGAAAACTAAAACCAAGCCTTCAATTAACATGCTTGAGCTTTGTTGCTACAGCATCTATGATGATCTCAAAAGCAAACACGCAGATCTACTTATTTCTTCACTTGCCAAAATAAATAAGAAAAACAGAAGCAACCACTTTCAGAGGTTGCTCCATTGACATACTCTTAAATTTACTTATTAAAAAAAATCATATATATAATATAGGCTTCACCTAATTAACCACTCTGCAATCCAACCTAACCTCTTGTCCACCAGCGAGGCTACTCATCTTGATCATAGACTTGACAAAAGCCTTATTGAAGTCCGCCTGGGAGCTAGCAAACTTGGACACAAGCGATTTGGTTTTTGAGGTAGTGAGCAAAGCTTGGTCCGAAGAGAATAGACTCTTCCCCTGGAGGAGTAGCTTGTAATATGTGTTGTCGAATGTGGTGACACTAGAATCCATGGTAGAACCAGCATTCTTTACCTTGTTGTGTGCGGGACAGACAATTCTCAGACTCGTCGCGAAGGCCTGGTTCATCGAAGGATCTATATCACTATTGGGGCTGAAGTTGTGGATTCTGTTCTGGAAGGATGAACAATGAGCGAATCCAAGGGTGTGACCTCCTGCAATTTATTGTCAAATAGTTACTCTAGCCTGCAGGGAACCTGTTGGTCCAACCCCATTTAACCACTGATTGACCGGTACAACATATGTAATTAAATTACCTGAAAGAGCGACCAGGTCTGCCATGGATAAACCTCTCTGAGAGAAGCTTTGCTGCAATTGAGATATGTTGAAGGTGGGAGCTGGCAATTGTCTGGTTTCACTGGCTTTTGAAACTCTTCCATCTTTTCTTCCTTTGGGCACTTCCCAAGTAGGACCTCCAGACTGAGAAAGAAATATTAAATACCATGCATTAAACCATCACTGCTACTCTATGAAATGAATATATACACACACACATATATATATATATAAGCAATGTGTAGTCTGCATTCCACACAGAATCAGTTTCAAGTTTCACTCTTCAGTCCAACCTCAATGAAGAAAACAATTAAAGAGCGAGCAGTGTGGTGTTTGGACTTACTAGAGCAACTGCATCTCTTGCAGCTAGAGCCAAGATATCTGCACAGGAGACGACACCGGGGCACACCGACTCTATTGCTTTCTTTGCATTGTCAATGACATAAAATGCATGCAAGGAAATGTTAGGAGGGCCATCCTTTTCAGCTTGGTTGTTTCCTACAGATTTCAACAGCACCGAGCCATCGCAACCCTTCAAAAAACAAAACAGGAATTAATTCAATTCAACTGGACGAAGTAGTTCTGGGCTGCTGGCTGATTAAAATACATATTATTTGAAAAAATAAATAAATAAGAAGAAGATTACCCTTATGAAGCAATCATGGAAATGCATCCGAAGTAGTGCTGCCGGCACTGTATTATCATTCGTCATCGCCTTCTTCACAACATTGGTGATGGTTGACTCAGCTTGTGGACATGTTTTGTCGTAGTAGTCTAAGCTGAGGGCATCCCCAGGAGAAGAAACTGAGAAGACGAAGAGTGTGCACAGAAGTGCAACAATGGCTGCCATGCCGGCCAATATAGATTCTCTGGTATATCTACTTATCTTTCTTTCGCTCTAATTCTGTGCTAAGTGGAGATGAGAACAAGGGTATTTATAGAAGAGATGAGGAGAAGGAAACAAATGGAGATGTTAATGGAAGAAACGAAAAGTGGTGGTTATAGTAATTAACATATGCATTTGGTGAGCAAGATTTGCAAGAAGGAATCTACATTACATAATGGAGTAGCTAAAAAAGAGAGAATCCGCATAATGGAGTAGTGTGTTTGAAGCATCCCCATAAGAGGACAAATATTTTTATCTCCTATCAATAAACTGGATCAGTTCAATCTGACCCAATCTAATATAAAACCATTACAGATTGACCAGATCCAGTCCAATCCAATAAATAGTTTGGACCAATTAAATCTGGATTAATCCAATTCAATATGTCTTCTCGGTACATTTAATATTTATTCAAATTGATCTTGATTTCAACTAGATCCAACCCAAAACCGGTCCATTGACACCGCTACTTGTGTTGCCCATCACCAAAAGTTGAATTAAATTTAAATTACAAATAACTTTATTTTCCTATTTGTTTTAATGCAAGTGAAGTTTTTTTTTTTTTTTTTTTATAATGCAAAAAAAATGTGCAACACATAAGGATAAGCATATTGACTAAGCGTCAACATCTCAGTTAATTGGCGTAGTCTAATCACAGTTAGTTATCTTTACTGAATCCCACTAAAAAAAAACATTGAAAGGAAAAAAAAAAAAGGAATCTTCAGTTCTTCACCATTGGTCCATCCGGATCAAATCCGCCTGCACATGATTCAAGCATTGCCGTCGAGGAAATAGTAGCCGGAGCAGGTCTTTCTGAGCGGTCCACAATCAGATCCCGCCCTGGATGGCCCCATCTGAGAAATTGCCGACACGAAGATGGACAGAACCAGAATTCTGGATGTTATTTCACTTTTAGTGTGTACTGTGTGTTAGGTGTAAATAATTTGATTGATCATTTGTTCAAGAACCTGCCGTTAAGGGGTCCCACATAAGATATTGTTGGTGCATATGAGACTAATTCAGTCCTCACAAAGCTGCGAAGTGTTAAAGACCAAATCCGGATTGGCATAAGACTATTATAATTCATATCAGTCTAACCACCTGCCCAATTTATTACCTCTAGATTGACACGGATTTTTTTTTTTTTTTTGAAGCCTAAATATTCATTCAACTTTCAACAAGATTACATCTCAAAATGGAGTATCGACCTTACAAATGAAGGAGGTGATACCCAAGTTTTGAAAACATGATACTGATTAGCATAGGTAACAAGTTTGTGAACTAATCGATTACAACTTCAAGATGCAAAGAGTACTAAAGCTTAAGAAAAACAAGACAATAAAGATGTACACTCCATAATTATATGGTGTAATCTTCAGGGAGGATCTATCTGGGAATTGAGCAGATCCACAATAGTTTTGGCATCACTCTCAATATGAAAAGTTTGTAAACCCCCCAAACTTGGAGCCATCAATAAACCTTCCATTATGGCAAGAGCTTCCTTCTATTTCTTCTGTAGAGAAGATTGAACTGGATGAACCCGACCGACCAAATAGGAAGTGGCCTGTTGAATCACGGATAGCAACACCGATGATGGCTGCTTAAGATTGATGCCAAGCACCAATGGATGTTATGACACGGATTGTGATCTAACAAAAATTTTCCCTTCATGACCATCCATTCTCTCCTTTTTAGCGCAACACATGATTGAAAACGAGGAACCCATTGATTTATTAGTTATGGGATTTGTGATCATGCATCATTATAAGGTGTGATTGACTGAATGTTACATTTTATTAAATATACAGCCAATATTAATTTATACAACGCAATTAAACTCTTATTATTTTCCCTTTTCTCTGAAGTTTTGATGTCTGGATAGTGAGTAGACGACTAAGACTGTCGCCCGTCAAAAGAATTGATATTTCACGTGGTCCAGCTGTTGCGCTTTCTTAGCCCGACTCAGACTCCCCTCCCCTTTCAATCAATTAAGAAGGCAAACTCGTGACAGAAAGTGATATATCAACAAGAATGTGTCATATTATATAAAGCGATTAGTGGAGCAAAAACAAAGCCAAACCGGATTAATCTCTTCCTATCAGAACAAAAAACACTTACTATTTTGGTTAAGATTTTATTAAACCATCAAATAGGGTTGTTACTTTTATCTCTATACTATGTGGTGGTGGTTAGGGCTCAACTGTAGAAAGGCGTTAAAGATGCTTGCATGGCTTATTTTACAAGCCTCCAACTTTTATTTTCGTGATGGGTCTGTTGAAGTGTTGAAAACTTGGATTGGATTCAGATTTGAGGGCAACCACCTTTGTCGCCTGTGGACTATATCTGAATAAAGTTCACTACTATTAGTCTATTATTACTAGTAGTAGAGGTTGAGTGGTTAATTGTCTTCTCAATATTGGTCAATCTAACCAATACTCTTGCTAGAGTTGAAAACCAACTAATTACCAACCAAATTATGATTCCCTTTTGACTTCTTTCAGAGGGTTGCTCAATTATTTGACTACACACTGTACACTTATGGAATATTGGTGGTGCAAATCTTAAAAATTTATCAAATGCTCAACCCACGCCTATCCAAGTTGTACAGCTCTGGAACTGGATGCCATTATTTGCCCTTAAGGCCCTTCAGCCACAACAATGGACCGGAATTGGAATCCACCGGCCGACTGGCGCATGTAGGACCATGTTAAAGGTTTCAAGTTAGGGGTGATCATGCGCCGGGCCCTAGGTCTATACTCAGGCCCCAGCACAGGTTTCTGGCCTACGACTTTTATGATAAATATTAAGTATCACATAATACTTTGTATATCATATATATGTCTATAAAATTTATTCTACATATTAGATAATATAAAATAATGTTTTCAAAACCGGCCAGACCGAAAAAATCAGGAATTGGTCACCTGATTGGTTCCATTTTACCCCAGAACCGTCTTTTGGCCAAAAACCGTTGATTTGGTCAGCAAATTGCTGATCCAATCAGTTGAACCGTTTGAATTGTTCAATGATTGTAGACCATTTTTTTTTATCAGAATGGGCCATCTGTTCGGCTCGCACGGTCAGACCATTCGACCCAAGAACTGGACCCTGTACAATTTATTGCCTATTTCATTTTTTAATATTTTATATTATTATACATAATATATTATTTATTCAACTATAATACCAGAAAAACTTGCAATTAATCAACCAGTCATCATAAAAGTAATAATCAGTTTGGTGGAATTTATCAAAATTCACAACAAAAGGTTTTGCTCGGTCAAAGCTCTTCCGAGTTCATATTTTTCTGGTAATATATATTTTTATTATATATTATAATTATCATGTTATAATATTCATATATAACATGTAATATATGGATTTTGGGTCCAAGCTCGAGCTAAGACTGAGCATACATAAAAGCTAATGAAATAATGGCGTAGAATAAGTTTTATACGTTATTAAAGTAAACAATTTTCGCATTGTCAACAATTAAAAAAAAAAAGCACAAAATTAACAGGCTTTTCACAAAGATCTGGAAGAATTGAGAATAGTTGAATTGCAAAAGAGCAAGTAAAAGAAGAATATTAATTGCGGATTGGGAACTCGAGATGAAAATTATGATGACAATCACCTGAGATCAAGATGACTTTTGGTCTTTGCAAATAAAGAGAGGTTGACCTGTTAATTAATGTGGACCGATGCTTTGATCCTGTACTAAAGCTTTTATTCTCTTGTGTCTCTTAAGAAGAGTTGTTGCTTTGCAAATAAAGACTCTTGGGTCCTTTTGGTTCGTCGTCCAAATTTAAATTGGAATCAGAATCAGAATAGTCTATTCCTGTTTGATTTAAATAGAAATTGGAATGAAAATTAAAATAAACTGGAATAGGATTGCATTCTCAAGAGAGGGAGAGAGAATAGGCATTCCCTCAAATGAGAAAATGCCATTCCATCCGTCCAATCAAATACTTGAAAGCATAATTGTTCATTCCAATTCCAATTCCAGACCCCTATTTCCGTGAATCAAACGGCCCCTACATTTTTTCCCAAGTATCTATTTTGGGCACTACAGGACAAAGCTATTGATATGGAATATGCGTCAGATCCACCAATCCCTGCCAGTTTTCTGGGTTCCAAGCTTTGACGAATTTTAGGTATGTATCTACTCCACCCAATTGCAAATTAAACACCCAATATAAACTTCAACATACGTAATGCTTAATCAAGAAAGCCACTTAAATCACATAACATCTGAATCTTATATTGATTATTATATTCTGGGTTCTTAATTATCATATTACAAGTTGATTTATTTGCCTTTCTTTTGTTGTTGAGGCTTCCCATTTTGGATATCACCAAGACACCAAGGGAATGCATCTAAAGTAGACATAACTTATTTTCATGAATGGAAACAAGTTAAATATTTATCTCAAGATTTGAAGTCAGGTGAATCCTTATTAGATGAAAACTGATGCAGCCCTACACCCATTAAGATATGGAAGCAAGGGAATGGGTTCACAGAAAACAAAGAAAAAAAAAACATTATAGACGTATTTCTGGACTTTTCTGCCCCATAAACAAGCTCAAATAAGCCTACCCCTAGAGGCCATGTCATTGAGTGATCTAGGAATCTATCTGAATGAGCTGCTCACCCTAGAAGCCAAAACCTTTGTTTCTTTGATATGATGCCTGAGGAGCCATGGACCATCTGATGTAGCTGATACCCACCCAATCACCACTTGGCAATCTTCTTCAGTTTTTGAACTTGATGAAAAAGCCTATTTAAGGTCATGCTACAGTACTAAAATCTCAGTTTTTAGGGAGTTCCTTCTCCAGACAGTCCAATTTAACTCAATAGAATATAATTTGATGCATCTTTAGAAACACCACCCCAGCCCTCAAGGGCCTGGGTTACCTAGGGCTAACATCTATAATACCCTCTTCTGGGGCCACCCATCATTCATAATGTTATTCATTCTCTCCCTCAGGTATTTGATCCCTTTCGGCCATGTCCTGCTTCAGCATTACACAAAAAAAGTGGGTCAATACTCAACACTGTTGCTTCCAGTAAATAACATGTATATTGTGTACCAAGCCATCAGTTTGTTTGACTTTGTTGTAGGTCCTCTTGGTGTTCATTCAATTGGTTAAACTAAGGTGTGTATCAGATGTTATTACTTATTAGCTAGAGCAACCGGTGCAAGAAAGTTTCTTTGAATTGGGCTTTAGCCACTTACTAAGAAGGTAGAAAATGTCAAAATTAGCTAGAGAAAGACACAAGTTTTGTTTTGTTGTGTTTTTTCGGTTAAAATGTGAAAATGACTGCAGTCTAATCCTCCAAGAAACAGATTTATTGTCTTCTCATGCAGGTTACAATAAAGAAATTCTGTTTTATAGATACAAGTATGGGACAATATGAGACCAAAAAAAGCATGCTCAGTCGATTTTTGTTGTTTTCTTTGTGAATACTTTGCCTATCAAACTTTGTAATGCACTAATGAGTTGACATTTGATTCAATACAAGTTCTATCTTCTATACTTTTTTCGTCACATAAACAGCTGCGCAGAAGGTTCAGAGAGATCTCAAGATCAGCCATTGCTTTAGCTGGTAGTTTTGGAAGAGGCCAAATAGAATAATTTGTTTTGGGGGAAATAGGCTTGGGTTTATCTTTTCCCTTCATAGCCATTGATTTGCTTGTTGGTTCTTGGTTCTGTATTCCCCTGTTTGATCAGAAAATAGGGGATGTGACAGAGCGGTGCGGGAAAGAAAACTAATTGCTTTTCATTCATGAAACGTGTAATATACATAATTACATGTATTTGAATTCTAGAAGGTTCACATTTAAGTTAGTCTCTAACTAATTGTGCCAGCTAGTTAACGAACTCCAACACCCCCTCCCCCGGCCCCTCAAGTTGGAGCAGGAAGAGACTAGATGCCCAACTTGCATATGAGTCATGTGAATTGGTCTCAACCCAAAGCTTCGGTTAGAAGATCCACATGTTGGTTCTCACTAGCAATATGATGTGTCTGAATTATTTTGTTTGAGATATGTTGCCTGATGAAATGGCAATCTATCTCAATATGCTTGGTGCACTCATGATATACTTGATTGTTAGTAATGTGTAGAGCTGTTTGACTGTCGCAAAATATATGCATGGATTGATAGATGGACACACCAAGATCAAGTAGGATTTGTTTGAGCCAAAATAGTTTCGATTTAGCAACTGCCATAACACGATACTCAGCTTCTGCAAAGGAGTGAGAGACAGTAGCTTGTTTCTTTGTCTTCCAAGAGAGCAACAAGTCATCGAGCATGGTGATGTAGCCAGTAGTTGAGCGACAAGTGAGGGGGCAAGTAGCCCAATCAAAGTCACAATATGCCTTGAGATTGAGTTGACTTGATGACAACAAGAAAATTCCTTGATCTGGTGAAGACCATAGATAACGCATGATGTGCATGGCAGCATTCATGTGTTCTTCATGTGGCTCATGTAGGAACTGACTAAGTGTATGTACTGAATAACTAAGTTCCGGTCTTGTAACTATGAGATAGACCAAACGACCCACTAACCATCTGTACTATGATGGATCTGATAGCAGTGGGCTGTCTTTATTATGAAACTAGCATTGTTGTTCCATAGGAATGGGGCTAGGCCTAAAATGGATCATGCCAGTATCTTTCAAAAGATCAAGCACATATTTATGTTGGCTTAGAAAAATTCCGAATGATGAGCGGTTCACTTCATTCCCCATAAAATATGTGAGGGATCCAAGATCTCTGATACGAAAACAAGTGTGAAGGTAGGTGAATAATTCCTCAATATGTTTGGAGTTGTCACCGGTGACTATTATATCATCAACATACACCAACATTGTTGTGAAATATCCATCACGATGGGAAGTGAATAAAGAATAGTCAGCTATGGACTGTTGGAAACCATGCTCCTTAAGTGTAATTGTGGTTTTTTCAGACCACATATGAGAGGCCTATTTAAGGCCATATAAGGACTTGTGTAATCGACACACTTTATTGGAAGAGCCTTTTTCAAATCCTTGTAGTATGCACATGTAAACCTCTTTATGAAGGTCTCCGTTCATGAAAGCATTGTTAATGTCCAATTTCCAAAGCGACCAGCATTTGATTGATGCAACTACTAATAAACATTGTACAGTCACTATCTTGGCCATAGGAGCATATGTATCAGTGTAATTGAGGCCCTCAATTTGATTGTAGCCTTTAGCTACTAGGCGGGCTTTATATCGCTCAATGATTCCGCCAACCCAATATTTGACTTTTTAAATCCACTTAGAGACAATGGCCCGTTTTTCTGGTGGAAGATCTACAATGGACCATGTGTTATTTCGCTCCAATGCCTCAATTTCTTCAGTCATAGCTTGTAGCCAACAAGGGTCATGTGCTACTTCCACAAAATTCTTTGGTTTACAAGATGCACTGTTGTCACAATTTTTTGTTTGAACTCTAGACAATATTGAATGGGGAAAGTCACAAATATAGTTATTGAGATGAACGAGAGGTTTGCGGATGCGGGTAGGTCTTGTAATAGGATGGTGAGTTGAGGTGTTGAGGTTCAAGGGCCAAGGTTCACAAGTGGTGGGTTCATGGTGATCATCTAGCTATGTTAACAGTATTACTGGTTCTAATTGGGGCCGATGGGCTTGGAATTGGAAAGGGAAATGGGACTCATAAAATACAACGTCCCATGAGGTGAAAATTGATTTTGACTCCAAGTCATACACCCTGTAACCTTTTTGCGCATATGGATAACCCACAAATATGCATTTGTGTGCTTATGACATGAATTTGTCTCAAGAGGGTGAGATGTCTCGGGCAAAGCATAGGCAGCCAAATATTCTGAGATGCAAATAGGATGAAGGTTTCTGCAATAATACCTTAATAGGCATTTTGCCTACTGAAACTGATGTAGGCATGTAGTTGATAAGATAAGTTGCAATTAACATGCACTCACCCCAAAATGTAATAGGAAGAGCAGCTTGAAATCAAAGGGCGCGAACAACCTCCAACAAATGTCTATGTTTGCGCTCAACAATTCTGTTTTTGTTGCAGAGTGTCAATACATGATCTCTCATGAACAATTCCATGACTCAAATAGAACTGCTGCATTAGCCCAGAGAGAAACTCTAAGCCAATGTCAGAATGGATGCGTTTAACAGAAGAGTTGAATTATGTCTTGATCATTTCACAAAAGGTAATAAGACAATTGTATGTCTCTGATTTATGATGCATAAAAAAAACCCAAGTACATCTATTGTAATCGTCTACGATTGTGAGAAGAAAATGATCTCCCGTATGAGAGGGTGTGCGATAACCACCCCAAATGTCGCAATGTAAAAGCTCAAAAGAAGCAGCAACTCGAGAATGATTAACTGGGAAATGCAAGCTGGTGAGCTTAGCTCTGTGGAAAACTTCACAACAATGACCATGTTTCGAAGGAGTACTACTAAAGATGGATGAAATGTGTTGGGAAGAGGCATGTCCTAGACGCTAGTGCCATAGCATGTAATCAAACGAAGGAAGAGGAACAACAGAGGCGTGGACGATGGCATGGCATGTAGGTCAGATACTCAAATTTTACAAGTGTTTGACATGTTTGTTGATCTTCTAATGTCAGTAATGCTAGTGGCTTCCATTTGCATTGAAGGCTCAATCTGTAAGCTGAAGCTAATCAAGGATGGTCGCCATTCTTGTGTTTAGTATGGATCCTTTTTGCAAAACTGTAGCCTTGTGTTCTTCCAGGAGTTACTAATGCACTTTTCCTGTTAATTAGCACCTCTACTTTACATCTCCATTTGCTAGCCAAGGAAATATGAATGAGATAGAAATTTTCAATTTTCTTGAAAGCATTGTCTGGAAGAGAAAAAAAGAAAAGAAAAGCTTCTGCTTTTATCCTTCAAGCATGCAGCCAATTGTGTTTTGCCCATTCAGAAGCCCAGATACCGCAATATGAAGAACATTCTTCGTTTCTAAAAGTGAAAAAAGCTTTCAAAAACTGAAAACAAGTTGACACCGCGAGGAACATTCTTGGTTTATAACATGGCCATTTTTCTGACAATCCCTGATATAATAATGCCAGAGCCACAGCCTCTTAGATTAACCGCATAATTTAACTGAACTAAAACAAGTATGTTTTTTTATGAATATATATGATTGTATATTTCGGTTGAATTGAAAATTTTTAATCATCTCGTTATAGTTTTTCTCCCAGGGAGCAAGTTCACTCTTTAGAATCGATCCATTACTGAGTTAGAAGAAAAGGGGGAAGATCAAATAAATTAAATGGACAATCTTTAACCTAGCATGCATACCCCAATTAAGTTTCTTAAATATAAATCCTAAATCTCATTTCTGCACCTCCGAATATTTCATATGCAAAAAGAAGCTAGCTAGTAAAATAATATATGCAACAAAACTGAACCCAAACAGAAATTCAGAAAATATTTGTGAGAGAACAGTCATGAGTCACCGAGTCTCATGACTTGGAAGTCTTATTGTTACTTTGGTTTGGGTTAATAGGACATTACAACAGTAGAAATAATATATGAAATCTACAATTATGCATATACTTGAAATAAAACCTACCTCCATACGCAGTGACTGTGACTCCACTTCTGGGGTCAAGCCTTATCTCTCTCTCTCTCTACATATGGTACTTAATTGACACAAGAGTCCAGTCTCAGCTCACATCGGGCTCGGAGTTTGTCAATTGATTACGTTCAAAGGCTTAAACAAGGAAAGGGTAGAGAAAATTGCCATCATTAACCTCACTTACATCTATATATCCACTGATGGAGCTAGCACAGGGGATGGCGGGCTGCTTTAGCAAAACAACAAGCACGCCTCAGCCAAATTAATTAATTAAACCCGGTCCAGAACCCTGAGCTTACAACGATGGAGCTTATTAGAACTGTTGGGAGCTAGAGAAGGTCTGGCCGAAGCTCCAATTTGCCGGGACAATGTCCATAAAGAGACGAATCTCTCCATCTGTGGTGGTAACCTGAAAGGAGAGGGATTGGCCATTCAGATAGGAGTTGGATTGCCAATTAGCACCCCAGTTCCTGGACATTGCCATCCAACCTGTGCGAGAGCCCTTGATCGACACGGATTGAATCGACCCAGCCCCTCCCACATTGCTTATAAGCACCAGTTCGAAGTAGTCTCTCCCATTGATGGTGAACCTCACTCCTCCATGTTTCTTGCATGGAACCCTGCAATATTAAAAGAAGAAACACCATGCATGAGCGAGTGCCAGTAGTCTAACTATCGTCTGATATTGAAGAAGAGATTGAACGACGACTGACGAGTTAAAGTAAGGACTAATTAAGAAGAAGAACAACCTTTGGTACAGAACTGGAATGATTCCACCTCGATAAATGCCGATTTTTTCCCATGCTGGCTGAGCCATATCGAAGTGCTGAAGCGGTGGGTTGCACCACCCGCCATCGTTATTGGGAAGAGCATAATTTGGAGGACAGAAATTAGTGGCCGTAACCGTGACAGACACCCCTTTCAAGCACCACTGAGGATCCGTCTTATAATCGCAGATGATCTTATAGCATTGCCCACATGAAGCTCCGTCGTTAAACAAAGCAGTGCTTAGAGCTGCTGTTCGAGTTCCATATCCAGTTGCATACAAGTTGCCATACCCACAAGCTCCCCCTGTGACCAATCGTCGTCTCTTATAAGATTCAGAATATCAAAACAATCACGAAGAAACTTAAAAAAATAAAAATAAAAAAAATAATAATAATAATTTGGCTATTTGATGATTGATGAAAAGCAAAAAGAACTAATCAGGCCTATACCCATCGTTCCGGAGGCGTCGCTACCACCATAAAAAGTAGCGTGGGCCTTAGTCCAACCAGAAGGCGTAAAACTCTCGACCTGCTGAACGGACTGAGAACCGAATCCAAGCACGGCTATGAATGTGAAAACGATGCTCAACGCCATTAAATTCCTCTCCGCGTAACTCACGATACAAAATACCAAAGGAGAAGGAAGAAGAAGAAGAAGAAGAAAACAACTCCGAGGAGAGAAAGATGACTTCTGGCCTCTGGGGACTGAATTGACCTGCTTACATTTAGTAGCTTCTCTGAACAAGTAAGGACCTCCACTATAAATAGAGAACATAGTCCCTCGTAACGCAACAACCTCACTCACATGTGATCACTGCAATTAAAAAGAAATTTGTATGTAGTTTGATTAATCAAATAATCAATGCATTCATCTGGCTACCATTTAGTTAATAGTATTTACGAGCCTCATTCGAAATAATTATTACCAGGCACGTTATCCTCTCTTCTCATCAGTCCTGGATGGATCAATACTCTTAATTAACCCACAGTTATTCTTTAGATTAATTCATTTTCTTTCAATGTTCTTTCTTCCCATCTGAAGCAAAATTCACCATCATCCACGGATTTGGTGACGGATGCTAAATCCATGTGATACACCTCACATGGTCTTCCTATTGACCCATCTGATCAGAACCCATATGAGTAAGAAATTGGGTTTCATGCACATGGCCCCATTTGACCTTAGTGTCCATTGCTGCGTCTCTCTCTCTCTCTCTCTCAACATGGTTATAGGAATCACCTGAGGTCCAGGTGCTATATATATATATATATATATATATATATATATATATATATATATATATATATATATAATTCAGATTATCTCTAGGGACTGTCTCCATCCTGATCAAATATCTGTCGATGCCCTGCCTTTTCAGGACTAGAATGAAATCGTTTCCCCCAATCAAACCGTCCATATTAACATTTAGTTTGAGCCTGAATGTGTAGGAACATTGTAATACATCGTACTAATTGACAGAGTAGATGAGATTACGCCTTCCGAACCTACAGTTGATCAAATTGGCCACAAGCCCAGAACCCAAACTTGGGTTTCGTTTTTGTGATCCTACCCAATACCCACTAATCAATCACATTTGGGGGATCCTCCCAAGAAATACAACCACCACCAAAAGATGGGCCGAACACGTTGTCACTGATTATAAAACTCAACATGATTGAATGACAACCGGAGTATGCATTATTCATACCATGATACCAAACCTTCAAATAGTTTAGATTTACTTCCCCCAGAACATTTGTACTCCATTTGAACGGTCATGATGGTTGGCAGACTGGTCAAAAAACAAAAATGGTACAAATCTTTTTGCTTTGATTGTCTCTTTAAAATTAGTCTAATTCCAGTGTGATGTGATGTGGAACATTTTTAAAGCAAGAGCCTTGGGAAAGCTTCCCATCCCATGTCCCTGTTCATGAATGTGAAGCCAGAACGGAACAGAGATCATAGGCCAGTGGTTATATATACTGATACTCAATATACGAGACTGGGAAGTTGATAAAAACAATCTTTAAATGATTGGTGTCATGTCTCCATTAAAATATCATAGATTGCGAACTACCCAATAAATCCAACTTATCGTTTGAGAAATAATAACCCATTGTAGCATCATGCACGTGATGGTGAGATAAGAGACACATCTCTTTGTCTCTGTTTAATTCAGTTGGATTAGAAAATGGAGAAGGAATCTCTTGATATTTGCAAATTTCTTCATAAACAAAGCTATTGATCGCATGTCCACACTTTGTGTTAAATCATTCATAGGCTTTGGCACATTCTATCACATGCCGACTCCATACAATATGCATTTGTAGCCAGTAATATATTAGAGAGGAATCAAATGGTAAGACTGATATGAACTGTTTCAGTTGGAACTTGGAACCCTATAGCATAGGTTAACAGGAGGATACAAGACCATCAATCATGGACTTGCACGTTAGCCTAATTATATTGGGACCCATGTCTGCAGAGCAGAAGAGTTAAAGAGTTAAAAGAGCTGGAATCCTTGACTGGGCATGCCAAAGCTAATGTCCTTGTGTTTCCCGGTCCCCAGTTAAAAGAGGGCAGTCCGATGCACAAAGCTCCTGTCAATGCGGGTTCTGAGAAGGGATATAGGATCGATGTATGTAGCTTTACCTCTATATACATACAGATAAAGAGGCTGTTTTCAAGATTTGAACCTTAATGGCTCTTAGTCATTCACTCCAAAGCCCACCTTCTTCATGATTAAAATTCGAAATGTGGCAGCCAAGTTAAATCCGGTCATTCCTGATGAATTTGGATGGTTGCGAATCAGTGGATTCAAATATTTGTGAGAATTTATGACAATTTCGACGTGCACCCACCAATTTTCTGGATTTTTCTATTGGGTTTTTTCTAGTGAATTCAGATCTGCTGACCATAAGACGCTAGTCATGGCACTTTACAGCCACATCGGAAACATTTCTTGTGCTTTTTATTGTCATTCATGCGCGGAGGATGTGCGGCTACGGTGTCTTATGCAAAGTATGTGGTAAGCAGATCAGAACTCTTTTTTAGTGACCAAACAAATATATCATTTTATGATAATTATAGGATGCTTGCTTTTGACTCAGTTTGAAAAGAGCACAAATACAAATATGTACAGTACAAATACATAAAAATAATACAAAATACATGGTTTTGCACTCTACATGTTTGTATCTGTACTCTTTTCAAACTGAGCCTTTGTATCTCTTTCCGTCAACTTTTTATTCCTCTTACTTTCTATTAATAATCAAACCAAAACCCAATCTGAAGGAGAGAAGATTAAGCATTCACACCTGGGTTCGATATCTTTTGAGAAAAAATTGGCTGTTTGGGAAAAACACCCTGAGCTGTTTGGAAGCTTCTCGTGCGTGACACGGTTAACATTATGTGTGTTGGACAAAGGAGTAATTAAAATCTTAGTTAAAAAGACAAAGGACCGAATGGGATAACGTGCCATACACAGCTCCAAAGCAATCCAAGTTGTCTTTCCCAAACAGCAAAGAGCCAACTGCCAAAGTTTTACCGTCTCTGATATGCTCCCACCACCGCTTTCAACATTGCCTTCTGAGAGAGAGAAGAGCTGAGACAGCGAGACACTGAGCCTCCCAATCCGCTTCCATCGGCCCTTAAGAGGAGTAGCTGTGTCAAAAATTGGTACCATAAGTCAAACCATGACAATCTGACCGGTTCAGGGGATGGAGGGGTCCTAGACCGACTCCCCTAATCCAGTTTTGAAAAAAAATAAAAATAAAAATAAAAAGTAAAAAAACAAGTAACAAAATGCCCGATACGCCCCTACCGGCATATCGGACGTATCCATATTTTGAACCTTGTTCACGACAACTTGTCAAAGCATCAAAGTATCTATGGTGGGTACTTTATTTCAGTTAATGTTAAAATCATGTTCGAGTAGTATTTTTATATTTTACATTTTTACTTGATATATGCTTATGAAGATTAGAAAAACTAAAGGTCAGCTCTGAGTCAATAGCACATAGCGTGACTAAACCATTTAGCCAAAAATAAAAAGACTAAACCAGACTCAACCTCCAAAAGACTCCGGGCATCTGGGAGGAATACGGAATACCAGAAACAGCATAAAGAATAGTCACTATAAAACAGAAAAAGCAATAAGAACAGTAATTCGATAGGATCAGTTATCAATTCAAGAAAATTAATAACATCCCGATATGACATTTTAACAAAGCAACAAATACAAGAAATGACAGTTGCTACCAATAGATTGGACAGAGCAAAACTGAAGTCAAAATTCATCGTCGTCTTCCTCGGCAATATGCTTAGCAAGTTCCTGCTCCTGTTGTTGCCTCTCTCTCCTCTTCTCAGCACTTTCCTTTTCCTTTTTGTGGGAATTGGGTGGGAACCTCAGAGCACGCACCGCCTCATTATGCATGTTAAGGCAGAAGGCTATCCTTGAATTGAATGCAAATTGGGGCTCATTTGTAGAGTAAATATCTCCGGTCTCCTTTGATACCATACACCCATTTGCATGATCCACTGTAGCATCAATAGCACCATCTCGGATTGCCTTAGATACAATACTCTCAGCATCAGCAACAGGATTTGTGGAGTCCAACCTCAATTTTTTCGCAACATCTGCCAATGAGATACGAGAGTAAGAGATGCTAATGTTGCGTAATCCAGTCCTTATAACATTATGACGGAGCCTCACAATCAAATTGTGGGTCCGATCTGAACTAAAAGTATCTGTGAACTTCTCAGCAACAGTCCTGAACAATTCCAGATCCCCAATCCGAACAGCCTAAAAAAACAGCTAGCAGTGTCAGTCTATATACACACAGATAAGATGACAGGACATCTGTCATTATGCATAACAGAAACAAGGTTCAAAATATGGATATGTATTGTAACGTATAGTATGATGTGTATCAGTTTTTGGGCCTGCCAATTTGCTATATTATGAGTATTTCATGAATCTTGAATGTCTTTTTTTGGTGGTCATGAATCTTCAATGTCTAAAGAATGCCAAAAGGCTTACATGTGGCCCGACTTACATTTATTAAAACTTTAAAAAAAGAACCGTACCGATTGTTATAATGGCTCGATACTTGAAAAGAAAAAATAAAGTATTGAATGTGCCGATAGATACACCTTGAACCTTGAATAGAAAGAGATAAAGCATGCCCAAATGAACAAAAAATTGTGTGAACCTTTTTTATGTTTTCATATAATGAAATCTTTTTTTTTATCAGTAACAAAAAACTTTATTAATGATGTGAAGCTTTGTGAAACTTTAATTATAATGGGGGAGGTAAAATGTCTTAACTCCCCACCAACAGGATACAAAGGAAGAAAGTTAAAAATTAGCCCAAATGAACAATCTAAAGTTGAAAAAACCTGCATCTACAGTATTTGCACCAACCAAATGAACAATCTTAAAGTTGAAAAAACCAAAATTAGAAAAGCTGAAGCGTTAACATGAAGGTGCCAAATACATGAAATATCTGATAGTGTCACAAGTACAAACCATAATTTAGAACTCTGAATGGCTCCAACATATGCAGCCATGTAAGCAAAGTTGGTTCCTGAAATTAAACTTTGATGGAAGCAGCTTTGGGAATCCAGGTCCATCTGGAATTGGAGGGGTTTTAAGAAGTGAAAGTGGAGTGATTATGGGTATGTACTCAGGCCCCATTGGATTGTGTAATTCTGTAACAGCAGAACTGAACTGAATGCAGTGCTCTATGGGATGCAGAAAGCTATGGAGATGGGGGTGACAAAGCTAGTAGTTGAAGGTGACTCCAAAATAGTGATAAGCTGGCTGAAACAGAATGAGAAGACTTCTTTGTTTCTCAGAAAAGAAATCAAAAAATTCAGGAGGTTCTCAAGGGACCCGGACATGCAGCCGAAAATTCAATGGACTCCATGGTCAGCAAATGGTCTAGCTGACCAATTAGCAAAGCAAGGGATAAATAGGGCACAGTGTTTTTGGGCTCAGTTGTAAGATTAAAATATTAAATTGTTACCGTATTCTCTGGGAGGTAGCCGAGGCTGCCTTTGATTTGTATATTCCTCTTTCTTTAAGTAATAAATTTTGATTTTGGTGCTGATCAATAAAAAAAAAAGTTAGCAGGCACACCATGACCACTGATGATCTCATATTTGGCTATCCCATATAGTTGCTTTTTTATCCTTTAATTTTTTCCAAACATCAAAAGGAAAAAAGCAAAAGACACAATCACGATCATCTTTCTAAATCCCTGCACATGAGATCCATGTAAAAAGTTTAAAGCATGTAATTGGGAAAACCTACTCGACATTTTGTAACCTGACCAAAGAAGGAAAATAGGTGGTGGAAGAAATAATGCAGCATAATGGTAATGGAATGGATCTTCAAAATTCAGTTAATTATACTGACATTTGTAAGCTCAAAGTATGGCCTCAAGGCCTTCTGCATCCCTTTCTGCATAAACACAGTGCGCTCAGGAATCTCCCCAAGTAGTAAGCGGACTATGACAGCCCACTTGTTGCATTGAACACGGAAGCCACGGGCTGCGACAGGGGCTTTTCTGGCAGCCTGCAGGAGACTCTCCTTTGCGTCTGTATATTCCAACTGAATTGTCCTGATCTTTCCTAGGTAGAAGAGGTATCTACAAAACTGCAGCATGTACACTGTTAGAATGCCCAAAGTCATAATTCTCAGAATAACAGCCCAGGTCATTCCCAATTTTCCAATTACTAGATGCCAAAATTACTGCTTCCACTAAAACTAACCAAGGGATCCAATCGAATTGAAAGGGGTTGATTTAGGGTCTTAGTAAGACAAAAAAAACTGCCTATGAATTCATAAACTCAACCCATTGGATTAATGCAAAATGCTTGAATTAATAGCCATGCATCTAGGATAAATTTTATGAGTGTCAAAACCACAAATAGTGCCAAGTGTTATGATCATCCAATATACTCAAGGTGCAAAAGAGTTCCTACATAGGTCTCAAAAACTGAATAAGGTAAACTGCTCCCTTTCATGTATGCCACTGTCCAGATATAACCACAATTTCAGCATGCCTTTCCATGCATGAATAGGCAAGCTAAAAAGTCTGTAACTGTATGATAAGATATCTAAAGTACATCATGTTTCAGACATGAGCCGATCCTAAAGAGAGTGAAAATCAGATGGTGTAAAGTAGTCAAGTCAAACAGAAATGAGGATTACCTGCTGATTTGAGTGTGCTTCAAAACGTGGTGCCTTTGACCTTAGTTTCTCTGCCTGATCATACAAGTTGTAATGCAAGTAGTTGCGAAGTAACAGGTTGAGAAGGGTTTCCTGCATCAAACCATTATGTTTAGTATGAAAATAAAACCATCAAATAATATGACTTTATATTTTAGAAGGTCAAAACCAACCTGACCCAGTTCATCATGGCGTAATGTGGCAATCCGATGCAAAGCAAGGAGATTGCTGAAAAGAGGAAACTTTTCAAGTCAGACAGAAAAATAAGAATTAAGAACAATATTGACCTTAATCAGCACTCAGCTTCCTTTTTTTAGTTCATAAATGCAGGTGCTCACCCACGTATTTCAGCAAGATCTCCTGTCAGTTCATAGCTGAAGGAGTAATAGAAGTACAGCCTGGATGCCAGAACATCAACAGTTCTCCTATTCAAGTTCTTTAGGCGAGCAATGCTTGCAGAAGAACAAGACTTCGCCTGAAAGACAAGCCAAGACACTAGTTAAATTAAGAAGTAGAATTTACTTCAGTATATAAAAGAGGATTTGGAGATCTATTCAAAAAGTTAAAACTTAAAAGGAAAAAAAAAAAAAAAAGTGGTCGATTTGAAGCCATTGATAATAGAGAGCCCATCTAACCTCATTATATCTTTTCTGATCAATCAGAAATATTAACACAAGCAAGTAACAGTAAATCTCAAGCTCTGGCAAGGAGTGCTTGACAGGAGTTTGAGTTGTGGAAGGGGCAGTATCAACTTCCATGGCATGCTCATCTCCCTGCAACCAAAAGGTAAAAAAGATGTTTCAGATTTTCATTAAGAAATTGGTCATACTCCAACAAGATTAAAATTTGACATCAAAATATATTTGTGAGCAGTATTTGTGAAATCATAATTTCAAAGCCTAATGGTGTTACCAATATTGTGAAGCAATGACTAGTTGTTTTGGCCTCTCCAGTCAATGCAATGACTGGTCAGTGCCTACTCGATAAAAAAGACTTCTAAATTTAAGATATTAATACAGTTTCATAAATAAGTTAATATAGACTACAATTATGCAAAAAAAAAAATGATATTGAACATTAATTGAGTCTTTGTTTTGCAAACAAATAAAAAGTTAGGCTGGATAGGCTAGGATAAGTAGCCATAGGCTCACAGCCTTTGTTTTCTAAAGAAGAGTAGAACATAGAATATTTGATGTGTCCTTTGCTTATGGCAACTCTGTACTAACACAACACTGATCAGAAGAAAACTTAAAAGAACTCCACTGCCATCTTTTATCTTAAGCTTTTTTTCTATTTTATATACAATCATTGAATCATGCTCCATTACAAATATTTAAGGCAACAACATTAATTTAATATTTTATATTGTTTCAAATGATTAGAGATACAAACATGCAAATAAAATTTTCAAATGGCTTTGTGGTTGACTAGGTTGACTAGCAGACAATCAGTCAACCTTGTCAATGCTTAGTTGTCCTAGACAAGTAGATCATGAGTATCAACCAACCAGTTAGTGATTCAGTCAGTCTGACCAACAACTGACTAGTCAATGCTTTTGATAAAACTGACTTAAATCACTGCATCAAGACGGGCACTAGAGTTTATGTGTTAAATCCATGGTTTTCAAAACCGGAACGGAAAAACCGCTAACCGGTCAGCCTCGGGTCCGGTTTTACTAAAAACCAGAATTTGTTAAAAAACGTTGAAAAGGTCAGAAAACCGCTGACCCGGGCAGTCGGACCGCTAAACCGTTCGACCCGGGCAGCGGTTTGCGGGTTAGTATTTTTATTTTAAATGTTTTAAATAAAAAAAATAAAATTCCTATTATATCCCAACACAGTTCGAATCCCTTATTCCCTTTAGCTTTAGGGTTAGAATTCTAACCCTTCCCGAGTTCCCTCCTCAGTCCTCTCAACCCTCACACCCTACAGACCAACCACCTGCTGCGGCCATCACCTCCGGCATCCGATGGCGACACACACCGACGGCGACCGGCGAGCTTGCAGCAGCGAAAAGAGTCACCCTCACCAACACTTGCAGCAGCGTCCAACGGCAAAAAGATTCACGAACACTTGCAGCGGTGGACGGCGAGCTTGCAGCGGCACTCGGCATTGGGCATTGGCAAGCAAGCCCAACGTCAACTTCTTGGAGCAGCACTTCCAGGCTTGCAGCGGCAACTTGCCTGCGACCAAGCCCGACTGCACTGGGAGGATCCGCAGACATTTGTAACTGCACTGAAAAAGGTTGAAGCCTGGATTTTCTCCCAAATAATTGAATCTGTGTGGTGGCAGGTCAATTCCAAGTGTTTTCCACCTCTCCCCTAATTTAACGTTTCAGATTTTTCTAGATTAAGCATCCTGAATTACTGCTAGCTTTCGGACCTGGCTTTCTGTTCGTTTCTCCAGACTCTAACACCATATATGCAGTCTGCCACCGGGATAGCAAATGATAAAGTAATGGCATCAAACTCAGGGAGTTTGGGTGACCAAGAACAGGCGAACTTTTCTTTACACCTTTGGAAAGAAGCTTTCAGGGATGCTCGTGAAAAGCTTTGCCCTGTTCGAGCTGGAGGCCATGAGTGTGGTTGTTTGCCTGTGCTGGCTAGACTGGTAGTCTATATTTTCATTATCTGTTACTAGTGTACTTGCACCAATCAAGTGCCCCAGCTGCCATTTGTAATTGGCCTTTATTATCTGGTGATAATCTGGGTGCATAAGCATTAACCATTGTATGGATTGACCATTGCATGGATGCTGTTAAGTGATAGTGTAAGCATGGACCCTTTTTTTTTATGAATACATGAACCCTTTTACATGTAGAGTGAACATGTAATTCCTTTATAAGTAGCCCCTTTTTTTATATGTTTCTAGAGTTCACTTCCTATATCATACTCATGTATCAGTCTTTCTGCAATGATATTCTAGTAGCTGTTCTCCTTTGCCCTATCAATATATAGTCAGGTCCAAGTTCTAAATATGACATGGCAATCTTTTTTTCTCGATATCCAGGTGATGGAGCAATGCATGAATAGATTAGATGTGGCTATGTTTAACGCTATTCTTCATGAATCAGCTGATGAGATTCCAACAGATCCTGTCTCTGACCCATTAGTGATTCCAAAGTTCTTCCTATCCCAGCTGGAAAATCAAGCTTTGGTAATGGTGCACAACTGCAAAATGCTGTAAGTAATTCACATGTTGCACAAGTTCATGTTCTATGACTGGACATTACATATTTTTTCTATGTTCTTTGGAAATTTTTCTATATTTTTTGGAAATTTTTCTGTATTTTCTGTATTTTATTATTTTTATATTTAGATATTTTTATTTTTTTCATATGTTGTTCTTTTTCCTGTATTTTTTGTATTTTATTTAAATTTCTATGGTATTTTTTATTATATATAAATATTTTTTGTTTTTTATTTATTTATGACGTCACAGGACCGTTTGGCCCAGACGATTGAATCGCCAAATCGGAAAACAGTGCCCAGAATGGTTCTGTTTCTGGGTCGGTTTTAAAAACCTTGGTTAAAATCTTATTAAAGTGATTAACTTCAAAATTGTGCGCCTATTGCATAGGGACAGGGTAAAAAAAAAGGAATCCAGGACATGTAACTTTACCTGACACACAAGATATTTGGAATGCTGCAAAACCCAAAATATCAATAACACATCTGTGTCATGTGGAATAACAATTGAACTACAACCACATTTATTGATTTGTTGCAAATTTTTTTACCAGGTCTGCTCTCATGACATAGCCTTCTACCAATAGTGTGTCATTCCCAACTATATGCCTATGTTGATACATCCCTTGAATAGGGGTGGCAATGAGCCGAGCTTTTCACGAGCTGCTCGAGCTCAGCTCGGCTCGGTTTCAACCGAGCTCCAGCTCGAGCTCGAGCCCAATTCAGTGGCTCAATTATTAAACGAGCCAAGCTCAAGCCTACTAGAGCCCGGCTATTCTTAATTTTTAAATACAAAATAATTTTTTATATATAATTTTTATTTTTATAAAATATTTTTTCTCAAAATCGAGCTTGAGCTTATGAATTTTTTACTCGAGCCGAGCTCGAGCTTAAGGTTCTAGCTCGAACCGAGCTCGAGCTCGAGCCTTGTAGAACAGACTTGAGCCGAGCTCGAGCCTTGTAGAACAGACTTGAGCCGAGCTCGAGCCTGGTACTATTCGGCTCGGCTCGACTCGAATCCACACCTACCCTTGAGTACCATCCTTAGAACCTATTTTTTGATTGGTCCATCCTTGGAGCCTGTTCCTCTTCACATTATGTTGGACAGTTGGAGTTTTTGGAAAGAAATGGATAGGTGAACCTTTTTACAACAAAAGTCCCCTTAGAGACCGCCAGGGTTAAAATGGAGAGATAATTGTTTCAGCTCCATCCTCAGAGATTTTAAATGCCTTGATTTTGATAATTTTAGGCATCAATAGTTAAAAGAAACATGTTTTATCATCCTTTTGATGTATAGGGAATTATACATTTAATTGTCCCCTCTTTAACCATGTAGAGCTCTTGTAAATACTCAAGAAGTTTTCTCCCTTTTTGCAAATATAATAATATCCTCATCACCTTTATAAATAAAAAAGGAAAAATGTTATTAGCAAATCAACATAAGATCCAGTTTTTTAGATGCTTCATGAAAAAGCATTCAGCAGATTTCATTGTCTTTTTCCTTTTATTTCATTTTTTACTTAGAGTCCCTAAATAAGCTTATCATTAATTCAAAGGATGTGTCTTCTCTTAGTCTTGCATGGTATCCTTCATTATGATAATAAAAAGAACCAAAGCACATAATTTTTCAACTCCTCCCCACAAGCAGAAACAAATATATTACCAGGACAGAAAAAGAAAACATAAATAGCAAGATGAAACCATAGATCAAGGAGTCAGTTACCATTTAAGTCAGGCAAGGAAGTTTGAATCCAACAGAAGAAAACATGTTTTGAATGTAAAGTTACACTTTTGCTAATTACTATCCATGAATTATTAATAGGAAAAGATGGTATTCATTATGTACGCTAGATATTCATTCATGTAAAGATACAAGGAAAAAAAACAATATGTTAGTGTCACTAAAGAATACACAAATGTTGGTAACCCAGACAGCTTTGTGATATTTACATTTCCTTTAAGAGAGTACATGCAATACATCTTACCTAAACATATGATGAAATCTATATCCCACTTGTCTATGAAGCTCCATTTACTGGTTGACCATGTATAGTGATAATAGTCACAAATTTTCAGTTGGTATCTAAGCCAGAAAGCCAGTGTAGTTAGCCAAGGGTTTAGGCATTTTGGGCTGGCCAGACAAAGTGGTATCCTAGGCAATCAACAGGTTAATGCCTAGGCAACAAAAAAAAATAAAACATATCTATATACATATAATTATTTTTGGTAAATGGTAATAAAAGAAAAGAATTTCACTAAAATAAAAGAGAGTACAAAGGAAAGTGACCAGAGATCATCCAAGGGAAGAAAAAATGAAAATAATACCCTATTTCTCCAAGACTCCAGTCTCCAGTCACTTCACCAAACCTTAAAAGCAAGATTCAGACCCCTTGAACTAGGACTCCACCACACCAACAGAGATTCAGACAAAGAAACCATCATACCAAAGCTTAAAGAGAAGAAACTCTACTTTTATGAACGTTCTTCACCTTCTTAGTGGACCCAATTCCAAACAAACCCCCTTTCAGACATACAAAGACTCTTGAGACCTGAACTGTTCGATAATTTTTCTGGTTACTAAATCTTCTTACCGCATTCTGCTTCCTAATCTTTTGACACTCATTGATTCTTTCCAGCTCCAAAACTACATTTCTCTCAAACAACATAGCAGACGTTAACTAACCATCCTCTCTACAAACCACTCCAAAACCTTTTGCATCACTTAAATTTTTGTGGTTTAAATCTAAATCTGAACAGACATCCAACTATACAAGATCCTCATTCATAATTCCTTATTTCCTTTCTCTGGATGCTTAGGCATTTGCAACATCTTAACTCTCTAAACAAACTTCTTGTACACTTTTCCCCTCCAATAACAAGAATTCCCAAGGCTTTGCCAACCTCCAGTCTAGTTCCACTACCTTCTCCAGATCAATTCTCCCCTCAACTTCATGAGTTCCATCCATAATGGCATTGTCTTTAATAGAACTAATTTCCTCTCCTTCCTCCTCCTTGTAGCTTAAACATCAATTAAATCCTGCAGAAGGCCAAGTAAGATCTCCCCTTTTCCTTTTATAAGTCTTGGAGAACAAAGAAGCCAGACCCATAGTTGTCAAGGTGACACCTAGGCAGGCGCCCTTTGAGGCTCACCTCACCTAATCGCCAAGCATTTTTTTACTGTCTATTATAAAATACTTTGTTCATTCTTTTTTGAGATTATAATTATAAAATAGACATTATTAAACTAAAATAATCATTTTATGTGTTTATATACCAATTTCTTTTTATTATTTTCTTATTTATTAGGGTTTAATCAACACAAACATTGCTAAATGCTGTATTGAACCCTCAAAGACTTCAAAACCTGAACCAATAAGGAAGAACTTAAAAGTTTTGTCTAATCAGCACATTTTCTTCTTCCATATATTCTTCTACTTCTACTACTACAACTACCAATACTTTTTCTTTTCTTCTTTTCCTATAACAAAAATAAGGGTTCCCAATCTCACATCTTTGCATTGTCGGGGAACTAGTACCCTCAGTTTTGATCTTGAACAAAACCTTCTCCCACTCCTTTATCACTCAAATTGCAGTTCTGTCACCTGCTCCCCTTTCGAATGGAGCTCCAGTCACATTTAGGGAAGATGAAGACACACCGTCTAAACAGTCTAATATTTGATGATCATGCTTCAACTTCACATGAGTGTTAATTAACTCACATGCCTCCTCCCAATTGGACCCAAATAAATTGGAATGCCCAAACTTCTTAAGACCAAGAGACCTACCTTCAAAACTTCTACTTGACCCACGTTTCAGCCCACCTGATTGTAATAAAGAACTTCCTTCAAGATTATCCTTCCCATAAAAATTTACCACCCTAATCTCTTCATATAACTCCCCCCTCCACATGCACTTCTGTACCCATGCAGTTCAGCCGCAATAAACTTTTCACTTCCCAAAATACCCTTATCATCAATGTCTGCACTTCCATTATCCTGACATTTCAACTCCCCCCTTCCCCTACTCGACAAATAGTCTCTTGCTTTCGATCAAGCACCACCGCCAGCATCTCATCAAACCAATGCAATGGGATACACCCTTCAACCACTAATCTTAGGTCAAAACCATTCCCCAATAAAATTTAGAGCCAAATTCAACGAAACCAAGTGGGTTTCCTCGACTTCAACCAAAATACATGCCATAATCACATTCTTCAATCTATTTGTATGAGGGACAACCTTTCTAAAACTCCCATAGGCATTCCCACAGCACAAAATGTTTGTAAGTTCTAGGCATGGAGAGGAATCCCAGAAACATTGATCCACACAAGACTTTTAATTCCCACTTCTCAGGTTGCACCAACCAACAGATTCCATCTTTCCAGGCTGAGATCCAGCATCCTTATTTTAATAGACTCTTGTTTTAAAACTTCCTCAGCTTCCTCTATGCTGTTTAGAACGAATAGGAAAAAAAACCTGCATTCAGTCTTCTAGTTTGAACATTTCCTTTCAACCCCCAATCCGAACAAACCCATTTCAGAATCTCCTCCTAAACAGGTTCGAAGTTAACAAAGCAACCAACTAAACAATTACCAAACCACCTCAAACTTTCAAAACTATCATCACTTGGCTTTACAAAGATTTCCTTCATTATGACCAATCTTTAACAAAGAAAAGCTTGGATGCAAACATCATCTAACAAAGCAAAGATTTCCTTCATGATGACTGATCTTTAACAAAGTTGAGATTGAGGTGGAGGGCATCAACTATATAACCAATGAAGTTAAGGACTTTAGACCCATCAACTTGCTAGCCATCCTGTAGAAAATAGTGGCAAAAGTGCTAACATTGTCACCAATTCCTAGAGTGCTTTATCGATGGAAGACAAATTGTATGGATTGGATCCTTAATGGCTAATGAAGTGGCTGAGGAGAGAAGAGTACAGGCTCTCATGGGGTGGTCTTTAAAATTGACTTAGAAAAAGCCCATGAGATAAGTTAATTGGAACTACTAATGGAATATCATGAAATTAAAAGGCTTTGGAAATAGGTGCACTAATGGTCTGTTTGGTTCGCGCGACCGGGATGAGAAAATAGGAATATTTGCTGAATATTCCTATTTTCTCATATTTGTTTTGGGCAACATACTAGGATGCAACAAGAATACCCTTCTCAAAATATGGGACACGGGGTCTCACCAAATAGGTGCAACCCCATTGAGAAACAAAAGTGGCATGATGATAGTAGAAAAAAAGTTGTCAGGGCGCACTGTTCTCATCTCCCACCCCCTACAATGGTTCGAGCTCCAACCACCTGTGTCCTTCATCTCCGACGAAGTTTACGGCCTCCGGTAAGCACTTCCATCCTGTTTCACGCCGTTTAAAGGTTATTTGATATTTTATTCAACTAAAAATCTCATTCCCTCTCTCCCTCAAGTCGAGTTCAGATCCCCAGCCGACAAGGAGACAAATTATCATCTTCTTCTTCTCCAGCAAAGGTAACATTGTAGAGGTGTTTTGTTTGCATCATTCGTATTATTTTGCATTTCTTTATCAAGAACTCTGTGTTGTCATCGTATGTAGGAAGAGTGGGAGCGCAGAGAAGAGAAGGACATGCTTCTATGTTGTCGCTCGGGGCAAACCCTAGAGAGCACGCGAAGAACAATTCTTCTTAGGCTCTGTCAGCAATGCTTCCCTTTGTTGTCACTACAACAGCAGTTGCTGCTCTTGTTCAACCTACAATTTTTTCTTGGTGAGAATTTGCTTCTTTTTTTTCCCTTCCTATTTATTGTTTATTGGAGTTGGATTTCTACTTTGAGTACAAATACTGAATCTTAGATTGTTGATTACTGTTTCCCACAGTTCTTTTTTAATTATTTTTTGTTAGGTTTTTCTTCATTGATGCGATTTTCTGAGTTTTTATAGATAGAGATTTAGCATAAGAAAAACGGTCTATATACTACTTGTGGTTTCTCTAGTGGAATTTCTGTTTCCTTTTCCTCTTTGAGTACAATTAGAATGGAAATTCAAACTTTTTCTTTAATTTTTTGAGTTTTCATATTTTCAGGATATTTGTGGATTATCATCTTGAATTTTAGCTCTTGTGGATTAATAAGTACCACTATCTTGATATGAGTATATATAGCAAAATTTGCCTAAAATCAAAAATCCTGCAAAATTTGCTCATCAACCAAACACTGGAAAGCAAATTCTATGGGATAATAGGTCTCAGCAAACAAACACAGTACCAAAATTGAGAAAATAAAATTTCCTTTTCTCATTCCATCCCTTCCCATCCCATTGTTTCCCGACAACCAAACAGACCATAAGTAGATGAGAAGTTGCATTCAATCAGCCTCTTACTCCATTCTCATTAATGGCATTCCTCACAGCCTCCCTTTCCCTCCTCCTCCTTACCTTTTTTTTTTATAAGTTCTCTTTACCTTGATTGTTGGCATCCTTGATTCCGTCTTTGATAAAGCATCCAGTCTTGATATGATTCAAGGTTTCTTGGAAGGTAAAGAAAACTTACATATATCACACCTCCAATATGCAGATAATACGATTATCTTATTGGAAGGGGAAAAAGATCTTATCAGCAACTTGAAGAAGTTTTTGAAATGCTTTGAGGTAGTCGCAGGCTGGAAACCAACTTATAAAAGAGTAGTCTTATGAAGTATCTGTCTTCCAAACTCCTAGAGCTGAATGAGGTGCTTGGATGCAAGCTAGAGAGTTGGCCAATCGTTGGGGGTAACTCAAGATCTACTGGCTTCTGGGACCCTGTCACTGAGAGCTCTGAAAGAAGATAAGATGCCTGGAAAAGGAAATTTTTGTCTAAGGGAGGTAGAATCAAGCTCATTAATCCCCACTTACTTTTTGTCTGTTTTCAAAGCTCCAGCCAAGGTGAGAATGACAATTGAAAAATTACAATGTAATTTCCTGTGGGGTGAGGTGGTAAAAGAAGAGAGTATTTAGTGAATCGGAAGCTGGTTTGTACGCGAAAAGAGGACTGTGGCTTGGGCATTGACCATGCCCATGTGTTGGAAAGAAATATTGCTCTGTTTGGTTGTTGATCAAAAAAAATATATATTGCTTCGCTTGGCAAATGACTTTAGTGGATCCCCTTGAACATCCATTTAAAAAATAAATAAATAAAGGCGTGTTTTCTCTGCAATTATTCGCCCAAAAAAGTATAAACCGGGAATTGTTAAAACTTTAAATCCAGAAGGAATATGACAGCCCCACTGTGTTTTTGTTCTTGCAACTTGATAGCACGGTATTCTTGCAAGTTGCAATATGGACCCAACAAAGAAATCGGAAGAAAAAAAATGTGCCAGCTTTACGTGCGTCCACAAGAACCTAATTTGCACAAGAGTTCACAAGTTACCTTAGGAAGATATGAAGACAACCGAATGTGAGCTTCAGAACCTGGGACAAGCGCAAAATTGAGGAATGCGGATAGCACCGGTGCCTTAAGCCTCCGCCTCAATGCCATTGTAAGGCGAACAGCTCGCACGATTCGACGAACCTCTCTAGCATAGGCACCTGTCTCGATAAGTGATGTTATCTCCTTCAAATCTGAAAATCCCAGATAGAAAAAAAGAAAATATAAGCAGATAAATCGTACATTCAAAATCAAATAGGAAAAACTAGGGCTTTATGTATTATCTTACGCTGCAACGTTGGCGGAACAGTAGAAGAAACAAAATTCGAAGGAGCTGGAAGCTCTTTCATCTCTACATCCTGAGTCATCTTGCAGTAACTAAACTATAAAATAACAGAACCGAAAAAAAGAAATGATCAGGAGGAAAAGTACGAAGTTGGGGATTATAAAGCGAGAACAGTTCAAAACAACTCCGTTCCAAATAAATAAAAAACACTCAAACAAATTCACTTGAACTGCCAGGTGAAGAACTCAAACTAAAACTGATCGCGGATCTAGAGTGATCCGAGAGGAAAAGCTAGGGTTTCCGCCGAGTTTAGTTGGTATCTCTCTTTTCTTTCTGTACAAGTTAATGGCTTAAAAAGTTGTCTCTAAGATTCTAACATGCGCCTGGTGCGCGATATTTAGGGGCATTGTGGAAATTGGAGAGGGGCCTAGAAAAATCAGACAACGTAGAATGGTAGATGCAATGACAGAGGGAACCAGACCCCAAAAAAGAAAGATAAAAAACATCAAACTGCTAGAGAAGAGAACCATAAATTAGTAGGGTTCCTCAAGTCTTCAAATTCCCCAATCAATGGAGAGAGAGTGGAGAAGAAAGTGAGCGAGAAAGGGAGTACCTTCAGGCTTCAGTGGTTCAGCGCTGTAAAGTCACCACCTTTACCTGTTTTTTTCTTATGCTTTTCCCATTCTAGCAGCTTATTCAATATTTATTCGGCTGTTTCTGCTCCTCTGCTACTCGAGTCACCAAAAAGATTATCGTGTCTGTTCCGGAGGAATGTTAATAAACAACAAGTTTACGTAATGCATATTTACCTTACCCCAAGAAACAAAATGGGACCCATCAAAAGCCGAGATCTTCTCAAGTAGAAAACCTCGGCACATGAGATGCAAACATCCAGCCGCACATTCACAGATATCTATCTATATAGTAAATTGAGAGTAGATGATCCCAATGTGTGGCTGAACTCCATAAAGTGTGTGTGTAGAGTTAGTTAGTTCTTGCTCTTGTTTTCAGGGAATTACGTCCTTACCAGAGCAGAGACGTCTAATAATCTTTTGTTTTTAACATACCGTGCTGTGGGTTCCGCCGATTTTGCTGAAAGCATAATGATTCAGCTCCACATTTAAAAACATCTATTTTATATATAGGATAAATTTCTTAAACTACCTACCCTGATAGTTTTGTGAATTGAATAAGTGTATTTTTACTTTTTGAAAATTGACTAAGGCTATGCGTTTTTTGACAATTCACTAATATTTCCTTTATTGTTGACATTCTTAATTTTTCATTAACAATAAGATAAAAAGACTATTTTACCCTTTAGACATATTTTTGCTTAACAATCATTGCCCTGAGCGGAATTGTTATGCCAGTTCTCTTTCTTCCACCATTGTAAAGCCAGTAAACCCCTCTTTTCTGGTGGTTGCAAAACCCTTATTTCTCTCTCTCTCCTTTTTCCATCGTTATTGGATAGAGTAACAAAACATGAGAGCTTCAACAACCATTAAATGTTGCAGTGGTCACTAGCTTTTGGAGAGCTTCAACAAGACGAACGGGAGAGACCCGCTGCTACTCTCTGCCACTTGGTCCAACCAAAACTAAGGGTGGCAACGAACCGAGCTTTTCACGAGCTGCTCGAGCTCGACTTGACTCGGTTTCAACCGAGCTCGAGCTCATTTCAGTGGCTCGATTAATAAACGAGCCAGCTCGAGCCTACTAGATCTCGGCTCGCGAGCCAGCTCGAATATATAATATATATAATAAATTATAGAAAATATAAAATATATAATATATAATAAATATTTTTATAAAATATAAAAACGAGCCAAAATCAAGCTTATGAACTTTTGACTCGAGCCTTATAGAATAGTCTCGAGCCGAGCTCAAACCTGGTACTATTCAGCTCGGCTCGGCTAGAATCCACCCCTAACCAAAACACACAGAAAAGAGAGAGAGTGTGTGTGAGAAGAAGGAGAGGAGGAGAGAGAGTGAGAGATTAGCTTCTCTTTCGTCATTAGCAAAATAGCACAACTGTGAAGACTTGGATCCCAAGAACGAGCCATGGTTGGGATTCCTGCAACGAGAAAACATCTCATCAAAGATATTTGACAACACTTCCCTATAAAATCTTAAACCAATGGTTGGAATCTGCGTCTGCATGGACGGTCTTCAATCCCCGTCAATTGCAATAAAACGCTCGACTTCAACTGCATCTGGGATTTTTCACAATAGCTACATCTAGCATTGCTAAACGCTCAATCCCCATCAATTGCAATAAATGGTCTTCGTAAGATGATTTTCTCCTTGTCGGTGAGACTAAAAGTGGTGACAGGGGTAGAGGGTGGAACACTATAACCACGGATTTTCACGGTAGTTGCATCTGGCAGAGACCTAGAGTCCTTGGTGGGGCTTTGTTTGGCAACTATTGCAGCTTTGGTGAGCATGTTTTTGGTTTTGTAACTGGTGTAGAGCGTTGTAGACGAGCTCTGATAAGAGCATAACACAAAAGATGAGCGACCGCTTCTGATAGCCATCGGTAACACGTCATTGAAGACGATTGGAAAACCAAAATGTCGCTGAAGTCGTGGAAGAGATCATCGGTGTAGCCACCAACATTGAAGACAAGCGTCGCGCGCGTGGTGTCAGATTTGATAGGAATCTATGAAGGGCTTGGAGGTGAGGGTGAACTCTTTGATGCCTGGATTCGCCGTTGCTCTTTGATGCCTGGATTCGCCGTTGCTCTTTGATGCCTAAGATGATGCTATCATTTTCAATTCATCGTCTTCCGTCTCAGATCAACTATTCATCTACGGAGGGCTCGGAGGTCAGTGGTTCAACTATTCATCATCTTCCGTTTCAGATCAATCGTTCAGTTCTCTCTCCCCATCAACTAATGAGTTATTCGGTAAAATTTCTTTTTCGTGAAAAAGAAAACATTACCCATAGATGGAGATTAACAAGTTGATCAAACTCCATTAGTCTCTTGGTTTCTGACTATCTCTAATGTCTGTAAAGGTTATAGGGATGGTATTTTAGGAATACATGTGGTATTTTTAGGAATGGAGGTGGGAAGGGTATTTTCAGATTTTTTGATAAATATATTAGTCACATTATACCACATGTAATGGAAAGTTAACAGACGCTAACAGTAAGGGTAGAGTTAGTTAATTGTCAAAAACAATAGGAATAGCGTTAGTCAATTTTCAAACAGTAAGAGTACACTTAGTCAATTAGCTAAATCATAAGGGTAGTTTAAGAAATTTACCCTTTTATATATTAGTAATTAAGCATGTAGTTGTTGTATGTATGGAATTTTATTCATATTAATTACTTCAATTTTAGATATATCATAGTTAAGATATAAATTAAAAATCAATAAAAGTAACAATATGGCTAAAAATAAACTTTAATACTTGTACTAAATGTGCATGTGTAGAAATTTTAAATTACAATTACAATTATTATTATTATTATTATTGTTATCATTATTATTACATTACTAAATTTCGTGTTTCATTTCTGTCTTAAATAAATATAATTTTTATTTTAACAAATATTTTCATTTAATATGATGATTACATAACATTAGAAGTGCTTCCAAATGTTATTGACAAAACTCAGTACTTTTTTATTTTTTGTGCTTATTATTTTTTTTAATATTTATTATTTAATTATGACATAACGGATTTTATTAAAAAGTTGGATCATTGACCCATCATTTTAGATAATAAAATAGCTTTGCTTTCATATCAGTTTTAAATTATATATTCTATCTACATTATATAAATTATTTTTACTTATCATATCATCGATTAACCCATCATTTAGATAATAAATAGCTTTTTAATAGTTATTATTTAACTATCATATCATCGATTTTGAAACAAAAATAGGTCAGAATTTACACTCAAATAATTTGCATTGCCATGATTTTTAATTAGTGCAAATTTATTTGCATTGCAACCAAACACAGTCTTATACTTAATTTTGAAAGAGTACAAATACAAACAAAATAATACAAAATGCAAAATTTTGCATTCTACATATTTGTATTTGTACTCCTTCCAAGCATAGCCTTAAGCTCTAAAGAGTTGGAAAGCAAATAAAAAAAATGTTGCAAAAAGTTTTGGACTTTTGTTTTTCTTTTTTGCACGCGCTAAGCCGCTAAAGAAGAAAAGACAAAGAGAGAGAACTGTTCTTGACCTTAAGGGTCCATTTTGAAGGAGTACAAATATAAATGTGTAGAGTGCAAAACCTTGCAAGAAACCTTGTATTTTGTATTATTTTGTTTGTATTTATACTTTATATATTTGTATTTGTGCTCCTTTCAAATTGAGCCCAAAACATATACAAAAGGGTAAAAGAGAGCAGAGAAATTGTTCTAGCCTCTTTATGCCATATAGCACCATCTTTAAAGATATACGAAAAAAGTTTTTGAAAAAATAAATATTGGGTATATACGAGTACTTTCCTCAAATTCAAGGTATATATAAATTATTAACCCGAAAAATAATTCTTTGTGTTCGTACCACATGCTTTTACATTAGTCTATCAAAAAAGGATAAAAACCTCATTATTGTCATATTTAAAAATGATATATATATATAAAGAGAGAGCAAGGTCCATGAGCTTTTGAGCTGAACTTTTTTATTACCTTAACGAAAGTTCGAATAACTAATATAGCTTATTTCAAAATTTAGACTTGATTTGAACTCAATTAGAATTAAACTTGAATCGAACCAAATCGAATTTGTGCCCAAACTTCAATTGGAGCTTAATTCAATTGTAACCCTAAAAGCAATCCCTTGTTGGCACATTCAAGTTATGAAAATTTGAATAGTAATGAAGGATACAATAGATATTTTAACCAAAAAGGGTAAAACTAGGATTTAGAAAAATTATATTAATCACGTTGATATTAGATATGAACGGATGGATTGTAACAATGCACTAACACTTAGAGGGATATTTGAAGACATTTTTTAAATAATAGGGTAAGCTTTATTCCATTTAGTAAAAACATAGGGATAATGAAATAGTTCATCCGATAAAAAAATTGATATTGGGTTCGGATTAACCCAGCCCATGTTACACGCATGTTACTAACGGATCGGATTGGTCCCAGCCACCCAGGTACATCCGTTTCGTTATGATCCCTGGTAGCGCGTGGCGTTGGTTCGGATTAGGGCAGGGAAATACGAGTGACCCAAACACATTGGTTTAACGCCCTAAACCTAACGTATACATCCCGTAGAGAAAGAAGGTCGTGGACTCTGCAGCTGCAATCCCACTCGTTTATGCTCGAATCCTCCGTCCTTTACCGCTCGAAGCTACATCACGAGAGGGAAATGGAATCGAAAAACAAAACTAGCGAGAATGGCAAGAAGAAGAAGCAGAAGAATAGGAATGAGGAGAACAAGGACGAAGCAGCAACCCCCGCTGTAGCGGGTGCGCAGGATAACGATAACCATGGCAGGAAGAAGGTCATCACAGATGCTCGTTTCTCATCTGTGCACTTTGACCCTAGATTCCAAAAGGTGCCGAAAAATCAAGCGAAGGTTTCGATAGACTCCCGCTTTAATCGCATGTTCTCTGATAAGAGATTTACGTCGTCTTCTGCTCGCGTTGACAAAAGAGGAAAACTTAAGAGTGAAACATCAGGAAACCCCCTCCGCCATTACTATCGGTTCGAAGAAGAAGATAAGGCAAAGCGAGAGGACGACGAAGAAAGCGAAGAGAGTGATAATGGCGATTTGCAAAAACCCAGTCAAGCATCATCGGACTCTGAATCTAGTAGCGATTCCGAGCTTTCTAAATCTTCAGAAGAATCTGAAAGTGATACTTCTTCGTCCACTTCTGACACGGATGACAGGGATAGAATTTTGTCGGACGATGAAAAGGAGCTCACTATCCAGGTGAGTTCCCAATTGATTGTGATTTATGAATGTTCTTATTCAGTTGATTTGAGGCATTACGAATAAGTTAGATATGGAAGAGCCAAAGTAAAATTAAAACCAAACTTCATTGAGGTTTCATTTTTTCCCTATTATAGATTGCTTTAACTCATTTATATGAGGGAACAGGAGGAGAACATACCGGTTATCGAAAAAGAAACCCACAGACTGGCCGTTTTGAATATGGATTGGAGTCAAGTCAAGGTGCGTGATACTATTTCAATTTGAATTCTTGCCGTCTCTTACTGGCGTTTTAGTGTTTAAGAACTGAAGGGGAACTCTTGTTTCATGCTTTAGGTTCTTTTCCCCTAATATATATGCTCCTTTTTTCTACAAAAAGTATTATTGGGTTGGATCTAGTTTCCTTCTGGTGCAAAATCTGCAGATGATAACTGGAATGGCAATGCAAAGTATCTCTCTCTGTTTTCTTTCTTCCATCTCTTGCGTTTTCTTGTTCTCGATGATACCTTATTGTCATTGATGAACCGTTGAATGATGCTGAGCAATCAAAGCATGCCGGCATGCATATGATATCTATATTTTCATTGGACTGCTTAAAGCATGTTCATCGCACTTGTGAGATGTTCTATGCTTGTAATGGAAATGGTATTTAGCTACTTAATTATGAACATTCTAATGATAATACTTTTGTTCATTACACCATTGCCAGTTAAGCGCCATTTATTTCAATGTAAAATGGGCCGACTTTTTTTTTCAAGTTGAAATATTTGAGATATCATTTTGCCCCTTTGTTTTGTTTTTCACAATAAAAGTTGGTGTAAATGATAGCTGGAATATTTCAGTCTAAAAAATTATGGGTCCATCTTACAGACAAGCAAATTCAACCTTCATGGGATATCTGTTATTCTGTTATATGGTTTGGCGCCAATAGATTTCATGACCAATTCAGAGAACAAATAAGATCAAGGTTGCTAAGTTTGAATTTCATGAATGAGCAGGACAAATGAGTAATCTAGATTCAGTCTTATGAAAACTGACCTTAGTGTGGTAAGGATATATGTTAAACTGGATGTATTCTCTATTCCTCTTCTTGTGCTCAAGAGGCTTATGCTCATGTTCTGAACTACGCCTCACACTTTTGGTAGTGGAACACCTCATGTCACACCTCCGCATTTCCCTTGGGCTCAGGTCATTTCATTTCACCCCCTCTCACTGTAGAATGTTTTATTAACTTATCTGATGTAGGACGGAAAGGACAACAGTTCTACCAGGGTGTTTTGTTGTGTTAAGAAGAGAGATGACTTGTTAATATGAAAATAGAGATTGTAGTAGAACATATAAAAGTGAACGATAGAAGAAAGTGTAAAGAGAAAAAATGATAAAAAAAGAGAGAAAAAGATGTACCTTAGAATATCCAAACTTCAAATTCTTATCAGATTCAGTTAATTTATATAATTCTATTATAATTGTGGGGTCTTTTATAGAGATGTAATCAGGCCATCCCTTACAGTAGATTCATCAAAAGAAACAATAAGCTTTAATTCATTTTCAGACAAATCCACAAAAGTACCAAGCTGTCCTAAATTTGCAATCCAGTTTGCTGCTTGGTTTGCCTCATTGTAAATGTGCTTATAACTATCTTTAACTTGTCTTCTTCTGCAATATTGTGACAATCTTTGATCAACATATTGATACTCCAGGGTATCTTGCACTTCCTATGTTAACTTTTTTTTTGGGCAAAGGTAAAGTATATTTGTATTAATCAAAATCCTTCAACTATCAACTTGGAATCTCCTTCTATAATGATGTTACAATCTCCCCACTCTTTTTTTTTTTGTTTTTGATAAATAAAGAATCATATTCCATTAATTCAAAGATTAGTTGCATGAAAATTCCCTTAGAGAGGCGTGAGGTGCCGCCTCTCCAAACAGAAAGCACATAAACTACATCCAAGAGTACATGAATGTTAAAACAAAAGTTACAGTTGCGCCCAAAACAATGTTTCCCTATTTGTCCCTTGTTTTGCCAAGATATCAACAAATGCATTAACTGATCTCCCAACCCACTGTACTGTTATAGACATATTCCTTGTCAGCCATTTGAATTTCTTTAACTCATTTTTGTAGCCCCATGTGACATCCTCCAGATTATTTAACCAGTCCACCACTGTCTTAGAGTCCTCTTCAATCAGAAGCTGCTCCACATCCATTTCTTTTGCAAGAAGTATTCCTTGTATTTTGCAGCTAACAACTCTGCCTGAATAGAGTTTCCAACACCTAATGGGCCCGAGTAGAGTAGGACAACCTTGCCAGCCTCATTCCTCAGTACACCTCCCAACCTAGAGGGACCCAAGTTACCTTGGCTACACCCATCAAAATTCAGCTTCAATGAACTGTGAGGAGGGGGGACCTAGCTAGTCAATACCCTTACCTTGGAGGAGGAACAGCTTGCTACTGATAACCAATCCCTCCAACAATAAGTCAAGGAGAAATGGTTAAACAATTCCAGAGTCTTTAACCAATGTATTGACCTGTACATAATGCAGTCCTTCAAGGCTTGATTGGTCCTTCCCTTTGTCTTGGAAGATCCTGACATTCCTTTCTTCCCAAACTGTCCATATCAAGGCATCTCACGCACACCGCTACATTTTCCTTTATGGGCCAAGAGAACATGGAAGGCTTAAAGATTGTGCTTACTTCTATTGGCACATCCCAACTACACCCAAACAAAGATAGAAGCCAAACCTAGAGCTCTGCAGTGGCACTACAAGATAAAAATAAGTGATTAAAATCTCTCCACTCTTTGGCCATGACATGAGCTTCTCTAGATACTAATGCTTTTGCTACATTGATAGATGCTCTTCCTGTTGCCAGAGCAATTGCATGAACAATCTTGCCCTTGACATTCCTGGCAATGCAACCAATTGCAATGTCTCCATTGTCATTTCTTGATGCATCAAAATTTATTTTGATAGAATGGTGTTTAGGGGGAGACCAAGTAACCCAAATTTGACTCCCTCCTAGATTGCTCACTTGGATTGATTTGAGATTACTCCAAGAACTCCTTGAGTCGGATCTAGGCTCTTTCAATGATATGGATAGGACCCGCAAATTTGTTTTGCTATGTGTTCTCATTACTACTCTTCCAAATGGACCATAGGATAAACACACATTTCTCCAAAAGGTTTGAATAGCTTTGATAGGTATTGAGATTTTGGAGTCTTTCCCATCAATCTCTTAATGATTCAGATTGTTTTGGCTCTGGACAGATGTCACAGATAGTGGCCCAAGTTTGGCTTGCAATGGGGCAATAAAGAAACATGTGACCTAAATCTTCTACTTCACTGCAATTCAATCTTGTCAATCACTAACACCCTAAATAAATGGCCATAACTTTCCTAATTTGCACTGTATTGTTTGACAAGATCTTGGTGTCTGGTAGGCAATTGAAAAACATTTTCAAAGATACCAAGATCAAGCAAATCTGACAAGTTCTGAATTTTGAGAAGTAGCCCTAATGAAAAGCGATGCGATTCCAACTTATGTCCAAGAAAACTGTTGACCCCACAAGACAACCACTAAACAGTCCCTAAAACTTCTAGATACCCTAAAATACACCTAAGCTCATTGACATATACTAAAGTTTAAAATTAGAATGCTATTGTAACTCAATATCTTGCATGCTACTTATCATATTTTCACCAAAGACCATCTTTAGGTGCCTTTGGGATTGCCTGGTTTGTGGGGCTATACCATGTGCACCACAGCTGAAAAACCCCGTCTTTATTCAGAAGATTTCAGATTAACTTCTTCTTCCTCTGCGTTTGTTTCATTTCCAAAAAGGATTGCTTTTTTGCTTCCTGTTCTTTCCCTTATATTGAATTGTTACAAAATGCAAACATCAAGTATAAATGTTTGAGCTTTTGATGCTGCTTTTCTCTTGTTAAATTGAAGACATTTGTTTATAATTATGCATTGTATTTTGTATAGTGGTTAGAACATTTTCTCATGGTAGAGTGTTTCATAGTTGGTGTAGCCTTGGCTAATGTTTTCGTCATGTTCTTTAGGCTGTTGATTTATATGTGGTATTGAGCTCATTTCTCCCTAAAGGCGGACAAATTTTGTCCGTGGCTGTTTATCCATCTGAATTTGGACTTAAGCGTATGGAGGAAGAAGCAGTTCATGGACCTGTTAGTCTTTTTGGCAATGACAAAGAGCAGAGTGATGATGATGATGATGAAATTGACAATGAAAAGTTGCGTGCATATGAAATGAGTAGGCTAAGGTGATTGAATAGAAATCATAAAATTCTTCTTTATGATTACTTTTCATTTCCCATTTTGCAGTTCTTGTCTTAGTATCAGTGAGAAGGTCAAAAGGGAACAAATTAGGCTATCTGTTTCTTATTTGGGTTCGTATTTGAATTTGATATTTATGAAAATAAATTGAGGGGCATACAGTTTGTTCTGGCAAAAGATCTTCTGAAGTTATATTTAGTACATAATTCGGTATCCTTTTTTAGTTAACATTTGACAATTACAGAAAAAAAATGTTTCTTTTTAATCAAAATGGACTCTTTTGCCAAATTTTATACATCTGCCTTCCTGATTCTTTACAAGTGTATTCTCCATTTATTGGAATCTACACTCTTTTGGGTCATCTAAGTGGTATTGGTTTTACTCAGGACCTTCTAGGACTGCTGGCTTTATATTTGCAATGTGTATGATAGCTGTTTTTTAACCTCTCATTTTCTATTGAATTGCTTTTTACTTTTCAATTTTTGTTCAAAGGCTTCATCTCAAGCAGCAATTGACTTGCATATGCTAATCTGTTATAATTTTCTTATCTGAGTCTTGCTTCACTACATCAAAGCCTTGCAACTCATACTTGTTAATAATGATCAGCGTACTGTAATTATTATTATTATTATTTGAAATGGTAATGATTGCAGTACACTGATCATTGCTAACAGGCATGAGTTGTATATGCTAACCAACATACTGTAATTACGAATGTTTCAGAACCTTTTGGACTCTGGTTTAAAAATGTTGACTCAAAAGGCATGATGATTATAGTATTTGGTCAGTTTCATGGATACACATTATTAAGCTTAGCAGCCTTCATTTTCTTTTTTGAAAAAGATGAAACTGAATTTAGGTATTAGATGCTCTATATCTCACCATTCGCAACCATCTCTCCTTTTACAACTTTTATAATTGACCATATGATTAACAGTGTACATTTAAGCATTGCAAAATGGCAGTTCACTTTCCATACTACATTTTGTCAGCAAGAAGCTTTTGCTTTTGTCCCTGATATTTTCAACACTTTGTTTCACATTGCATTTTCTATTTTTTATTATTTCAGATATTATTATGCAGTTGTGGAGTGTGATTCTAGTGCTACCGCAGATTACCTTTATAAAGCTTGTGATGGAGTTGAGTTTGAGCGATCATCAAATGTGTTGGATTTGCGTTTTATTCCTGATTCTGTGGAATTTAAACATCCTCCTCGTGACATTGCAACAGAGGTTTTTCTCTAACTCATTTTGTATAACTATTAAGCACATGATATTGCATCAGTTAGAACATTAGGAATATTTTTCTTTAATTACAACTACAAGTACAGTGTGCTAAGAGCTGCTTATAAGAAGTGAACTTATTGGTTATTAACAGTAAAAAGGTATGCACAAAGTAGAAATAAAACTTTCGCTATCTATCCAAGCAACTACCCTATTAATAATGGCCATGGGTGTTTGGGAAATGTTATCTTCTTAGGAGTTTTTGCCAGTTCATTATAAGATACACCTTCTTTGTTCCCAGTCTAAGAAGTGTCTTCTCAGGAATTTTTGCTTTAGATATAAGGCAAAAAGAGAAAAAAAGAACTTTGTTTTTAGTCAAAGTATACGACTTCAGTTGAAATATCTTCAATTTCCAGTTCATAAATTTCCTAACATCTTCAGTTATTGATAAAAAGAAAATTCCTATCATCTTTGTGGTATATCCTAAAACTTTAACATTAGGATGTTAGAGATTTTTGTGAACTATGATAAATGGTTAAGGATGTCTATTTATTGGGCACATCACTTATTTTCCCCATTTTCTTCAGGCACCAACAAACTATCAAGGGTTAGATTTCCATACACGTGCACTACAACAAAGTAAAGTCCATCTTTCTTGGGATGAGGATGAGCCTCAGCGTTTGAAGACCTTAAGACGGAAATTAAATGATGATCAGGTATGTGAACTCATACACCTTTTTTCTTTTGCCATCTATGCTACCACTTGTTCTTTTCTATGGACTATAATCTATGTCTATGGTTTCACTATTTTGTGTACTGGAGTTTATGGGGAGAATAACAAGTTATTTTGGAAATACTAAACACGCTTATACCACCTTAGGGACTTAGTAGAAGGTTGAAAGCATTTTGTCAAGCTACTTAAATGGTGCAACTGCTGTTACCTTAAAAATTTGTTTCCTTTATTTTTTTCATTGTCTTTCTCTTCCCAAACCCTGGGACTTCGAGCAGATTATCCAATTTGAGAATGATAAGAAAAGTCATTGTAATATGGGTTGGGTGGCTTGCCTTGTATTGGGCATGCTCCTTGTTCACAACTACTTGTCGTATCTTCTACTTTAAATCATTAATGAATTTTTCTTGTTGATTGCTGTTTGCTGATAAAAGTGATAAGAAAAGTCAAAATTTTTATAAAATTATGTCCTTACTGGCTATATAACTCTGCTGGAGAAGTTAGCAACATGGAAATCTGTATATTTGTCCAAAGGGGGCAAATGTACAATTACTATCGCGAATTCAACCCTGTCCTCTTTGCCATTGTATCTTATGTCTCTATCAGATTCCAACAATTTTCATGGAACTGGGCTGGGCATAAAACCAGAAAAGTGAGAGGTTCAACCACGGTCAAACTGGAGGTTGAATCGTAATGACATAACATATAATATATTTATTGCAGATCATGTAAATACTATATATAATACATTTTACAAATAATAACGCACTTGAGTGTGGTGGATAGATGGTCTCTGATAATTGAACTTTGAAGGTGGTTGTTCGACTGAGATAACTGAGACTGAGTTGAAGGCCTGAACTTGATGATCCAAGAAGAACCTGGGGGCTGTGAGGGGTTCTGAACTTTGCCGTTCGAGACTTCGATTGAGTCGTGAATTCCTTCTTTCAAATTTGCCATACCATATCCCAATATTTTGGTACATAAAAATAATATATATACGATTATAATCATCTATAAAAGTAAATTTAAAAACAAAAAAGGGCAACTTAAATAGGGGCTTGCCTGGACCACCTGGCGCCTGGCCTGAGGCGCATGCCTTAGGCGCAGAGGTGAGCGCCTTCCTAAAGTCTGGCCGCCTTGATCCATGCAAGGCACCTACTCTGGAATGCGCCTCGCCTTGCGCCTCAGGCGCGCCTTTTAAAACAATGGATATTTTTTTTTCAAAATATGATTCAATTCTAGATAGAAAAATCAGGCCAACAAGTTATTTCTCAGAAGTGAAAAGTTTTCACTTCTAAGAAGTGGATTCTCGCTACAATGCTTTTAAAATAACAAACCGTGTGAAAAGTCATACGTGAGAGGGAGAGCACTAATGTAACTTCTTGCACTAAACATAACATCACTCAAAAAATCCTAGGTTCCATCCATTTCTTAGTCTATCATGTTCGGTCTCTCAATGGCTTTCCATCTCTTGAAGAAACAAGGTCTAGAGTTCTTTGGACATCAGTGGTTAGTCTAAGTTCTTCGTTTCACATCATCCATTTTTTTATCTCAGTTCTTTGTTTATCTTGTTCTGTGCCTCAGTTCTTCATCTATCCTGTTTTTCGATCTCAGATTGAAATATTCCAGGCATCAGATCTTTATTACTTTCCTTGTTCCTAAAAGGGTATTCAATCTCAGTTTGAAATAACCTGATTTTTGTTTGAGCATTACATGAGTAGTCGAATACCCATTTTTGTATGCTTTCTGTTAAGAATCTGTTTTGGATTGTTGAAGTTGTGCTTCTAGAAATTTTATAGGAAAGTTGAGAGCATTCTGGAGCATATGCTCTGAGCTGAATGATTACTTTGACTGTTACCCAGTTTGGAGGATCTTATTCTTGATGATTTTATTAACCACTTCCATTGTGTACAAGAGCTAGTAATTGCAGAAAGAGTTAGCAGTTTGGAATCAGGTGAATTGGGTAGAGAAAATGACTGCATCATAAACTGAGAAACGGATAGAGCAAAAACCTAAGAAAACATTTCTATGCATTTGGTTTAGCATTCTTCTCTCTCTGGGTTTTAATTGGTAGTGTGTTGGCTCATACAGAAAATTTTCTACATAATTGTTTATTCTATTACTCCTTTTCTTGTTTCAATTTCTAGTTATTGCTTCGATAGTTGGAATCATGATACGGTAGCATTGGATCAGGTTGAGGGCTCAATTAGTCAATTCCAGCTGAGCCATTTATCCCTATTCTGTTTTTTTCTGATCTCATTGTCACTATCCAGTATCCACCTCAGTTCTCATAGTAATGTCCTCAGAACCCATGTCATTTTCTGTAACACAAGGCAAATCAAGTGGATCGTTATTATACCCATGACAACCTTCAGCTCCTATCTCATGGCCACTGTCCACTTTTGTTTAATCCAGAATTGAATCCAAAAATTGTGCTCATTTTTTCAATATTTTCTGCCATAACTGCTAATACTAGTTAGGCTTTGTTTTGTTATTCCTTGTGATAATCATGCTCTGTTTCAGATCAACAATTTTTTTGGATGAATATTTCCAAATGCTTTGGTGAAACAATTCAAACAGAGAAGAAAATGTCATTCTGGTCTCCCCAATAGACTTTGAACAGAGTAGTAAATCTAATTTAAACAGGAGGAGAGGTGTGGTGGCCAAACGCCATTCTGGTCTTTCTGGATTCTGAGAAACATGAAGTGCCAAACACCTACATTATTTCTTTAGAATCAGGAAAGTCCAGAGTTCATTCTTGTAAACAGTAATGGATTGTTGATGCCAAACAAGGCCCGAGAGGCTGTTTAATGGCAAATTGATTTAATTTTCATTTTTGTAAACAGTAATGGATTGTTGTACAGAGACCTGTTGTACAGTGGCTTTTTCCTGACATGAGATGTATACTCTTGTTGTACATGAGATATCATATAGGGTATACTGACATGAGATGTATACTCTTGTTGTACAGGGACTTTTTCGTTTTTACATTTTAATGACATTATTTTTTTATCTGTAAAGGTAAATTTTATTAAGAATTTTATCAAACTTGAGGTTACAAATTTGTGAGTAAGTTACCTGCATCCATAGAAATAATCAAATACAACTAGAACTGCAGTCCCCAAACCCAGCCTTACAATTTAGCCCAAAATAGTTGATGCCTATTTGCCCCCTGTTTAGCTAAAGCATCATCCATGCCATTTGCAGTTCTTCTCACCCATTTAAAAGTAACATTTAATTCACTTGTTAAGCTTTCAATTATTTTACCTTCTGAAAAAAAGAAAAGAAAATTTTGACTAAAACATATTCATGAGGTTTCGTGGTGCTTGTTTGCCGATGACATAGCACTAATTGATAAAACTAATGAAAGATTAAATGCAAAATTAGGTTTATGAACAAATACCTTGGAAACAAGAGGTTTTAAAATTAGGACTCAATTGGAATATATGGTGCATAGTTTCAATAATGATAGTAATGCAAATCAAGGTGCCGTTAGGATTAGAGACCAAGAGATAACTCAGTGAACTTTTATGTTATCTTGGTCCAATAATCCATAGTAAGGGAGAGATTGAGGAGAATGTTGCCATAGAAGTAGAGCTGGATGGGAAAAATGGAGGGGGCATATGGTTGTTTTTTTTTTTTTTGTGATGGGTGCATTCCACTTAGGCTAAAGGGAAAACTTTATAAATTGGTTTGCAAGGCCAGCAAAGATATATGGAGCACAGTATTTTACAGTCAAGAAACAACACATCCGGAAAGTGAGTATAGCAGAAATGTGAATGCTGAGATGGATGAGTGGAAAGACTTGAGAGGACAGGGTGGATGAGTGGAAAAACTAGAAAGTAGACTGAGATGGTCTGGTGATGTGAATAGAAGACCATCTTTAGCACCCATAAGAAAAAAGATCTGTTACAAGCGAAAGGGGCTATTTAGTGTGTATAGATACTGTGTTTCATATTTACTGTCTATTTGTTCCTTTTACATGAAAATAATCAATCATGTCCATTTAAAATTAACACCTTTTGGATGTGCCTCTGTCTCAAGTATCATACATGGTGAATGGTCCAAACTGACTACTCTACAACTATTAGCATCCACCCATTACTTATTTTCTTTGAATAATTGATAGTTTGATACGACATTTGGCTGTTGTTGGTGCATGAGATGGAGTTAATACTTGTTGGTTCACTCGTAGTAATATGATTAATATCTCCCATGCAAAGGTCTTCTCTTACGGTTGTTTTAATTAGATAGCATTTTTAAGTATAACTGACTAACCCCCATTTCTTGCAGACTGGAGTAATGTACATTGTCTGTGTAGAAAAAATGCCATGCCTGTTTGTTGAAGTTTCAGTTCTGATTATTATTCTCCTTTTAACTCAGTTTTGATCAATTTTATGTGGTCTTAAGTGCATTTTGTATTCATGTAGCAGATGCATGCCTCATGACACTTTTACCTATCAAGTTTAACTAACAATACATTAAAAGGAGTTTTGACTGGTTTTGGTTTGGTGTGCAAAACAAAACAATGGATAAACCAGTCTGCAGAGATTTGGTGTAATTTGAATATTCTAGAAAGAGTCGAGGAACCAGTTAAAGGGCTTGGTAATTTGTTTCACACAGGAAAAGGGGTTTGGTATTATATTCTTTAACTAAGCACTTTGTTTTGTGCAGAATGGTGGTTGAACAGGGTTTATGCATCAAAATCCATGAGATAGATGATGGAGTCTATACTTTTCATTATTATATGTTCTGCATATATTTTTTTTGACACATGCACCTTGTCCCTCATTTCTTTCTTAATTGTGCAATTTTGTTGAACTAAACTGTTTTTAAGGTTGATGACTTTTTTGTTGAACATATATTAGGACTCTCTTCAAGTAGCCAACCCTATTTTTTGTCAACTAAATTCTTAATTCTTTCTGACTATTTTTAGAGTTGGTACTTGAAGCCTGTTTTCCCTCTATCCTTTGTAAAATTAAGACCCTCTTCAGATCTTTGTGTAATACAAACCCATGTACTCGCCTCTCTTTATCCTTTTACACTTCCATTACAGTTGATCTTACAGGCATTGTTGGTTTGAACTGCTTTGCATATTACTAGAGTTCACTTTCCTTGTTTGTTCTCTCCTAGATTCTGTTGGAGTCTTGCAATTCATAAATTGCAACATCCTCATCTTTGTTAATAGTTGTAAATTTAAATTAATAATAGGAACGCATTTTATAATCTATCAACTATGCAAGTGTACATGCTTTTAGAGTTTCAAATGGTTGTTTTGTCAGACAATTTGCATCAGTTCTGAACACTTGATAATGTATTTGGTTTGTGGATCATGTGTTGGAATGTTTACATGAATCTTTCTTAATCTCTTGTTTGTACCTTCCCTCAGCTTCCTTACTGGTATTGTTTCTGGTGTTTTGTCTGCTGAAGCTAGCTGACTTGGAACTAAAGGAGTATTTGGCTTCTGATGATGATGAAACCGATGATGATGAGAATAATGAATCTATGGATGGTGATTCAAAAAAGAAGCTTGATAAGCGCGATATGTATCGTGCTCTTGTACATTCTGGAGATGGTTCAGACGAAGATGGTGAGGAGGATGACAAGGATATGGAAGTCACTTTCAACACTGGCTTAGAGGACCTAAGTAAGCGTATTCTTGAGAAGAAGGACAATAAATCAGAGACAGTTTGGGAGGCTTACCTGAGAAAGCAACGAGAGAAGAAGGCAGCTAGAAAGAAAAATTCCAAGTATTCATCAGGTGATGAGAGCAGTGATAGTGATCAAGAAGTACCTGAACAGCCTGATGACTTTTTTGTTGAAGAGCCATCAGTGCATGGTAAAAAAGCAGTTCGAAGTAAAAACCCTCAAAAGGAAAAGCAGCAGCAGGAAACTTACAAGGAACAAGAAGTAAGCCAAGCAGAGCTTGAGTTATTGCTTGCTGATGATCAGACAACAGAGCATAATCTTAAGGGATATAATTTGAAACCCAAAAAAGCCAAGGGCAAAAAGGGCAAAAAGGCGAAGGATGTGCCAATGGAGGGAAAGCTACCATCTGTCGACTACGATGATCCACGATTTTCACAACTTTTTACTTCTCCTCTCTTTGCCTTGGACCCAACAGACCCACAGTTTAAAAGGTATATTTCAAGAAGCAATCCATCACCAAATTGATTGTTCCAGTTCAGGAAAGGTCCCGAGTCTTGAAACATGGAGGGCCATAATTTCATTCTCTTGAAGAGATGGTAATCTTGTACGTGTTTAGCCCTTACAACACCTCCTAAATGTGGCATCTGCCTCGGTAAGGATGGAGAGGATGGCTCTATAGGGTTGCAGAGGGTGTCTCATTTAGGGTGTTGTAAAGGCTACACTCTATAGGCATGTAAAATTAACAGTCCTCGTAGAACGTAAAAATTTAAAATTGAGGGAGAGTGTTGCTATGGGAATAGCTGGATATCTCCATTTGCAACAATTACCTTGGGGATAAAAAATTTCAGCCTTAAATGTATCTATGACTTGCATATGGACCTAACCCCTTGTTTAGATACTCCTAGAAAATTGTGTATAGAAGATATAATTGGATCATTGGGGGCATCCAATAGATGTGATAGTTTTAGTGCATGCAATAGATTGATTATGCTTATCTTGATAAAGGCTGGGAAATTCTTGTGCATGCAATATTGCAATGTACACCTAGACAAGGTTTAAAGTTCTGATATTAATGGATGGTACTGTGCTTAATGGTATTGAAGGTCATCCTGACAAGTCCATCTGTGATTTTTTCACTGAAAAACAGTGTTGATCATTCGAGACACATGATGCACATTTTTTTTCCTTGATTTCTTTTTTTTTTTTTTTGTTTTTATGCATGCTCATATTTTAAACCTTGCTCATGGAGATCCATACAAAGCACAACCGTTTGTATTCCAGTGCTTCCTGTGCATCTCAGTTGCATTCAGAGTTTGTTTTTTGACTACTACTGAGGAATGAATTCTGATCTTGCAGGAGTGCAGCTTACATTCGGCAATTGGCACAGAAAAATAAAAAAGGTGATCATGAAGATGTAGCAGATAAAGGACCGGAAGAAAAACAAACTCAAATGCCATCTGATAGCATGTCTATCGAGCAAGCACGTTCTGATAATGTGTCACTAAAGAAAGAAAAGCATGAACTCTCATCCTTGGTTCGATCAGTGAAGAAAAAATCCCAACAAACTCAAATGCAAACAAAGGATAAGAAGACGAAGAAAGAGCAGAAATTGCAATCTGATTCCATGTGTAGGAAGAGAGAAAAACCTGAGCTTAGTGAATTGGTTCGGTCACTAGAGAAAAAGCGCAGAAACTAGCGAAACTCCTTTCCTTTAGAGGGCAAGTGAAAATATATGGTGGAAAATCTATAACCAAGCATCTTTTAGATGCTGTCTATTTTATTGGATTTAGTGCCTGGCTATAGAAGATACGTGATGCTCACTAGAGCCTAGAAGTGAACCAGGTTTTGTCAAGGCTTATCAGCAAAGAACTTGAGAGTGCAAACACAAGGTTTCGAAAGTGCAAATGTGATCATGCGTGACTCCATTCTCATAGAGGAAAAGTTCGCCATGGTTAGAGGTGCACTGAAGTAAAGCTGAAGTTTTATCTCAAATTTTTGTAGAAATAATTTGGCTGCCTAAATTCTATACAATAAAATTAAGCTGTAATAATAGAAATCGGTGCTGCATACATTACGTTGTTGGATGAACTAACGTGTCACGCAGGGGCAGACTTTTGGCAAAGTTTTATCTGTTTGGATTTTGGTTTGGAATTTGTGATTGACACTTTTGCCGAATCACTTTACTTGCTTGTATCTGGTTGTCTATAAGTCACTATTTTAATTCACTGTACTGTACCATCTTCAATATGCAAAATCGATACAGATACTCGTTAAATGCTAACAACGACCATCCAAAGGAGCCTGGGTCACTTGAAAGCAACGAGAATGCGAACACAAGCTAAAAGGAGTATTTTTTTCCTCCTATGTATTTTTTGAGTAAATCACCCTCTTTTTTGGATCATTTGCATAGGCAACAGTTGTAGTTTGACATGGTAAAAGAATCAACCGTATTTCTTACTGTAAGAAATGATGTTTTTGATATGGAAAACAAGAACGCTGGTATTACCGTATTACCCATGACATGAATGTTATATATGAGTGTCAAAGAAACCTTTTAAACAAAAGACCTGGGTGCGCTTTCGTATTTATTTCTATTCGTTTTAAGAGCTCACATGACCATATTTTCAAATAAAAATTACATTCTTGATGGAAGACCAATTAAGTGGTTGAAAATTATAAACATGGTTCTAATGGTTGTTAATGTTAAAAATCTCGGGCTCGGCTTGCTAAATATTCCAACTTGCTTAAAGTAATTGAGATCGAGTCAGGCTTGGCTCGAGTAGTTGGTCGAGCCAAATTCAAGCTTCACAATACCCGGCTCAAGTGGTTTGTAAGCCTACCGGGTTCATAATAAAATACTATTTTTAAATATATTTATATTTATAATATAAATAAACATTAATTTTTATATCAAATTATTTTCAATATTTTTAATATACTTAATATTAATATGCTTATAACTTTTAATACTAATTTATATATAATCTGCTCAAGTCAAATCGATCAATTACACCTAGTACCAACATCCTTCAAACATGATCTAACACCATACATCACGAGATTGGGGTCACCATAAAATTATCTACCATGTATGAGAGTACATGTTCATGGGTAGGGTCGGGCCAGGTTCAGGCTGGACTTTGCCTCTTTATAAACAGATAATCACCAGGCCCAACCATCGGGCCTAAATCCCAGCCCGGGTCTGAAGCCTGACTTTGACATGTATATTATAATATATTAATTATATAATATTAATAGTAGATTATATATTATATAATATTTTATTCAATTAATAATTTAATATATATATAATACTTTTTGCTATTAATTTTACTATTATATAATATATATTATGTTATTAAGACATCATATTTCTATATATTTAATATTATTGGGCTGGACTTATTTGGGTAAGCCTGAGCCCAAGTTGAAAAAGTCGGATATGATATTTAGAGCATGCAGGCTTAAAGTTTTGTTCAAACCTGACATAGGACAGGCCGGTCTGGGCCAGTTCATCGGGCTACCCGGCCCATGAACAGGTCTATATGAGTAGACCTGTTCATGGGCTGGGCCGGGCCGGGCCGGGCTTGTATAAGTATCAATAGAATACACTCAGGCCTGAGCTTGAGCCCGACCCGACCATCGGGCCTAGGTCTTGAGCCCGAGTCTGGGCCTCATATAAAGCCCGAAGCCTGGGCCCGGCTAGAAATTTGAGAATAGATTTTTTTTTCTTTTTTTGTTCAATAGACGTGTTTTATTTAAATTAAAAACTTTCAAAACTAAAAAATAATAAACATCTCACTATTATTTGGAAAAAAGAGAACAAAGAACCAATATTGTATATGTATATATCATTAAATAGGAAAAATCTATGATGCGGGAAAGACATGATATCGGAAAAATTTTGACCAATCAAAATCCACCTATGAATTTTGATAAATAACACCTAATTGGCCATCACATTTACGGTTCTGGCTAACTGGTCAGATATTTTTCAAATATCATATCTTTTCCATATCATAGTGGAACCCTATTAAATAAAATATATTTTTATTATTTAATACATAGTATCAATTATCAAGTCAGGCTCAGGTTTAGGCCAAGCTTTTTTGAGAAAGCCTGAGCCCAACCCAAAAAAGTCGGGCCTAGTGCGTTAGGCCTGAACCTGAGCTGCGGGCCTAAAATTATGATCAAGCCTGATTTATAATGGGCCGGGCTACCCAGCCCATGAACAGGTCTACATATGAGATATGCAGTCAGATTATGTTGGAAGTGTTGAAAGTAGTTGGCAGAACCGAACTCTGTTAAATAGTAGTTTCTTAGTGAGACTGAGTCCAGCCTTCCCCCCAAAATAAACAACTTTTCAACATGATCTGAATACGCACATCTCATACATGATGGGTCCCAATCTTACGGTGAGAAGTGCGGCGTATATCATGTGGGGACAGGTTTTGTTAGGAGATCCCAATACAAATAGTGATAGGAGTTAAACTATTTTAAGCCTTTCATGTAAAAATGCATTTCTTGACTTTTTAATTTTCAGGAGAAAATCCTGCAAGAATAAAAGGTAAGGAAAATATTTGAAAATAAAACTCCATTAGCAGGGGGTATTGGGCAATCTTTTGTTGTTCAAAACAGAAACTGCCTCAATAGCAAAATTATATTGTTTCAACTTTTAATTGACGGAACCCCTGTTTTGGTTTTGAATATCAAACACGCACACATTTTAGCAAACAATCCCCGGTAACACTAACGAGCACCACGCCAGATGTAAGAATGAATCTGGCTAGGGGAATGCATGACAATGCGGCAAATTGTAATTTAAGGATATTCAGACCGAAGTTAGAATTACCTGATGATGGAGGTTTTCTGCATCTCACACTGCTCGATATGCATTTTAAAAACCAATAGGCAAGCCTCAATAAAAGTGCAATAAATGAAGACTAGTCAAACACATTTAGTATTAACAATTAAGTACAAATATGTAACCAATTTCTCTGTAGTGTATGCTCTCCTATACTCGTATCCTTCCCGTTGATCTAAAGAAAACACAGAACCCTCCAAAAATGGGCTATAAACCAAGCCACAGATATGAGACCAAGATCATTCCCATTGTTACATAAAATAACTTCAAGCCACCCTTAGTTGACACTGAAGAAGCAACAAATTTAATCCATAGGAGTTGAATGCTTTTATTTGTAAAACTTCCACTTGATACATCATGAAGCAAATCTATCTACTGTCTGGGAATTTGGCCTCGTAGTTTTGGGGCAGCTGTATAAATGTAAAAAGGAAAAAAAAAAAACACAATCAAATGCATAATCAACATAACTCTTTAGTAAATACAACTTCGAAAAAGAGAACAATGAGCTAGAGAGAATGACCATAAACGTTGCTGTTATCATCTTTCCTGCAAACCACCTCCCATGGAGTGACCGTTGTGCATTCATAGCAGATTGAGCATTTTCAAAGCGTAAATATACATAGCCAGCACTATTCCTGTTATTGAACCACAAGCAGAATGATCAGATCATATAAAATATAAATGTAGAAACAAACATTCAGGCATCAAAAGGATGGTCCATATATTGGGTTTAATCAAAATAACCAAGAAACATTTCAATTCCGTTGGATTAAGAGTTTATGATGCAAAACTACTTACTTGTCCACATAGATATGCTTTACAGTTCCGAACTTTGAACATTCATCTTGGACATCCTCTTTGATATCCAAATCAAAATCTGGTTCTGTCTGCAGCACAGCAAACTATTTTAGCATGCATAGTAACAGAGACAAGCCCAGTGAGCAAAGAAAACTACATGGGAACCAACCTCAACTTTTGGGTCAAACATATTTTTCAGTAACAGGCATTCACTCGGTGCGCCCAAAGTATCTATTGCAGGCGCAGTTACAGCTGGAACTGGAAGGGATGCACCTGCCAATCCAGAAAATGTGGGCACAGATGCCTGTCCAAGGGGAGAAACAAGGGGAGCAACCACAGGTGCAGCACCAAGAACTGATGTTCCTGGTAGAGTAAGGCTAGCGCCATTCACAACAGGTGTGCTAATTGAACCAGCAATGCTGCGGACAAATGAAGCAGAGGTTAAATGAAGCTATAATAAACAAATACATTTAAATACGAAAACCCAGTAGAAGCAACCTTGATGCTGTGCCACTCCGATCCAGCTTTTGCATTAGAAGAGCCCTGGAGCGAGCATTCAGAGACTGCAAACCCAGAAAAATATCTTATGCTAGCTGGCATGGAATCAAGACAACAGATGCAGTAGACACTAGACACTAGACACTAGACACTAGCCATTGAAAAGTATTTAACAGTGCAAAGAAGAATTCACATCTATTCATCAAAAAAAAGAATTCACATCTGCACCCACAGCACATCTCAACCATGTATTGAGAACATCTCCCAATGACAAGTACGGGAGATGTCCCCAGTGCAATGCTGAGATGTGCTGTGGGGCGCCACCCTCTGTGGGGCACAGATGTGAACTCTGCAAGGAAATGGCTACAAAATAAGGGCAATATTGCATACCAAGCCTCCGCCATCGTCATCGTCAAAATCACCAGCATTTCCCCCAACATCTTGCATCCCAACTTGATCAGAAACAGCAGATACCTACAAACAAACAAACAAATAAAAAACAAGATATGTCAATTATAAATTTACAAATAACAATTTTAGTGAGGCTTATGCAGTAGATGACTCTTCTCACACATTTCACTGAACCTATTCAGAAGATCCGTTGACAAAGATAACCTTGTATTTTACAAGTGGTCTATAGGTGCATAACCCTAATGGCCTGTTCTCTGTTTCTTCCTTATCTTTGTGTTGCCAAACTCCCATAAACCCCTCCCCTTTTAAAGCTGTTTGTCAAGGTCCAATCCCACCAAAAGTGAAGTTTTGATGTTAGGAAGCAGTAAATCAAATCATTAACACCTAAAAGAGGCTTCAAAGAAAAAGAAAAAATTGGTGTCTTCCCCTTAAGTATGTATTCTATGCTTGAGGAGTGGAGAAAATATTAACCATCTTCTCTTAAGTTGTCATTATGCTACTCAGGTGTGGAATTATTTTGCTCAAGCCTCGTAGGTGTGTGGTCAGCTCCAGATATTGCCATGGAATGTTTCAGAATAGGTTTGCAGTCCGTCGTACAAAAAGGGAGAAGATCCACAGGAAAGGGTACAAGAGCTACGTTTTTGTGGGAACCATGGGGTGATTTAGTGATGAATTTAGTATTGCACATTGGGTGATGATTAGCGATGAATTTAAAAACAGTATCTTTGACTGGCCCATTAGAAGGGAATAATGGGAAGCACCGGCAAAAAGAACCCTGAAGCTAAACTTTGATGGGTATTGTGAAATCCGGAAGCTTCAGTAATTGGAGGTGAAATAAAGGACTGAAGTAGTAGTAGCATTCCTATGAGCTTTTCAGGGCCAATAGAATAAACAGATCCCTAGAAGCTGAGCTGGGCTTTAATATAAGGGATGAAGTTGACTGTAATGAAGGGATGGACCAAGATTGATAACAGAAGGGGGCTGCCAGACAATCATATCCTGGATGGAGGATAGAGAGGATATACCCTGGACATTTACACCTTTAGTGAGACAGGCACATCTAGGCAGCCCAGTGCATGAGGCTCAACCAATGCAGGGACTGGAGAGGGACAGATGTTTGCAGCCTTACCCCTGCACACACAAAGATGATGTTTCCAATATTTGAAGCCTGGTCACCCAGGTCACAATGGAAACCCAACCATTGCACCAAGGCCCACCCTCAGGCTCATCTGCTAGGTTGAAATTTGAATACCTCTTTCAAGTGGATCCCTAGAAGTGCAAATAACCTGGATGATGCATTAGCTAAGGCTGGACCAGCTAAGGAATTTCTGAAATGAGGATAACCAGGGCATGGAATCACTTTATGACATATAATGTAATGAAATTTTTGACAAGTAATGAAAAATTTCCCTTCTCTTGGTGGGATAACTAGCAGAATATACTGTTGCTTCCATCTGTTTCAACCACAGCCAAATAGGAATAGATGAAAAATATAGCAGGTTACCTTGATTATACGGCCAGCAATGTCTAATTGTCCATTTAAACTCTGAGCAGCTCTAGCATCTTCAAGACGTGCAAACTGAAACAACACAGTTAAAAAACATTAGAATATAATTTTCAACGGTACGAATTACTCTTTATGACTGTCAGACTCACTTGGACAAAGCCAAAACCTTTGCATTGCCCAGTTTCCGGATCAAGGGGCAACTGCACCAACTCCACAGCACCAAATGGTTCAAAAACCTGGAAATACACATGAACATTCAGCAAATTCATCCGCACATATATTTAGAATAAGCAGGATTAAAGCATCTGAAAAATCCTTAGTAATTCTTCAGTTTCTGCTATTGCATAATTATCATATCAATGGAAAGGTCCATATAAGTGAGATGAGGTCAACAAAAAACATCCAAACTGTTTTTTAATCCTGTTGAGAGATAGTGCAAGTCAATGATATATTACCCAGGTAAATGACAGTGATACCCATCTTTGGGAAGTGGGGCAATGTTTGTGGAAGAAACGCAAAGCACCCTTTTAGTTAAAAAGGGAAACCGGGTTTGCTACATAAACAAATGCTCCATCATATGAAATTAGAGACATTTTCGTTCTAGTTAATAAATTTGAAACTTATCAAGAAAAAAATGTATACAAACTGCACATTCCTATTGTAGTCAAAAGGAGCTAAGGAAATCGAGATTCAACAGCAATAGCAATGATATAGGCAATCCATGCCCAATTTATCACATTCCACCAAAAGATGAAAATATAAATATGAAAAAGAAAATTGGCAATCAAGTTCACCAATATCAAGTCATCTACCAGGCCATGGTTACCCCACTTCAACACAAGAAATCTCAATGTACTTTTTCATGACCAATGACCGAAGGGCAGTATTGGTTTTGAGGCCTCTTCAATGTTATGGGTACTGTTTACTGGGCGAGTGGAATTGGTGGTTTTGAGGCCTCTTCAATATTGGTTTTTTTATTTTTTTTGAATTTTCCGACATTTTTTATTATTTTTTAGCATTTTTTTATAATATTGCGCGTTGCTTTAAAAAGGCGCGCACCTCGCCTTGCGCCTTGCACCTCAGGCGCAAATTGACCCCTGCGCCTTTTTTGTGCCTTGCACTTTGAGAACACTGGTCAGATGACAAGCCCAGTATCCCAATCCTGCTGGAAATGTATCATGAAGAACCTGGCTTCCTTTTCTTCATGGTGTTCATTTAAAGTCAGAAATGGGGAAAAGATCTGTTTCTGGGATGATAAACGTATGGTGTGGTTCTTCATCCTTGGCAACTTCCTTGCCCCACATTTATCAGTTGTCAGGTGACAAAGATGTTGGGGTACAAAGCAGTTACAATATGCTGGAAAATCAGGTGGTATGGACCCCAAGTCTTAGAAGTAGTATTCAGGAATGAAAAGCTGAGGAGTTAAGCTCATTACTACAGCGAATCAATTCCACTTCTCCAAATCCTGGTGGGATTGATAGGAGTTGATGGACAAGGGCACAAGGATGGGGTTTTCATGGTAAATCCATGTCTCTGTAGCCCTTGGAAGTGGATTGGAAAGCTGGAGTCCCATCCAAGGTGAGCTTCATCATATGGGCTGCCATTCTGAACAAAATACAAACCTGATGGCCAGAGGCATGCTTTTGGTCAATCATGGTCAGCCATCTATTACTTCATTTCCCCTTTTACATAGCTGTGTGATCGTATTTTATTAAGACTTTTAGCAAGGCTTGGGCTCCTCCAAGTGATATTGGCACTCTGTTCTCTGCATAGGCTGGAGATGGTTTCACTAGGAGTGGGAGACTGCTTTGGCTAGCATCCCTGATAGTCATCTGCTGGGTGATTTGGAGGAAGGAACAATTGCATTTTCAGGGGTATGCTACTCGGTTGGAAGCGGTGATGAGTGATGGATGATAGGGCAGAAAGACTTTTGTTCAAGTGGGTGTCCATAAAGAAAGAGGTCTGAAGCCTATTTCCCCCCATGTTTGTGATCAATGGAACCAAATAATTGGTCTTCTACCCCCTTTTCAAGAGCTTCATTTTTTGTATATGATGAGTAAAGCTTATACTGAACATTCCCTCCACATGGGGGCTTTTGTTTATAGTCCTCTCACTGAAAGAGAAGACTATAAACAAGCCCAAGCATCTCTAAATGTTATAAAAATGCTGTGTAATATATCCACATACGGTTAAAGGTATTCCAAGTGATACCAAGCCATTTTGGCTCCTCCATTCAGAAACATTGCAAGGTAGTTCATATGAGATACATAGGAGGTGAAAGCTAAATATTAAATCATATTACAAGCTCCTAAATTTATTTTATGCACAAAGCAAGTTATTTAAGAAATGTAACAACTGAAAGAGCAGCCTAAAACAAGGCCTTGCATTCCAACTGAAACTCTATATAAAGTCCATGCATCTCTAAATGTCATAAAAATGCTGCGTATTATATCCACATACAGTTAAATATTAAACAATAAAGATAAATCATATTAACAGCTCTTAAATTTTATTTCATGCATAAAGCAAGTGATAGAGATTATTTCAGAAATGTAACATATTTCCAGTCCAAATAATATTGTCAGGAACTCTCAAATACATTTCTGCATTAGATTTTAAATATATACCATATTTATTGTAGCCCACTTGAGAGCCAAAAGGACAATAGTTATGTGACGGTTATATTAGAGCAACAATCTAGAGATGATCTAAAATCCACACGGCCAGTCAGACTGGTAACCTAGTCACAATCCCAGTTCAGGTTAACCTCTAGCCTGCTAAGTTACAAAACACAAATCAGTCAACAACCCAACCCAGACAGTGGCACCATTGACCCATCTGACTCATTCCATGGGTTACCATTTTTGTATTATTTTATTTTTGAAATTCTTATATTGGTGACATCAATATAATGCCAAAGGCTAGGACCGTATCCACTATCCAGCCCACCCCAGATAGCTGGTATGACATCAAGGGTTGAATCATTGACTCAGACAGTTAGCCAGCTGAAAATCATCTCTTTCTTTCTTTTCTTTTCTTTTCTTTCTTTCATTTTTTTGAGAAGAGGGGGGGTAACAGGAAGAAAGGAAGGCCAGGTCATTCCAGATTTGGTCTCCTGTTATTGTATCTCTACATAAATGAAGATACATATGGTGATTAATAAATAAATGAAGATACATACATCAATATTTTGAGTAGTTACCCCATTGACTAGTTCCTTTAGCCCTTTTTAGTTTCTAAGCAATCACCTTTTAGCCACCAACCGGCTAGATCTTGATAAAGGCACTAGGTGTCTACTGGCATTAGAAAATGAGTTATCCAGTGGATTAAAATGGGTATTTGAATTCATGGGGGTTTAGCTGTCCTCTCAAAGAGATGACATCCTTGACATCCAAACTAAACTCTTAGTTCTGCTAGGTTCCGAGAACACCAACTTAGTGTCACTGTCATTCATAGAGCTAAGAAGGCCCCTCCATCTTTTCGGAGTCTACAGAACCTGTATCTTATTCTCCTATAGCAGTCTAGCTCAATACAAAATTAGTTTGATTGCACTAGGAAATCCATCAATAAAAAGAAATTCAGTAATAGATCCAATCTGCAAATCATTAGGAAATGACATGCGGTATGCATAGAGAATTCTCTCCACTGGCAAAAGGTGGGTTTTATATACATGGGAAAATGCAAGTCATCAACAAGGTATTCTACCTTTTTTTATTTCTTTTGAAGGGCTACACAACAGGGGGTAGCCCATCCCCCAACCCATAACCCCCCCCCCAACCCAGGTGCAGTTGGGATTCAATCCCAAGTCTCCGCTGCAACCAGCAGTAGACCTTACCAACCAGCTGGTTGGCACCTTGCCAACAAGGTATTCTATCTTGTATCATGTGCCTTGCATATATTGGTCAAATTAAGTTGTGCTAGCATGTTTTGGAACTTTGACACACCAAATTAACATGCATTCCTGAAGTTAAAATAGTGGTGAAGGTAAACAATAGCCATGGTATCATGCTCAACAAATAAAAGACATTCTTCCACCAAGGAAAAAGCAAGAAAGACAAAATTATCTGAGCTTGATCATCAAGCACTATGAATCTGAAATCTAGAAAGTACCATTCCAGATCTTATTACCTGACGAAGTTGGTCTTCTGTGATATTGAAATGCAGATTGCCAACATACAACCTTCTAGCTCCTCCTGAATAGGGTCCAATAAGACCACCCACTCCTCCAACTACAGTTGTATTTGACTGGACCAGATTCTTCTCAGCCTCTGATGGCTTAACCATCACTGGTTGACCAAGAAGTGGTTGACCCGAGAGTGCTATTGCCATAGGGACAGACATTGCATCATAAAATTCAATATACCTGAAAAAAGGCCAGTCAAAGATCAAGTACCTATATGCAACATGTAATCCAAAATTAAACATCAAAAGCTCATCTAAATATGAAAAAGCAGATATTGCAGAAAGTCTATAATATCCATTTCTATGCACAAATGTACAAGAAACAAATTTTACTCAAGTAGGGCTCAACTATTAGTTTTTTTTTTTTTGATAAATAATATCACATTTCATTAAGATCAAGAGAAAGATACAGTCCCTTGGAGAGGCACGAGATGCTGGCATGCCACCTCTCCAACACTGGAAACCAGAAAAACAAAACTATAAAACTATAACAAGGAGTACATGAGTGCTAATCCAAGATTGCAATTAAGCCCAAAACAATGTTTCCCTATTTGTCCCTTATTTTGCCAAAAGTATCAGCGAGAGCGTTCGCCGATCTTCCCACCCACTGTACTGTAACAGACATGTTTCTTGTCAGCCATTTATACTTCTTTAGCTCATTCTTGTAAATCCATGCAACCTATGAATTATTTAACCACCCCACTACTATCTTAGACCCTCCTCAATCAGCATCTTCTCCACACCAATTCTTTTGCAAGAAGGCCTCCTTGTATGGCGGCTAACAATTCTGCCCTAACAGAATTCCCTACTCCCAACGGGCCAGAGTAGAGAAGGATAACCTCTCCAGCCTCATTTCTTAAAACTCCTCCTAGCCCAGGGGGCCTTGGGTTGCCCTGGCTGCTCCCATCAAATTTCAGTTTCAGAAAACCTTGTGGAGGGGGGGCCCCAGATTGTAGAAACCCTGTCCTTTATGGAAGAGCAGCTTGCTACTGCTGTCCAGTTCCTCCATAGGTCATTAAAAGAGAAGGAATGAAATAGTTTCATAGATTTTAACCAATGTATTGCCATGTTTAAAATGCAATCCTTCAATGCTTGGCTGCTTCTTCCCTTCTCTTGGAATAATCTTGAATTCCTTTCTTCCCACACTGTCCAGATCAATGTTGCTCTTGCACACCTCCATTCTTCTTCCTCTTTTATGGGGCCATGAGAAGGTAGATGAATTGAACAGCAAACTTAAATCTGTTGGCATCTCCCACCTACACCGAAATAGAGAGAAAAGCCATGCCAAAGCTCTGCAGTGACATCACAGGATAGAAATAAATGATACCAGTCCTCACCATGAGATCTGCAAAGGGTACACTAGTTAGGAGAGATACAAATAAAGGGTCTTCTCTTTTGTAGGTTATCCATGGTGTTGCCTTTCCCATGGCACACTTCCCAAGAAAGTCATTACCTTAGGGGGGACCGGCCTACACCAGACTTCTTTGGAAGGGAAAGCCCGTTGAGGGGAGGTAATACAAAGTGACTTAAACAAGGAACCACAGGAAAATAACCCTTTGGGGTGAGGGGCCCAAATCCTCTTGTCTGGCAAAGAAGGATCCAACCACACTTTTTCAAGGAGGCAAAGCAAATTAGCCAAGCAAACAGCTTCCTCATCCCTTAACCCTCGATGAAAACCCCAATCCCAAGACAAGGCCGACGGATTTAACGGAGAAGGAAGGAACTTTGAAATTGCCTCATTTTTAAACCAAGAAACAGAAAACAAGGAAGCAAAAAGATCTTTAAGAGGGAGATCCCCAACCTAAGTGTCTTCCAAAAAACGAACAGAAGTCCCGGAACAATTATCATACCTGACACAATTAGGAAACTTTGGGAGAATTTTGTGGATTGCCTTCCAAGGAGTTGCCATGTTAGACCTTCTTGATGCACCAACATCTCATCCATTCTCTGAGCATCCATGAATACTCTTCACCACTTCATGCCAAAGCCTCTCTTCCTCCAAAGGCCATCTCCATAACCACTTCCCTAGAAAAGCCAAATTCCTGTTAATCAAATTTCCTAAACCTAATCCCCCTCCCACTTTGCTTCTACCCACAACCTCTCCTGGCTCACAAAGGAAGTCTCTCATCAATTTTTCTAATTTCTTCGCTTCCCTAGGCGGTATCCTAAAGACCGAGCGGTAATAAGTAGGTAGGTTTGTAAGAGTAGCTCTTATCAATGTTATCCTTCCACCCAACGAGATGTAGTTTTTCTTCCACACCGCTAACCTCTTCTCAAACTTCTCTATGACTGGAGTCCAAAACCTACGCTCCCTAGGATTTGCCCCTAATGGAAGCCCAAAGTAGGACATAGGCCAAGAGGAAGTAGAGCATTCAAGGCAATGTGCATTAGCCTCAATCTCCTCATTCTCCAAATTAATCCCCGCCATGCAGCTCTTTTCTAAGTTGATTTTCAAGTTGGAAATTTCTTTGAAGGTCTTAATCAACTCCTTTAAGTTTCCCACCTTCTCACTAAAGCCTCCATAAAAAAATATCATTAAATCATCTTCAAACTGAAGATGGGTAACTGGAACTTGGTTTCTGCCTATTCTCCAATCCCTTATGACCCCTTTCCTATCAGCCCTAGTGATAATTCAACTAAAAGCATCAGCTACCAAGGTAAAGAGAAAAGGTGAAAGAGGAACCCCTTGCCTAATGCCCCTACAGGCTGGAAAGAAGACCCTAACCACTCCGTTTACTAGGATGGAAAAATGACAATTACTGACACAACCCATCATCCAACTGCACCACCTTTCCCTAAACCCACAATTCCTAATCACCTTTAACAGAAACTGCCAATCCACCGAATCAAAGGCTTTCTCTAGGTCCAGAGCTTGCAAACAAAACCTCTTTTCCTAGATCTCTTCATTTCCTCCACGCACTCATTTGCAATCAAAATCTGATCAATTATCTGATGTCCTTGAATGAAGGCCCCTTGGGCTTGACTAATGATGGATGGGAGGGCTCAACTATTAGTTATAACCAAGTTTTATAAACAATATCCAAGAGACACGCCATGTGAGAGAGAAGTGAACAGTAAATGCATAAAGCAAGGTTCAAAGTATCAAAATGTATTAGGGTGTATCTGTCGATACATAGCACGTATCAGCAACCCCCGATACGCCCTTAAAGTGGGAGTTTTGGGATCTGAGCTGGTTCAGGGTGTAGATGGGTTTTAAACCGACCCCTTGAACAAGTTTAAAAAAAAAAAAACCGCAGCTCTATACAGGCCGATACAACCCAACCAGCATACCGGTCTGTATTGATATTTAGAACCTTGGTATAAAGGATCACTACTCAGGCACAACACATAAAATTTACATTTTTTCACTTATGGCAAAATGTATTTAAATATAGCTAAATCCTGAAACCAGCAAATTTGGTAAAAAGGTAGTGGCGAGTTGGTTAAAGAAAATTGGCTGAGTTCTGTGGCAGTAACTCATGAGCGAAGCCAAGCAATGAATGGGAGAGGTGGGTATATCCAAATGAGTTTACAAATCAGCAAACAGCTTGGCCATGCAAAGGGTGAATGGGGAACAAATGTTTTGGGAGTTACTCTTGTACATATTTACTATTATTTTCATTAATCAATAAAGCTGCACAGTTACTTTTCAAAAATAACAAAAAAAAAGAAATTTGGCATCAACAAAGTATATGACATGTAAATTTAGTAATAATAGTAGTGTAAACCAGCATACACTTATGGAAAGCAAGAAATAACTCAATGTGACCATTTCCAGTACCTTGGTTCAATAATTCATAACAAGGGACAAATGGTGGGGCACCTCTGGACTATTGTATGATAGGAGAATATCACGTAAATTGAAAGGAAAATTCTATAAAACAGTTGTAGTGCTAGCTGTCTAGAGCAGGGTGTTGGGCAGCCAAGAAACAACATGTCCAGAAAATGAGTGGCAGAAATGTGAATGCTAATATGGATGAGTGGAAAAACTAGAAAGCATACGATCAGGAATGAAGCCATCCATAGAAACCTAGGAGTAGCTCCAATAAGTAATAAAATGTGTGTGAGAGAGAGAGAGAGAGAGACTGAGAGTGTAGGCTAAGATGGTTTGATCACGTGCATAGAAGACCACCAACAGGTCCAGTTAGAAGAAGTGATTTGTTACAAGTGGAAGGGGCTAGAAGAGTTGGGGGAAGACCAAAATGATTTTAAATAGAGCGGATTGGCGAAACAGGATTAATGTAGCTGACAAGTGACAACATATAGTTGGGATAAAGCATGGATGATGCCAGCTAATGGGTGTCAATTCTTTTTTAGGCCTTACAACCATTTGTCGCCTGTTAGCAACTAAATTCCAGTGATTCTAGTCCTACCCCCGTCCTACCAGGTATGGGTGTCAATTCTTTTTTAAGTACTGACTTGTGTGCGATGCCTGTAACAGATATGCCAGCTTCCCATCCAGGAGGTTCTGATGCAAGAGAGAGGGTGATGGAAGGAAGTAGTAAGGGGGAGGCGAACAGAATTTGGGAGTTGATCTGTACAATGATGGAGGAACTAAAAAAAGGAAGAATTCTCAGAGAGATGTTGTAGCCAAAATAAGTGTGAGCAGGGTAAAATTCTTCCTCAAACATTGGCTGGAAAGGGTGGAGAAAAGAAAGAGGATGATTGTTGTATTAGGAAGGGGGGGGGGGAGAGGAACAAAGAAGAAAAAAAGATCTGAAGTGGAAAGGCTAATCTCAGACATTGAGGGAGATTTAGAATTTAGTGGTAGAGGGGATAGGAGGAAGGGCCTAAAATGAGGAGATTATGGCCTTTTCATGGGTGTTTTTGCTATTTTGTCTCGATGAAAATTATTAGCTGGAATGTAAGAG